ACTCCGGTGCCCTCAACCTCCGTCTCAGCCCGAACCTCCGCTTCGGTACAGCAACCCAGCGCCTCGCCGAAGACGACTGCCGAGATTGATACCGAGACCCCCCAGCCTGCGTCTATCAAAACACGCCACGCCTCGCTCAAGGCCACGGTCAAGCCTGAGATTGAGATGCCCCCACCTGCGTCGACCGCAACACGCCGCACTTCGATTAGGAACAAGACTGAGACTAAGACCAAGACTGAGTCTGGTCCTTCCACGTCGGCTTCGACAAGTCGCCGTCCCGCGAATAAGTCAAAGCTTTCGTATGCATCAGGATCATCCAATCCTCATTCTAGTACTAACTCTCAGACCGAAACAGCAGTTCCCGGGCCCCCTCAACCCTCCGGCGCCCAGCAACCCGCCTCCAAACGAAGAAGGCGGGGCAACAAGCCGCCGGCGTCATGGGAGGAAGCATCGAAAGGGGACAAGATGATGTCCCAGATGAAGCAGGGGAATCCTGCGGTAAGGTGGAGCGAGGTCGCGGAGGCGTGGAACGCGAATCGATTTGAATGGGAGGACGAGATGACATGGCGGGCAGTGACCAGGCGCTGGGGACGGATCGTGGATAAGCTTGGTCCCTGGCCTGGTTTCGACGTAAGTATTCACTTTACCCTTTCTCTGACCTCAATCTCAGTTGATCTGGTTGCTAACTATTCTATTCAATAGGCGGCTATTCTGGAGGCCTTGCAGCAATTTGGCTCGCAGCTGCTGAATGATGGGCACTTTGTGCTCATCGCTCAGCATGTTTCGGAGCAGATTGGCTGGAAGGTTCTCTCCACTGCCTGCCGGTACCGTTACCAGGACCTCAAGGAGGCTGGTAAGGTCGATGTCAAGGGAAAGGGGAGGGCTCGGGAGTAAGCCCTCTCTCTTGATTGTTTGAGGGGATGGCGTGGTGAGACGCCATCCCCTCTGTTGAATTGTGAATGTTACCCAGTGGCTAGTTGGCCGAGCCCTGGGTACGTATCGACAACTGACTTGTCGGAGTACTGTTGGATTCAAAAAAAAAAAAAAAACCCAAAAAAAAAACCCCAAAAAAAAAACCAAAAAAAAAAGAAAAATTGTACGATTCACACAATTCCCTACAGAGTAGAATAGTATCGTAGTTTATATCTAGGTCGACTACGTAGTAGAGGATCGATTCTCCGATCTTATTGGCCTCTGCATCTCCTATCATAAAGGTAGGGCCCAATGGCCCTTCTTGTATCTTACTATCATCCTCCGGGGCGGTACTTGCCGGTTGGCATATGCTTAGTATATGATTCGTAGATGAAATTGCTGGGCAATGCCCGAGGATATCAATTCCTTTATAAAACAGAAACGCCCCTTGCCAAAAGGTACCCACCCGCCGTCATACATACAATCGTAACGAGTAGCTAGAAGAAAACACACAAAGCTATAGAACACTCAATTCTCGTCTAACACCACCACGCACACTCATGGCGGGCCCTGGGACATTGGAACTCCATTCTGAGGAGGACGAGTCACCTCGGCCCCGGGATCCCCCTGTACTAGTACTCGCACCGATGCTAATGCCAGCCGTCGTGAGGGAATCTCCATCATCAATAACAGGAGGACCGCCGACCATTACAGGCCGGATCTTGGCACCGACAAAGCCACGACGATCACGGCCTGTGCGGCCGCGACCAAGCCAGTTGTGTTTGAGAGATTTGCTCAGAATCTCGATCCGCTCCTGGGCAGCGTCGCCCGTTTGCACACTGGCAAGGACGCTGATGCATTGCAGCATGCGGCCGACGGTCTCTGTGATGACGTGGGAGGAGTCAGTGGGGCCGCGGTGGATGATGGTAGGCCGTTTGTTAGAGGTTGGAGGTGATGCGATGGACTGGAAGAAGAGGGGATCTGCGTTGGAAGATGTGTTTGAGGCGGCGCGACTGCGAGAGTCACTGCTCGTTGGACGTGGGTGGCTGGTCATGGCGCTAATGCCGTCGGAGGAGTAACTGTCGACGGTGCTGAGAAGCGTGGATGACTGCGAGTTGTAACTACCGAAGCCGGCATCGAGCGAGGCTGCAGTACCAGGGCGGCCTCCAGTGCCGGTACTCTTAGTTGTGACGCTGAGTGTCGGGAATCCGGTGTTGATGGAGTCCAGGCTGAGCCGGGAGAAGGTTGCTTTAAGGGCATCGTAGCGATTCAGGATCATGCAGTCACGGAAGGCAATCAAGACCAGACTTCGCACATCGAGTGTTCCGCCGAAAGGCAGTGCACCCCAGAATTCACCGGCTTCTCGGCTAGTCATCAAGGGTCCACAGCCCTTGAACTCGAGATCCAAGGGAAGAAACACAGCCTGAATGAATGGCAGAATTGTGCCAAACACCAGCAGCCACACCTGGACCAGATGCGGGATCAACCTTTCATCTGGGAGGCCAATCAGCGAACTGTGATTCAAAGTCGCAAATCCAGTCTGCAAGAGTTCTTGCAAGTCCGTTACAATAGACGCAGGAGCCCTCTTAACCACGCAACGCTGCAAATGAACGAGCACTAGCTTGTTGAGATCTTCAATGGCAATGCGCACGTCTTCGCCATCGAAGATGACCAGCAGCTTCGCCTTAAGGAAGTCCCACGCATCCTCTGGGGTCATATTATTCAACCCAAACCCTTGCAAGGTCTCCCGAAGAATAGACTCAGGGAATGTCCCCGAACTACCAACTGAAGACGGACCTGGGAAGCCGCCAGGTGGCGTAGGACCGCCAGTATTATTGGCCAGCCATTCCATCTGCTCCGACTCGGCGAGCGCCTTTTCCTCCTTTTTCTTCTCACGCAGCGCTCGACCACCATGCAGGAGATCTAACCCACTGACCGACTTGCCAAATGTCGCACCAGGAGCTGGAGACGCAGGAGTAAAGGAATATAAAGATTGTGGGGCATTTGGGTCTGCCGGACGGGAATTACTCGAAGCCGATGATAGAGGGAGGTTGAAGTGGTCTTCGACGCGATCTTTTAGTTTGAGTTTCTGCCTCGATAGGAAATGATGCTTATGCTTGTCTTTATCCTTTTCCTTCTCTGGAAGCGGCGGACGATCTGCGGGGACCACAGTGTTCACGGAGGCATTGGATAGATTATACATCGAGTTGTTCGAGGACAGGTCGGTCAAATTCGTAGCCGAGCCGCTGACCATGCGCGATAACCCGCTGATCTTGCTCGGAGAGGGAAGACCACGGTCTTTGCTCACATCTTTATGACTGCTGATTCCGATATGTTTTGGTTTTGAGAAGAGTTTCTTCTTCTTCTGTTTCTCGGGCTGTGGTTCTACCGGCGCAGCACCGGCTCGCGGGAAGACCACATTCGCAGCTGCCGTGGCCACATTCCCTAGTGGCGGAGGGGGTTGCGGGGAGGGTTGGTTGACACGCAACGGAGCGGGTATGAGAGGAGGCGAGCCGCTTCCACTGCGCCTGGGACGAGAACCATCCTCTATCGGGGGCATCACATTTTGTTGCCTTTTTGTCTGCTGCATTGCTGCCTGGGCGGCGATACGGGATGCTGACACGGTAGGGAGCTGGTCGGAGGAGGCGGTCGGCAGGGAAGGCTCGAAGAACCCCTGTGAGTGGTGCCGTGATCGGTGCCGAGGTAGCTCGACGGAGGGACCCCGGCCGGAGGGCCGTCGAGCTGTTGGGTTTGGCATAGGGTGATGAGGTGAAGTGGCCGATCGTGGTTGTGGGGGGAAGTAACCCCCGGACTGTTGAGTATTGATCGGCGTGAGAGGAGCGGCGGAAACGGTTGTCACATTGGAAGAAGCGTCACTACCGGAGGATCCGGGGTGAACCAATTCGTCCTCATCGGAGTCGTCTTCCTCTTCGTCATCAGATGGAGGTCGGGGGTAGCGAGGGGCAGGAGGTACTTGACGCCCAGGCGAGTTCGGGGATCGGAAGGTAGGATTCATAATGAATATCCCATGCTCTCTCTGTCTTTGTCTCTTTCAGGCAGGTTATCTTTCAGCGAAGTTTTTTGTTTACAACGTTACAAAAGCCACATCTGGGCAGTCGCCGATCCCTTCCTCTACCTTTATCTGGCAGAATCTCAGATCGACGAAAGATGCGGAGACTTGGCTAAGCTTTGATCTAGATTCAACGGAGTTTATAGCCTTGCGATTTATATTTGTAGACCAGTTAACTGCTTGATGTCATCCCTTGCACTTGTATTCCTTTTTCCAATTTCCACAACTTTCTTACTAGTATGCATCCAGGCCGGATACAGACTAGGGATTACTGCCTGAACAGAACCCAACAGATATTAGCCTCGGCAATGCTACCGTATGGTCCACGAAGTACCTCGAGTAATACATAACTTCGTATTCAGCCGTACCTGAAGGACTGGGACCCTGAGACCCTGGGGAAGCAGTGCCAAGTCCCGAGGTCGGGCTTAGATCAGCGAAAAGGCGGTAAGAAAGGCGGTAGGATAGCTTGGGACATTATTCTCTGCCATCTCCCCCTCCAGGGCCAACAATTTCCCCAACTTCCCTGTTAAATTTCAAATGGCCTCCAACACGAGCTTGACTGCAGTCTACACCGCCCCTCATGCCACTGAGACCTTTGAGCATGTGATATCAACCACAACCGGCACATTAGCGGCTAAGCAAGCCCACCTCTCAGCGCTGCAGTCGCTCGTGCCCAAGCTGCAGGAGCAGATCAACGTCTTCCTTACGGAGCGCATGGAAGAGGACAAAGTGCAGGGCCAGATCTCAGCACAGGAAGCTCAGGAGGAGGAAAATTACGGAGAGGAGGTTGTTGAGGACGATGCATGATTTGCATGACCGGATGTATCTTGAAATGGGCAGATGCTATGGGTATCAAAGTCGCTGGGATAGTCTCCATCGACCAAACAAACCAAATGAACAGAGAAGCTTGATCTGGAGAACAAAAAATAAAAATAAAATAACGGACATGACATGACGACCATGAACAAGAACGAGCACAACACCGACCTCGCGAATGCAGATGCAGAGAGCAAACATACTACCCAACTCGAACACTGGGTCTTCGATTGGCACACCCCAAGTGAACCACCGTATCACTGGAAAACAAGTTAGCGACGAACAAACCAAAAGCAAATGACTGAAAACGACTTACTCGGGGAAAACATTGATCACACTCCCACCCAAACGCTTATGGCAGACGCCGCAAATTCGCTCCTCGGTGACAGTGACGTGGCGAGCCCGCGTGCCTCCACCACGAATTCCCTCACCGAGAGCGAGCTGGGCTTGGATCTGCATATCCCGTGCCTTGCGCAGGTTTGCCACGATGCGCGCTTCATTGAAAATTGAGTTTGCGGCGCGCATGCGGCCCTTGAAATAGAATTCAAGTTTCTCCACGGCCTGTTTGTCCGGGATGAGTTTCAATGCGGCGTCGGCTGGGAGGCGTGAGCCGTGTTTGGCTAGCAGTTCAATCGCGGGGTCGTTTTGGGGCTCATAGCCGTGGGGTGGGGTGAGATAGAGGGAAAGGAGGGTGAGATAGATGGAATTCTCTTCTTCGGCCTTTTCGGCGAGATGGACCTGGTTGCAGTATCTTTCTGGTGTTAGCAATTGTTGCTCTTGGTGAAGTCACATATCACTCACTCTTCCGCTTTCTCGTGGTCCGCAAGTTTGAAGACGTAGATCTCAAGCGCCTGTCGGTGCTGACCCATCTTGCTAAACAAAATAGCTCGGGCTTCGTAGAAGTTGGCATCTGGGATATGTCAGTGATGGCTTGTTTCACAGGAGTAGCGCGCAATGTACCCTCTCGATCGAGCCGATCTAACATCTTCGCTGGCGAGTATTGCTCGCTCTCTTTCAACATCGTCAAGAACTTCTCCTTCCATTCCCCTTGCTCGTTGGATGTAATTTGATCTAAGTATAAGATGAGCAGCCGCTGGTGTATGTCCGGCGTCATGTCGTTCCATTCATCAATGACATGCTCGAGGTATTGAATGGCAAGCGCGGTGTCTATGTTTTCAAGGAATGCGAGGACCCGTGGACGAGGCAATGTCTCAGCATTTTCAGTGTCGGTCAGGAATATCTCCATTCCCAACTTGCGGTTGGCACGAAGTGGCCATTCTCCGAACTCGAGTACCAGGCCAATTTGATCCGGAGGTAGGTTTTGAAGATACGCGACTGTGCGTGTCGGGCCGCTCAGAGGTCCGTTATTTGTCTGTCCAAAGCGCTGAAGTAATTCGAGTGCTTGGCGATGCAATTTCTTGCCGTAAAGGAAATCAATTAGGTCGTTATATCTGCCAGTGCCCTCGAGTCTCTCCATGACTACTTCTGGATCGCAGAAGTTGGCAATGCGGAAGAGGGATCCAGCTAGTGATGGCGTCGCGAACATGTGTGCACGGAACAAAGTGGTGTCAACCAACCGTGCCTTGGCACAAATTCGTGAGGCAAACTCATCGGGAGATGGGAAATCTAGTAACTTAAGAACCGAGTCACTTGCCTCATCTGTGGCTTCGACTGGTATAGCAGCTTTGAGAGATCCGTCGGGGTTGAGGAAGCGCTGGAAGCGTCGGCGAACATCTGCTAGGTATCCTTGTAGCTCGCGGACAGCGATTCGAAGACCTATGATTAATTAGCATATATTCAAAAAAAAGGGGAGCTTGTCGTACCTTTGTCGTCTCCACGGATACTGCTAGCCTCGCTTCCTTCATCAGGCTTTGGCACAGATGATATAATAGAGGCTGCGTGTGTTGATGTCTGCCCAGCAGCAACATCATCACCCGACCCATCACTCGATCCGTTCGTCTTTCCATTCAGAGTTTCAGACTCCGGGACTATAGAGAGATCGCCCGCGATCAAGCGAGGGTAGAGGCGAATGACACTCTCGGGAGGTGCAGACACCTCGGTAAAAAGATCTAGAGACTCCCGGTACTTGTTCAAGGCAAACAAGCTCTGCGCTTTTTCAAGTCTTATCGCGCGCAGTCGACCAGGCTTATCCCGTAAGAGAGCATCCTCCAGCATGCCGAGTAAGCTGATAGCCTCATCTAGATAACCACCCTCAACCAAAGCATCAATCTGGGTATCATAGCTCAGGGCTTCCATACGCCATATTGTGCGATCACTCGCCACGAGGAACCCTTTACCGGCATGGGCGAGGCTGATATTCGGCTGCGGAATGTGCAAAATACTAGCCGACGGCAGCGGGATGGACTGCAGTAGCGACAAGGTCTCCGGGTTTCGTACCTCCAACACACCTTTGGATGAGTCATGTAAAGCCAACAGAAACGGGTACGAGTATCCAAGCTCCACCGGGGCATGGCTCCAAGGCACCTGCTTCCGACCAAGAGGTTGGCCGTCAATATCGATGAAACTCGTGTTGATATCCTTAGCCAGAAGAATCTGACCTTCACGCAGTCTCGTCACAAGTGGCCGCGGCACCATGCCTCCCATACCAATATAACTCATGCTCGCGGCGCCAACACCCGTGAACCGGCCTGCTTCCTCAATGCTGCCCGGCCCAGCCAGGTCCGTGGACTGTCCATTCTCGATATTGACCATGACAAAGCTCGAGTTTAGTCCAACAACTAGTCGCGTAGCCGCAACCCAGGTGAGAGTCTTGACCCCACTAACCAAGCTCAGCTCAGCCGTATCCCGCTCCAGTTCCATGTCGCGCCACGCCCGCATGAGAATTTTCCGCTTGACAGCGACTGCCAAGCGGGAAACAATAGCAGGCACATTTGTATCGGGATCATTGACAACATTCGACGTGATGGCAAATACAGAAGCACCCTTCGTTTGGGTTAGCTGTTCAACAAGCTGGTACGACTGCGCATCGTGGAGCCAGACATAACCACCAGAAAGAGAGACTAGTACGTTAGCCTCCTTAATCAAGGCAAGCTGTTCAATCTTGTATCGGGAGAATTTCTCTAGTTCTCGAAGGAGCTCGGTCTTGCCGTCGTCAGTGACGCGGTAGACGCGAAGGTTGCCATTGTTCAAACCAGTGAGGAGGCGGTCACCGTAGGCTAGGACTGATTCAATGCGAGACTTGTCGCGCGGCTTGAGCTCCACGAGCGGCCGCGCGGTGAATGCTGACAACATGGGCGTGCTGTCTTCAATTCCTTCCACTGGAGGTTCGAGGAGCGCCGCTGCTGGAGCTCTCCGCATGACGTCCGAGCTGAGTCAGTTCTGAGTCAGCATAACTATATCCCGAGATCTGGCCGCGCGGGCCCTATTCTCTAGTCGTTTGTTCATACAAGTTTTCTCTGATAGAAACAAATTAGAATGTAACGCGCGTTAGAAGTGAGCGGTAACTGAGAGTCAGGCGTCGCTTAGTCGTCGCTCAGCCGTCGCTCAGTCGTCGCTTAATCGTCGCTCAGTCGTCGCTCAGTCGTCGCTCAAGTGTCGAAAACTTCAACTTTCCGATAACGCGTGAATATTACAATGAACCCGCGGTAAAAAGTGATTTGTAAGAATAATATTGTTCAGTTAAAGTAGGCTAACTAACGCATAATGAAAGGAAAAGCATGTTTGTGGTATCTGAATATCTCATGCAATCCGAATTCCCCCCACATCCAGGTGACGCCGCGCCGATGCAGATCAACACTCCCCTAGTGCTTGGTCTCAGTGTCCTCTTTCTTTCCTCCCTCAGCGGGGAATTCCTGGTGCTTTGCCGAAGTGCCCTTTCCACGCCAGGTCGAGACAGCGGGGATATCAGCCTTGAAGCGCTGCTCTTCGGTGCCGTAAGCGCGGGGGGTGAGTTTGATGAGAGTGTGCAAAGGCACCTCCATCCAGGGACTCTGCTCCTGGGGCACGTTCATGAAGTAGGCGTAGATGCAGCGGAGGACAGCTTGGTGGGTAACGATGATGACATTCTCACTGCGCTCCAGTTCCATGATGATGGGCTCAAGGCGGATGACGACGTCGCGGTAGGACTCACCGCCACGGTAGCGGTAGTTGTACTTGTCTTCATCACGGGCAGCGAAATCCTCGGGGTATTTCTCAGCGATTTCTTCGTAGGTCAGGCCGTCGCAAACGCCCGAGTCAAGTTCGTCCAGGGCTTTCCACTCCAGCTTCTCATAGCCAGTCGCAGCCTTGAGGTGACGGGCACTCTGAATAGTACGACGCAAAGTCGAAGTCCAGATTACGATCTTGGTGTTGTCAGGGACACCAGACTTGCGCAGCAGCTCGGGAAGTGCGCGGGCGTAGGCTTCGCCGCGCTCGGAGATGTTCGAGTCGCCTCCAATACGGCCAGTCAGGTTGAACTCGGATTCACCGTGCTATTTTCGTCAGTAAGGCTTCACATAATGGTTGGAAACTGTATTGTTTTGACTTACTCGGGAGAGCCAGATGGAACGAGGCTTGATGTGAATATTCTGGATGTAGTAGACCAGACGGCTGGACAGGTAATCTTTGATCTGGTTGATGATGACGGTCGATCCCACGTTGATGAGCTTGACGTAGGTGTACTTCTTCTCATCTTCGTCGATGGTTTCGTACACCTTCTCGTAGTTGCGAATGCGGTTGCGGAAATCAAGGGCAGCGACCTCAGGATCTTGACCCTTGTAGTCCGGGGAGGTCGTCTTGACTTCCTTGATGTTAGTCATGATGAGATCTTCGTCATCACAGATGGACTCCACAAAGAGAGCCTCAATGCCAGCTTCAGTGCACTTCTGATAGATCCACTTGCGGCGCTCCTTGGTGGAGTTGGTGGCATCCAAGATGGCGACAATACCCTTGCCGGTCTTGAACCACTGAAGCATGTCCGACATGGCAGCCTCTGCGGCAGCTCGGCGCATGCGTTCACCCTCTTCATTGTGGGGGTCAAAGAAGGCGGCTCCTGGCTGCGGGTTGCTGAAGCGGCGATAGCTACCAACGTTGAAGACACGGGCAGGGATACCGACCCAACCCAGATAGCGCATGGCTAGTCGCGGAGTTAGTCTCACATTCATTTACGGATGGCAGGTTCACTTACCCTTGCCGGCGATGAGACTCTTGCCACGGGCCGGAAGGCCCACCATGACAACACATATCTTTGAGTCGTCGGACTGCGGAAGGAAGTTAACGGCGAACATTCTGAGTTGTGCCTTTCACGAAGAAAAGCCAGATGAATATTGAAAGAATGTCCGATTGTGGGAGTTGTGAGAAAGAGAAGAGACAGAAGGTAAACAAGACAGAAGATATAGTAGTCCCAAACGCAGTAACGCGCGATCAGAGTAACGCAGTATCGCGCGGACGATGCGATTTAGGCATCTTATATTTCTTATACTTCATGTAACATATGAGGTCAAACAATCCCCAATCAACCTAACCCACATACACATAATGCAAGCCTCGGCAACGTAACAATGTACCGACCCCGTGCATATCAGACAAAAACAGAGATCTAGCGGAATTGCACTCACCCTTGCAACGAATGCCTTATTCTGGACATTTTTTGGTAACATTTTGAGGTTGAGGTTATATGAAGAATGGCAAATACGAGAATTTCGGGAAGATTAGGGGCAATTCCGACCCGAAGCCGAAGGACCAAGGAGCAGAACTTAACCCAACATGGGGGTCTGGCCGAGTAAGATATGGAGAATATAGTCTGTAGGAATGGATTATAGTATGAATTCACAAAGAAAAGAATTAAAAAAAGATAAAAAACCAGAAGAAACAGAACAGAAGAAACAGAAGAAACAGAATTCAAGGAGGCGCATAATGCGGTGAGTCTGGATTCCCCACTAACGTCATGAATCAATCCACTTTGACATCTTTGATAGATTCACGGAGTATTAATATTTATGTATGACAATGCCTTGTTCTCTGATATGCGGGGATTTCTTCATGTAGTGATATCTCTAATCTAAATTGCGAAAGCTAAGCCAAGCGCTATACTACATACATATGCAGTTCTTCATACTTCATACCTACTCACCTTTCAGGGATCATGTCTCCCTGCGGCTGTTTTTATACGGGCGCTTATACCCCGGACATACGACAGGTAGGCAATCCAAAGAGAATTGACTAGTATACATAAAAGTTCGATATTCAGTGCGCAAATGGATTGACCACCTTGTGTAATACATACTTGTCTTCCGGCACACACCGGTATCCTTCATTGAGCTAGTGTAGATGTTGCCATAGTATATAGTTACTAGACTCTTGACCTGAGTACTCAGTACTCTCACCGGCTTCAAATATGAATACCTCGAGGTGGCCTCATCTTCGGGTGTGCGGATGAGCTAATTATAAAAGAAAAGTGGCCCGCCAGTCCGGCCATCCGTCATGTGTCATATATAACAACTTCAATATTGTCTCTAGCCAAGTTATTCAAATCACTCACGTGCTACGTTGTCAGCCCACTGATATTAACAGCACTAAAGAACAAAAAGGGAATAGATCCAGATAATTATGCATAGAAACGGCGGACCTGTGAACTACTGTATGTGGTTAGTTTTGCCTATTTGGGTTCAGCTCCTCAATACGTCCTGTATGTTGTAACCTCCTCTCTCTCTGTCCCAACATAAAACTAGGAAGCTAGTATAGCTCTTAATACTGTGCCAACCGTGTTTATCCTCTTAATATCCTTTCGAATATAGTCTATTTAACTAACTAGTTAACAGTTTAGGCCTTGAGAAATCCCACAGCACTGGTGCCGCAGCACTAGTCCCGCTGCAGTACTGGACCCTTGGTTCGGTAGTGCAGTGCTGCGGGGGTGCTGCAGCACTGTAAATAGTGCAAACACGGCCTGATCTCGTAACATGTAGAAAAGCTTTGTATTCTGTTTGTATGAAATATTCCAATGATCTATCAACGACATGAAGCTAATTCGGTGTAAGGCTAGAAGCTCTGGGGAATATAATGATGGTTCATTCTCTAGGGACTGATGTATTTATTCTGCCGGTTGGGTTATTCTGCCAAAGTTAGCCGATAACACTTCACGTGACATAATTTCAATGATTTTGGGACCTATAGGTGACAAGACCTGGTGATATGACATGCACACGAGGCTATGACTTAATTACTGTACTTCGCTTCGCTCTACAATCACTTATGGCAAGTTAAATGGGCTTGCACGAGTTTGTTAAACAATTAGTATTTAGACCGCCTTTGGACTGTTTTGTGTTATCATATTGGCTCATTGCTTCCTACCGCCTAAGGGTTCTGCCCGCCATAATAAACATCAATGTTTCTCTAGGTTACGTCACATCTGCTGGTTCTTCATTGTTTCCTTTGTCAATTTGCCACTTCAGATTAGGCCCTATCCTCACAAAGTTGCAGTAATGCTTAGTGCCACGACTAACTCGACAGTTTATCTCGCCTCACATAACAAATAACACATATATCCACAAGGGTAATGCTCTTTCTAAGTATAATATGATGGGTGCCAAAATATCCGCACAAGATCTAATCACAGTCCAGCGTGCCTACGAAGAGATTCATATCCATCCTGCACAACTTTTGCTGCCTGCAAATCATCTTTGTAAGGTGGGTAGAGATCGAAAAGGTGCTCTGCACCATCGAGAATGCGGAGGTCTGCAATGACGTTGCGTTGTCGCAGTGCTTCAAAAGTTCTCACTGCCTGTTTCCAGGGAATAAGATCGTCTTCTGTGCCGTGAATGATGAAAGTAGGGGTGGTATATGCGCCACAGCGTATCTGAGCCAGCGGCGAACATAGGGGCGTTGGTGTAGACGTTTTCCAGCAAGGCTCTAGATTTGATACTGCCAAAGAATATCTCCAGTAGGTCGGCTTTCCGGGTAAGACATTCGGCGAATTTGGAACCCGTGGATGCGAGTAGAGTGTGCTCAAATGCATGCTGCGGGAACTTCGAGATGGCGAGAACCGTGTCAAGAGCGATGAATTCGGAGATCGGAATATCAACATGAAACTGTCGCCTTATATCGCTCAAGACTTCCGTACTCATGAGCGCGTCGATCCCAATGTTTGCCAGATAAGTGGTTGGTGCAATCTCGTTAACAGGAATCTCAGTCGCTGAGCTGAGTAGTTGCCGTAGTACACTAAGAATCCAATCCAGGTTCTGTTCAATACCAACAATGCTACCACTATCCCGGTTATTTGTGGAATGAAGATTGGTGTGTACGGAATTCAAAGTTTGGCTGTTCTTCACCCCCTTTGTTCCATTTGTCGCAGGTTGAGTATTCGCCAGACTCACACCAGGCGTATTGAGATTCGCCAGCATGGCGACGAGTGACTTCATAGCGACACTATGAAAGGTGGCGCCCATGACCATGGCAAACAGTTCACCTGTGACAGGGTGAAAGACTAGGATGTCGTTCACTAGCTTCTTCTCGGAAACCTCGTCGAACGTCGTATAGACATCCCAGGACTTCGTTTCCATCAGCAAGAGCTTGAGGGAGGGTTTTGAGCACGACTACTCCGACCCCTTCTCCTCGACAGTAACCGTTGGCGCCTGCATCAAAGGCCTTTGAGACTACCAAATATCCGCCCGCTGTATCTGTCAGTATGCTCCAGGCGTCAGGAGATACGCACCTATGGGCGCTGTCACGGGTCCAAGCACAGGACCGAGCACCCATTGCCAACCCGCGGTTCTTTGAGGGAATCATATCCGCGAGCGATCCTGCTCCGATGGATAATGGCACACTGCCAGCCGTGCCGGCCAGCAGACGACACACCATGAAGCCCAGAAGGTTAGGAGCCAGGGCACACGTGATGGTCATGAGGAGGCAGAGTACATTGCAGACATGATAGATTATGTTGCGTCCGTATAATTCAGACAGAGGGGCGAGGATCATCGGTCCAAAAGCGTACCCAAGAACGTAGACCGAGACTACAAATGCACGCAACTCATCATCCTAGGGCTGCTGGAATTCCTCCATGATCTGGGAGGCAGCTGGTGCTACAATTGATGATCCCAGTGGCCTAGGATTTCTCTTCGTTTTAGTTTCCGAACTACCGACGAAGGGGGCCTGGGAAGCAGTCTCATACGTTAAAATAGTGAGCAGTGCCACGGTGATGGTGATAGCGACTTTCTTTCTCAGGGGCCAGTTCATCGGATTCAGGGGATCATCTAGGCCTTCCCAATCGACCACATCGGGGTTGGTGGACTGAGGGATTGAGGCCAGAGTTGTATTGCCCATTATTTCCCACAGAACCTTCTGGGTGGGTGCGGAAGACTTCAGGATATGTATATGGGCGAGGGGCAACTTTGTTGGGGTGGTGACCCCTGGTGGCTTGAGTCCGTCTATTCCATACAAATCGCGGGGATGTTGGACTATGAATACTGGCTTAAATGGTGGGGCTACCGCTGTGATCAGTCACTCAGTTACGGTAAAACTAGTTACCTGGTAACTAGCCCCTGAGAAGATGCACCAGTTTTCCCAGACCGCGTCTGTAATGGACCGGCTACTCGATTCTTTGTTATTTCACGATCACCATGGCCTACGGGGTATGCATTCTACAGTAGTTCCATGTACCGCAGTGGCCCACAGATGGTTGCCATCAAGGCGCTCCTCGAGCGTCCCAAGGCTTTACTAAAAGGCGAAGAGAGGGTACATGAACTGAAGGTAAATACAAAGACTTGATGGCATAGAGATTTCAAACATAAGTAGCATTCATTCCAGCTGGTCTCTAGGTTAATCGAAGAACGCAGCGTTCTTGATCGTCCGTAGATCTGCGGCCTGTCTAGGGCTTCCCACCACGCATCATCTTGGAGAGGTTCTCGAAGGCAGTGCGACGGCTGTCCACAATCCCGTTGAATGTGTCTTCTGGCCCAATACTGCCAATTATCAGTCCCTGATAAACCTGCTGCGTGAATGCGTCCAAGGGCATTCCCAACTGGCGACCCGCATCCTCTCCCATGTAGTCGTGCAATTCCGCTATAGCTAAAGGTCAGCACTGAAATATCAACATTATGGGGCCAGGGTTGCCTTACTCTGGACCGGTGGAGGAGAAATCTCGATCACTTTGGTGTTCGAGTGCCGCAGTTGCTCCCGCAAACAGAGAGTAAAGACATTCAGGGCGGCCTTCGATGCTGAGTACGCCGGAAGCGTGGCGGCAGGCACGATGGCCAAATTCGAGCCGGTACTGATACATCCATTAGCTCTTGCCGCAGATTGCGGCCGGGTAGGCGTCTTACAAGATGAAACTAGTTGGGTTCGGGTTCTTCTGAAGATATGGCAAAAGGGCGTGGGTGAGAGAAACGAAGCTGGAAAAGTTGATCTTCACTTCCTGGTGAAACGCCGTCAGATCAAAGTTGTCGAGATCTGCCAGATCGTACGGGTTTTGCACCCCAGCATTAAATACAATGGAATCAATATCTGGCGATTCCTTCATCACCCTATTTGTTGTCCATCACCCCGTTAGTATGTAGAAAGCCCCGGCTAAGGACCTCGGGAAATAGACCGTACCTTGTGACAAAATCTGGAATCTTGACCAACTCTCCAATGTCGAACCGCTCGCCTTTCGCATGTGTAGGCCCGAAAGTCTGCACGAATTCATCCAGACGGTCCTGCCGCCGACCCACGGCGGTGACCTTAGCCCCCGACTCAATTAAACGAGTCGCAAGGGCCTTGCCGATTCCAGCTGTCGCGCCGATAACCAAGAAATGCTTGTATGGGAATGCCATTCTCTCTCTAAGAAATCCGGGGTCTCCGCCGTGTTTGATCTGGCACTGTAGTAGAGTGAGAATTACGAGCCTGCGGTTGGTCGCTGCTGAGACTGATTATATTAAGTAGCACCTCTTAGCGTCGCATACCGCAGCCATTACTCCAGAGTCCGTAGTGTGGGGCTCGGTTTTACGGCCTAACGGTTTTATCTTTCTTATCCCCGAGAAAGTCTAGACTAACATCAACAAATGGCCTCGTGGTTACTCGGTGACGCTATGGCTAGCGTTGCATGGATCTTCCTGCTCTTTGTCAACTTATCAACGCCTGGAACCGAGTGAATAGGCGGACATCCCTGCAGCGGTTGTGTATCCTCCCGAGATGACGCAGGTGATTCGGGGCTGTTCTCTTACTCGAGATCAGGTCGAGTCCAAAGATATCCAGTCTTGTGAGAATCGACTCCCAGGTCAGATTCACATCGACCCTACCAAATGGGTTCTTTGGTCCCCTATAGGTTGGTCACCCGGAAAGTCAGGAACCCGCACCTGCATACACTACGGTAGGATATAAGCATTGCACTACTATAGATAATGGTCTTTTGGCCGAGCGGAAGAGACGTGCGCCCAGGCATATACTTTACAATCACATCGATAGATAGTGAATACGTTTTTTTCTCTCAGCTTTGTTCAAAGATTGGAATATAGCCTGCGACTTAGCGGGTCTAGGTCAGATTGACACGAACAAGAGCGTCCCTTGAGTCTTTGACGTCGAGCATGCATTGACCGGCCCCTTGAAATTTCTTTTCCAAAAATACGGACCCTCGCAAGCGACGCCATATAAGCGCGGGATTGGTCGATAGCTGTCATGCACGTATTAGAGCATATTCCAGAACTGCAGCGTTTGCAAAACATCGGACGCCATCTCGCAAAAGTAGCGTTAAAATTGGATTCAAAGAGCTCATGTGTCGAGGCCTGACTGAATGGTGTATAGTAACGAGCAAATGATGAAAATCCGGTGAGCTAGGTCAAAACTTACTATTGAAAATATCGTGGCGCACTGGCGGTTATAGAAACTGGCCGTAGCTGGCCTAACTCGGGGAATGAGTACTGAAAGGGGACCAGCAAGATGGCGTGATGGTAGAATGTCACGCATTCTGCTAGGAAGGAAGAATAATGGGAGCTATAATTATCTAGAGAAACATCGGGGCAAGGGTAATTCCTATCGCTGGCTCAAAATATCTGCCAGAATCCGAAGTTCATCCCAAATTTCGAATCTCTGGACGAAGTAGCAGGGGTTATATGCCGACCCCTGGACTTGCTTATGCGCGGCCGAGGCAGTTAATTTGACCAAAGATAAGCATTTATGCATGTGTAGCTTTCTAAAGGTCGGACAATTTTGTAATTCCATAGGCCGTCTATATAATTACCCCATGAGGTCGAAGGCATTAGTAACCCCAGCATGTCCACTTTTGACCGCTTTGATAGACCGCCTATTCCTAATAATGAATTTTTCGACTGGCAAAATAAAGGCGTGCAATCCGCCCGTGCATTAGTGTTGTCTCAACATTGCGGTCCGCTGGACCCTGGAAGTTGAAAATTAGGTGCTGTCAATCTCCTAATTAGGAAGCCGGTATATACCGGCAGTATATTCGATAATTCATGGTCTTGGTATTACTGCCAAGAAGTGGCTTCAGATACATTAGTCGAGTTTTCTGCCGGATTGTCGGAGGTCTATTGCAAATGCTTCTGCTCCCTCATTTTTTAGTATCAACCTGGTTCTGATATGTAAGGTTGTTTTTAATTGCTGTTTCGATTCCGTTCTACCCTGCCATGCCGGCCCGGCCGAGAAGGGACGCTAGTGCATGCACGCTACAAGCCTCTTCTTGGCGGGAATACCAGTACCATGAACTATCAAATATACTGCCAACATACACCGGATTTTTAATTAGGAAGTCGGGAGCACCTAATTTTCAACTTTCGGAGGATCCTAATCTGATATATCGCAGCAAGACATATTCTTTAGGCAATCTTCCACGGCAAATCTCGATCAAGAGATCGGGCTTAGAAGAGGTCTAGGAGTCGGACACGCTCAGCTCGCCCAATCAGACGAAATTAGCAACCCAAACATCCATAGCCCTAACTCCTTTCCGGCCCCCTTGTATGCCCTTCAAGCTTGCCTCACACGCATCCCGTGACGCAATAGCCACGGCCCGTTCTCTCTCATCAACCACTAGCTCCTCTACTTCCTTTTCGAAAGAGGAAGAAAGACAAGCAGAGACTTCCCATTGTCCGTCTAACAACCCTTCCCCACCTTGCACGAGGGCCTCGCTCTCCAGTTGCCATCCAGCAGCTAAGGCCAGCTCGGTAAGCCGCGTTGGGCCCAGTACCGTGCGGACGTTCGATTCGCTGTTAGGTTTACGGCACTCCAGCGCTGCCTGGGTGAGCGCAGCTAACACGTGAGGCTGGGCGGAGGGGTGTGTCGCTACTAACGACCACTCAGCAAGGAGGAGACGCTTGCTGTGCTGCTTGATGGCACGGAAGGTGGAAAGGATAAGCGATGGGGAGGCGAAGTACCATAGGCAGTGGGCGAGCACTGTCGCGTCGAAGGCCTTACTTTCGCTGGCGGGCGGCGAGGAAAGGGAAGAGAGGTAGTCCAGGGGGGTTTGTTGGACCCAATTAATCCGTCCACCCAGCGGGCCTTGCGAGATGTGACCCTGTGCTTGGCCGAGAGTATATGGGGCACCTGCGGGGGCTATCAGTCGACCCAGGACAGGCAGCAGGGTCAGAAAAGCTAGAGGACTTACCATAATCCAAATCCGCCGGATCGACCGCCACTACTCTACCATGCTCGCCTACAGCATTGGCAAGGACAGTCGTGCAGTCTCCTTGCCCGCATCCTAATTCCAGCACCTTGGAGTCAGTGGGAATGTTCCAATGCTGCAGGAGCACTAGGCGGTGGATGGTTTGGGAGTGCTGGATGCTGAAGTGAGCGGGGTCGTGTAAGGAGACCCGGGCGATTGAGGCGGCGTCGAGTTGAGTGGACATGTTGTGAGTGCAGCTCGATGGGTGTTAGACACAATATGGCCGAGTGGGTTTTGCGTAGTAGCAACCGAAGAGCTGCCTATGGGGACATCTTATAGTGCCACACACTACCGCAAGATTAGTATGGGGTAAGCTACTGGGGGTTGATATTGTGACATTCTTTTACTATGACAAAGCCCCACCCCACTCTTTCAGGCATCTACCGGACTCCGGAGTATTTGGATTGAGATAACTCTGGGACATTTTGCCGGCAATTTTCTTGAAACTTCAACTTCTTGGTATAGGACCTTTTATAGATAGGGTACGAAGTGGTACTAGTTATCAAGGTAAAATTCCAAAGCGGCAGACGCTTCATCGCGATAGTAAAAGAACATTCTACCCAACGACCCCGCTTTCTAGATTGACCCGATGCCTTTCTATAAGTACGAGGTCGATTCCTCCGAGTTTAAGAATCTTTAGAGTCATGTCTATCCTCATGAGTCATTACATCTCCCACAAATAAGAAATCCTTCTCATCCATTGCAACACGCACCCTTTTGCCAGCGATCATCCAGAAATCACCATGGACGGTTATTTTCCAACGAGGACATCTGACTGTATCAACCAGCTGGATTTCTTCCAAAAATAACCACGGCCATGGTGATTTTTGGAATGAAAAGAATTTCTTATTCGGATGAATGCTATTTGATTGCTTTTGTTGAGCTAGTTGAGAAATGTGAAGTTTATCTGAACACTTTATGCTCTCTCAAGCAACTCAAACCCAAAGCTCGGTGCTATATGAATTTGCATAAAGCTCACATGACACGCCACGCGCTGGCACCTCATTTCCACTACTAGACTCTCCGCCCCGCGGGGACAGGCGAACTCCAGTGTTGTGCTGTTCGGCTTGGCTGTAAGGTCAAGTACGCCGAGCAGCTCCCCGCGCACGGGAAGGGTCGAATACGATAAGGTATCATAATCGAGCTCGTCCATAGTGGAAGAGACGTTAGCCAAGATGTCTGAGGGTGCGATAAGCTGCCAGACTTCAATTTCTGTTATATCTCCCTTGGTTGTGAGGTCTTTGGCACGCGGAGAGAACTCGGGAGGTGGCCGCCAGGAGAGTGCGCAGGTGTTGACGCCGGTGGGGGAGATGGGAAAGCGCATAATTGTCGAGTCCTTCTCTTGCGTCAGTGAAGAGAATGAGGAAGGAGCAAGTACGGAGTACGGACCTCGACAGTAACATAGACCTGCACCCCCTGACCCCACACGGCATTCTTCAATCTCCGGCTCACTCGTGCAATTCTATCCGGCCAAGTGTGGTGATAGACCTTGGGAGGGGGAATGAATTTCGCTACCCTGTCCAATCCCAGCCTAGCGTCGCCATAGGGGAGGGCCTCGAGGTCAGAGTCAGAGAAGGGGTAGGCTTGGTACTTTGATAGTGTAGTGGGAAGGAGAGCGACATTCACAGCTGATAGCAGCGCTAGGGCGAAGGAGAAATAGAGGATGAGCTTGGGCAGCTGGGAGGGCTTGGATGGCGCGAGGGCGGGGAGGTTGTCCGAGGCTTCCAACAAGGGGGTAGAGTGGTCGTCCTCGGAGGAGCGCTTCTCAAAAGTTGCGCTGGAGCCTTCTCCATCATCTTGTAGTGAAAGAGGCTCATATTGGGAAGAGCTGGACTTTCCTTGAGAGGAGGACATGGCGAGAGCAGAGCGAGCCAGAGAGAGAGGGCACGCCGCAGGTAAACGCAAGTAACGTAAAACAGGCTATGGCACCCATTCCAGGTAACCGCTCAGAAAGTATGACAGCATGAAGCCTAGTACGCCTTATTTCTCACCGCACCTCGCCGAAGATAGTAGAGTTACAGAAACTTGGCCCTTCTGCATGGCGAAACAAGGCGGCGGGGACGGATCGACCCGACGCTTGGTACGCCTTACTGCTCACCGCGCTCGCCATACATCATAGATAGTAGAGTTACAGTGCATTAGAAACTCCGCCCTTCCGCATGGCCAAGTGGACCCTTGTGCGTTCGTCATCGCTGGCCAAGGAGGCGGGGGCGGGTCCCCGCCGGGGCCCCGCCGGGGGCCCGAAGTGGGGATTGGATCTTGCGGGTCCAATGCAAATTGTACCTTTTCTATGGGACATACATATAAAGGGTACTTCCAAAAATATATATATCTCGACCATATCATTGAATTAGTATTACGAACTTAATTTGTAAAAACACTATTTCTAAGATTTTTATTATTATCTAAAAGCAGAGAACCACATCGGGGTTTGGGTCAGTGTTGGACCGATTAAGTTTTGCCATAGATAGTAAAGTTACGATGCATCAGAAACTCAGTCCTTCTGCATGGTCAAACAGATCATCGCGGCCAAGGAGTGAGACCGTCTGAGATCACTTCAACTTGCCCTCGCTCTCTACACCGTGCTGCACTGACCTCTGTCCACCATGCCCTCCCTCCTCGCTGCAATCACCTTCCTGCTTGCCCTCGGCATCAACATCAACCTCACATCCGCCGCGCATGCCGGCTTCCACGTCCAGTTCCCATGGATGACCCGCGGTCCAAACCCCAAGGCCCGCCCAGAGATAGATTGGTACAACCCTTTCTGCGGTATGTTCCTCTGTCTCCGGTCTAGTAGTACCGTAGGCTGATACACAGAAGGGGAGATAGTGCATAACCCCCAACGATACTCCCGCCGCTCCCGTAGTTTTCTCTCGTTCTCCGGCCATCCTGGAGACCTTGTGACGGCCCTCTATACTCGACATAGAGTACCAAGGAAGAGAGATGACTTTCCCTACATCATCCTGCAGGATGTGCCCATCCAACCCTCGGGACAGCTGTGTGTGAATGTCACGATACCATTCCAGACCCAGGTCAACGAGATGGGAGTTATATACTTCGAAGCGAGGGATCCGAAGACGGGGAATGTGGAACATTATGTCAGTAGCTCTGGCTTGCCCCAGTAGAGCTGATGCTGATGCAATGATAGTGCTCCGACGTTAAGATGGCTGACATGGAGGCTCTTCCGGAGGAACATCCGGCTATGTGTGCGGCTAACAATGAGACACTTATCCCGATGCCGGATGAGTACTTGTAGATGCAGGCTGGAGGGCTGTCTTGTCCTGGAATTATTATGTGTAGTACGCTTCTCAAGGTGCAACTTTGCGCCCCTCTCTTATCTTAATGTACAATTGCGCAACGCAACGGCACTCTAGCGCGCCTTACAATGTATAGAGAGACTGGACATAATACATGTACATGCAGAAGAGATAGCCAAGATAGTGCTTGATATACTCTGTTGATAATGTATACTGCTATGTAACAAAGTTGTGAAGAGAATGCGGTGCCCGCCTGTAGAACATGTTATAGACGTTTTAAAACCTCATTACATGCGAGACTTTGTTTATCCGCCGCCGAACAGTATTCAGACGACCTCGTCTTCATCCACTCCGTAGGTGTGCCTCTTTTCGAGTGCCTCATCTTCATCCACCCCGTAGGTGTGTCGCTTCTCGAGCGCCTCGTCTTCATCCACTCCGTAGGTGTGCCTCTTTTCGAGTGCCTCATCTTCATCCACCCCGTAGGTGTGCCTCTTCTCGAGCGCCTCGTCTTCATCCACTCCGTAGGTGTGCCTCTTCTCGACCGTGTTAGGAAGGTAGACACGGCTGATTGGCTGCCCGGCGCGGCGAGCCAAATCAGCGGCGGGAACTGCTGCGGACTGCACAGGGAGGATATTCAGGCCGAGGCTGGCGAGGCTGAGCAGGGTGGTGAAATGCATTGTTGGAGTTTGGCAGCGAGCGGATGCTTTGGTTGTGTGAGATGAAGAGGTGGATCGTTGAGATGTTGTCAGTGCTCGTTATGCCCTTGAGAATTTATGCGTTTGCGATCCGAAACAGAACAAGAGAGGTGCCGAGTCAAAGTGCCGACTCACATCGTCCCCTCATCTGGTCGACGATCACTACTAAAAATAGAGGAGTAGGAGGCCTTACATGTAATTGTAAATCTGTAATGCATATGATGTGATATGCTCTATAGATGCGGAGTAACTATGTGTTGTTGGTCGTACTTGTGCACGCCCCACTCTCGGACCGAAGCGAGAGTGGGGCGTGCACAGCCCTGGAAGGACTAGTAGTGTGGAGATAAGCATTACCCACAATTCTTACTTCTCTTCTCAACCACCTACCTATTTGGTCCTAAGAGGGGCGCGATAACCCGAAATTCCTCGAGATTCATTGACTAGCCACCTGGCGAGCAAGAAGTCAAATCAGGGTGTCGTCATTATTTGCCCCAAGGATGATCACCGTGTCTATCTCTCGTGATGAGTACGGAGTAGGGTAGGATTATTTGTGGAGCCCCAAACTGCACTACGTGTACTTCTCTGCTTACTGGCAGTCTTCACTTCATTGAAGAAACACTCTGGCGAATAGAGCATCTCGACAGTTGCGTCTTCGGGACCATCGTGACTTACCTACCCAAGCCAGAGCGGATACGGCCATAGATGTGTTAGACACAATTAACCCGCTCCTGATGCTGAAAAAAATCCCGTCTCCCTCTGCTACCCTCCACGCACCACCCTACAAGCACACCCAATATGTTCCCTAAGTCCGTGACCCGATTAAGCGGCCCCTACCTCGGCCTTCTCGCAGCGCTGAGCGTATGCCTCATCCTGAATCTGGGCGCCCTCTTCTTCTCACTCCGCATCTTAATACGCGGAACGCGGGGATACAGTGCGCCATAATCCTGATTCTCCTCTCACTCATGACTAACGCACAGCAGCCTACCTCGCCGGCGACCGACCTCGTGAGCTCCCCATAAAGGTCCGCACCATCCAAGCCGCCTTCCACGACGACCCCTCCCATTACGGTATGGAAGGCATCACGGCCACGGCTGAATGGAACGCAATCCGCCCTCCCGGCAAGGGTTTCGTTTTTCTAGGGGAGGAGCACTTCGCATTTGATGTGTCGATGTGGCACCAGATGCATTGCCTTAACCATATACGCGCGGTGCTTGTTAATGGGGACGACGGGTCGGACCATACGGCGCACTGCTTCCATTACCTACGGCAGGGCATTCTCTGCGCCGCTGACACAACCCTAGAGTCGGGCGGCACGAACATGAAATTGGCTAATGGGGATAAAGTTGCTACGGGCGGAGGGACCGTACATACCTGCCGGGACTGGAGACAGGTGCATGATTGGATGGAAAACCAGCATAAGGAGTGGACACCAGAAATGTATACAAGGTTTCAGGAGTCGAGTTAATAATCTAGTGGGTATAGAATGGGAATATAAAGAATATGCGTCGTATGGAACTAGACAACTATTCTTTGGGGTTTGGGAGAGTACCTAACTATGTGCGTAGAACTAGTTGAGCAAGGCACCTCGCTTCCTCGTTTCCGTTCACCAAGAACGAGAAACCAGATGGGCCGGAACCCAACTCGAGTGAATATGACTCTGATGTGACTGAACTCCAAGATATTGTATTAGTCTAGTCTAGTACCCGTCACTCCTCGTCTGTATACCGGTAACACAACGGCCAACCCTCCGTATCAAACACCTTCCTTGGTGCCACGGGCACACTCTGAACGTCGAAGGACATCTTATGATCTGCGTGCGCGTCAAGGTCGTAGCGTGGGTCAGTCATATTGTGCGGGGTTAGAGGCATGCCCGAAAAGGCGGCGAAATTGGATGGATGATGGCGCTGCCACTGTAAAACTGGTCAGTAGCGTTGCACTGCAGCCGAAATACGGAGCGGGGAGGTATCATAGGTTCGGGGGCGCACCTCACTCCACAACCGGTCAAGTTGCGTATGATGCAGCCAAAATAGTGGGTCATTAGGCGTGAAGCTGACTGCTATGCCCTGGCAATCCTCCTCCGGCAGGGTCTTCGGGCAGTCTCCGGCCAAATCGCCCCCAACGAAATTATGTACGTGGTTGTGCATTAGTGTCATTGCGCGCTGGAACCTAAAAAAGTCGCCCGTGGTTTGCTCGGTTGAGTTACGGACGAAATCTGGGCCGAGGGTGCGATTTTGAGGCAGCTCATGCGGGTACCAGCCGGTTATGAGCGTTAGATTCCTCCGCAGCGGGTGTTTGATCGGCCAGGAAAGCTTGAAGTTGCCGGTCGACGGGGCAAAAGCGCCGGTGGTGACGGTACAGTCTGCCTCGGGGGAGGAATCGCAGTCCCCCGTTCCACCTAGCCCGTACTCCGGTGAATCCTCGAATACTGGCGAGTTGAACAGGTCCGCGTGATCGCGCGACCAGTCCCAGTATGGTGTTGGCCCACTGTACCCGCAAGTGTGGCGGAGTGAGGTGTCGAATAGGTAGGTGAACCAGCGATCTGCGCTCATGTAAGTATGCGCCTGGGGAAGATAAGGAGGGACGGAACGCACGCCACGGCAAGAAGTAGGCATTCCTATGCGCGCTGTGCTCCACTGATGCGTGTGAGTAAGAGAAGTCGTCGTATAGGCTCCTCTTCCCCTCAAGCACCGTCTGGTCCTTCGTCAAGGATAGCCGTTCGTGTCGTATGTTTGCCAGGCACTACTCGGTATAAGCAATGTACCGTACGTGTTAGTTACGAAGGAGGACACACTTTGACAGCTCCCACCCACTCGGCTTTCTCGCTGTTCGTCAACGTCCGCCATTCTTTGCGTATCAGCAGTTTGCTACACTTTTGTGGTTGTTCCTCGTGCGCATGGGCGCTGAGGAGGACGGCGAGGACGGTGAGTACGTAGAGGAACAAAATCGAACAGCCCATGGCTATAATTCAGCCAGGAAGGGGATAGCGAGCAGGACGCGATAGTTGCAGTATTAAAGATAGCCGAAATAGTCGGGTTACTGTGCATGATGGAAGAAGTCGCCTATGCAGACCCCCGCCTTTGAGACTAACCCTAAGGGACATATGCTTTAATTCGCTGGTTCTTGAAGCCATACATATCCAGTGCCACGAATTGGCCCTAAATTGCCTCAGTTACACGGTGTCTTACTGTATCGTGGTGCCTTTCCCGCTCTTCAATCACGTCCATCTTGAAGCCACAAGCACAACGATGCGCACCTCTATCTACATCTCCCGCTTCATTGCTCTCCTCCTCTGCATCGCCTTCCCCCTCTACCTCGCTATCCGTGGCTCTGCCTCGTTGTCCGACATCGCAGTTCTCCTCTCCTCCCTCTCCGAGCGCGCCGAAGCCCTTCACGTCGAGCTCACCTCCCCGCTCACCGCCCCGCTTGCCGCCCCTCCAGCACCAATCTCCGGAGGAGCCTTCGAAGCTTCCGCCGAGCCTGCCAAACCCAGGAAAAGATACTCCTCCCTTCCCAATGGACTGGCGCACTGCATCAATTCCTTCGAGCAGTATCCGTTCCTCGCCGAGCAAGTGCTCCAGCGGAAGCATGCGCGGTATTCCAAGCAGACACCCGCGCAGAAGGCGATAAGCAACAAGCTCGGCTATCCTGCACACTTCGAGAAAGCTAGGAAGGGGGTCGAAGTGAATGCCCGGTTCTCGGAAAAGATCGCGCAGATTGCGAGAGAGGATTACCACACCGGCCCACGAGCACTGGAGGACAATGAAGACGCGGAGTTTGGAGTTGTGGACCTGGCGTTTGGGCATCTTTCGCGAGATTGGAGCACACAGGGCGTAAAGGAGAGGCAGGCCGTATTTCCGCCTGTTCTGGATGGGCTTGAGCAACATTTTGGCGGGAACGGGAGAGGGAATAAGGTACTTGTACCCGGAAGCGGCATGGGCAGGCTGGCAAGCGATATCGCTGATATAGGTGCGTCTATTTTACTTCCTTGAGTGGAAGGCGCGACCTCACATCGGTGCAGGGTACGATGTCACGGCCAATGAGCTGGACTACGGCTCCATCCTGGCCTACCGCCTGCTAACGAACCATACGACCTCGCTGCACCAGCACACCCTGCAGCCCTTTGTGACCAAATGGACGTATCAGGCCAACCCCTCCTCGCGCTATTCCGCCCTAACGGTGCCGGACCACTGGCCAAACAAGGCCGTCAAGCTCGTCGAGGGCGACTTCTTAGAGATGTTCCCCGAGGACGGTGAGTTCGATGCCGTCGTCACGCTCTTCTTCATCGACATTTCCAAGAACGTGATTGATTTCTTGGGCAACATACATCGGCTACTAAAGCCTGGTGGGGTGTGGATCAATCTTGGGCGTATGTTACTGTCCTCCCTTCCTTGAACACTGACATTTATGCATCTCTTGTGATCCGTTCACCGCCGAACTCGGGCTGACGTGTATGTACGCAGCGCTAAAATGGGGCAGCCACACCGCTCTCCAGCTCTCCGCTGAGGAAGTGCTCCAGCTGGCAGATCTGCTCGGGTTCGATGTGGACTATACGTCAAGGAAGAGCATCGACAGTCTATATGCCGAGCAGCCAGAGACGTTGCTGAAGTTCACTTATGGTGAGTTCCTGCCAATTTCTTGTGAGTGAGGACGGTTGCTGATGTGACGAGCAGTTACGCAGTTCTGGTCTGCGACGAAGAGGGAGTAATAGGTGCAAAAATGTCAGAATCTTTGAACATGACAGACTGTGAGTCTTTTACTTGCATTATACTATATATGACATCAAATCCCTTGAATTTGAACTTCATCGAGATAGCACCCAGTATAAATGTCTCCTTCGCTAATGGTAGTAATAAGCCCTATGTCTTCCGCTACGGGCTAACAATTCGGCGTGAACCTCGGTCTACCACGTGGTTTTATTCCTAGAGGAGTCTGTTCCACCCTCACTAATATACAGGAGGAGCAACTAGAGTAGGAGGCGTATCATGACGTCCAATGGAATATCCTTGTTATCAATTTTTGGTGCTGGATTCTGGGCCACTACCGGTTGGGTGTTAGCGGCGGTCTGCTCTGTGATTATACCAAGTTGTATGCTATTTGAGCGAGTCATGTATTATGGCCAGTAAAGTCGGACAGTGTTGGAACAGTGTTGGAGATAATCATGGAGGGACCAATGGGTCTAATTACTTAGAATTTTGGGAATAGAAGAAAAGAATTGGCCGCAGACTGATGAGTGAGCGAGACAGCCAATTCGACGAGGAAACGGTTTTGCTCTCCAAGTCTACCTACGTAGGCTTGGTGGCATTAGACTTATGGCGCTTAATGGGCGATACAATGCGACACATCCTATTATTAATAATACTTTTTTTAGGTAAGCCCCTGTACTTAGATCAGGCATCCTTGGGACCACGAGCGAACTGGACGCGCAGCGGACCACCCCATGGTCCTTGCTGACCATTCAGTGTATCCATAGCTTTCTGGGCTTGCTCGGGAGTACCCACATCAACGAACAGATAGTAGTGCTCGCCCGGATCGAACCGCTTAGCGGGGTGGGGAGCGAAGACCTTGCTGACATTCTCACTGCAAACCACAGCGCATCAGTACTGATCACACGATAGCAGAAACCCAAGCCATCCAAACTTACACCTTGAATCCTCGGAAGAAAAGCTCGATGTTGCTCTGCACAGCCCCGTGGTCGGTCAAGCGCGGCAGACCACCGACGTACACGCGGTTGCTGGAGTCACTGTTGACCTTCGCAAAACTAGGTCTCTCTTGCTGGCGCCAACGATCAATGCGGAATGGCTCAGGCGGGTTCTGAGTGCGCTCCTGAGACTTGGCGACACCGGGCTTGATCTTGACAGGGCGACCCAGCATATCGCGGCCATTGAGCTCGGTCATGGCGCGCTCGGCATGCTCCTTGCTCTGTAGGTCGACAAAGCAGTAGGAGGGGTTCCGGCCGGTAAAAGGATCAATGGCAATATCTATGCGCTCGCTATTTTCGGGGGTTGTTCAGTTGACGACGATTCACGGCTGGGCCAGCAGGTTTCAAGTGGTGCAGGCATACATAGGGAACTCGGCCGCTATGAACAGCGCCTCCACATCCTCCATCTTGGCCGTGTATGGCATATTGCCGACGTATAGGCGGCGCCCATCGTTAATCGCTTGGGGGACGTGCGCTCCGGGCCGGCTGAAGGCTGCGCGGGAGGTATTGGGGTTAGGGTTGGGGCTCGGGCTCGGGCTAGCATTGGTGCGCGATGGTGTTGGGCTTGCAACCTTCATGCGCCAATTGGGAGAGTTGAAGGCTCGACCATCGGGACGGACATTTGCAAAGGGAGACTTGGTAGGAGCTGTATAATGTAGATATCGATTAGTCGAGACTTTTTGGGGTATTTTCTGAGGACGATCTTACTCTGTTGCTCCTCCAGTCTGGGGCTCTCGATATCATTCATAATTTTTGAGAAAGGATTCCAATAACGGAAATATTCATCTGCCCACACAGTACACCAAAATAATTTCACAAAAACTAAAGAAATCGACTTGGGCAAATTGCAGCTCCCACTTTTTTTTTAGAGTGCAAACAGTGCAAACTCGCAATCCACTTTACTATTTAAGGCGCTCGCATTTTTTCTTCTTCCCTTCATTTCCTCTTCATCAAATACCTTTCTTGTCTTTTTTTTAGTTTTGATGGCCGTTTTTCTTCAAAAACGGCCGTATTGGCCTTGTGGTTGTGCATGGCAAGCTCATAGCTTGTAGCTTTGTTCAGCTTGCCAAGCTTCTCCAAGGACATACATTGCCAAGCTGTCTCCGATATGATGAATTATTTCATGGACGGGATAGTTAAAATTTCAGAATGTGAGTTTTAAGTGCTTTTTATATTATTTTTTCTCCTCGCTCTTATGATGAGTGACCTTTTCACACAGACCTGTTCTGAACTATATTGTTGATAAACATTGTTATATAAATGTTATCTGACAGAGCCTCTTGACTTTCTTCTCTTGTCGAGTCTATGAGATCATTGCTAATATGATTTACAGATTTTCACAGATTTTCACAACTGGCCTAATTTATAATGAAATTGATACCTTTTTAATAAACATATATGTTTTCTTCCATTATTCAGTTCGTAGTATTGTTCTTTTTCAACATCTCCAAGTTGAAAGAAACCTTGGAAAGAGCCGAGGTCTAGTCATGATTAGTCATCAATATGGGAGAAGATTGTGCCCTAGATGGAAGTGCTGATTGACATCGTAGTACTTCCCACTCATCTCCATCAAGTCTATGAATCATTCTTCACTTTATTCCACTTGACTTTATTCTACTCGACTTTCTCGCGCAGGCGCAGCCCGAAATGGGTAAACAGCACATCATGATCCTTTGTTTGCAATGAGCCACTTTCAAGAATACCCAATTAGTTCAGTCCACCTTGAACCTCATGTCTCGTTCTTTGACAGGTGCTTTAAAAGATCCACCTGAATTCTTCCTGCATTTGCATTGATGTACTTCATTCATGAGAGGAAAGAGCCCTAAAGTCATGTGTTTTGCTTGCTTTCGAGTTTCTTTGTCCCAGGAACCCAGTCCTTCCCAACCGTAAAACCAAACATCGTCTCCTCAATCCTTTTGGCCATAGACTTCAAAATAGAGATGCCAGAAAAGAAGAAAATTGCCACCATGCTGTCCGAGAAGGTCGTCCCACAAGCGCCATTCGGAACAGATGCCGAGCGAGCACGGCGCAGTCTCAATGCCAAACTCTCCAATCCGTTGGCTGGGTTCAGCCATACCGAACTGCGGAATCAGGGGCGCACATTAGCCGAGCTCCACGAGATGGGCGACGAATCCGATATCCGCGCTTTCGAGTTGGGTGCTGTGTTGGCACAGTGCCCAGAACAATATGCCAATGTGACTGGTCTAACAAACCAGGAGAAGGGAGTACTGCACCGGGAGCTCACGTATCGCTGGTCACAGCCATGGAAAATGTATGCTGTCATTACACTGTGTTCTTTATCCGCTACAGTCCAGGGAATGGGTAAGTATATTCAGCCCGAGAAGTTCCAAGCCCCTGAGGAATACCCTGGTGACAATATCAGACCAGACGGTCGTCAACGGAGCCCAGATATTCTACAAACACCAATTCGGCATCGGCGACGAATCCTCTCGGAGTGCCTGGCTCGTCGGTCTAGTAAATTCAGCACCATACCTCTGCTGCGCCTTCATCAGCTCCTGGCTAACAGTCCCATTCAACCACTGGTTCGGGCGCCGAGGTACAATATTCATAGCATGCTGCTTGTCTGCGATTACCTGTCTCTGGCAGGGGTTCGTCTCAACATGGTGGGCGATGTTCGTCGCACGATTCATGCTAGGCTTCGGCATCGGCCCCAAGTCAGCAACTGTGCCGATATACGCGGCCGAAACAGCACCACCGTCCATCCGTGGTGCGTTGGTCATGCAGTGGCATGTGTGGACGGCGTTTGGGATTATGGTTGGCTATGCGTCGGACCTCATCTTCTACAATGTCGACTCGACCGTCATCGTCGGCTTGAATTGGCGCTGTATGATGGCCTCGGCGATGTTCCCGCCTCTGGTCGTTTGCTGTTTTGTCTTTGCTTGTCCTGAGTCACCGCATTGGTATATGCGCCAGAAGCAGTATCACCGTGCTTATAGGTCTATCTGTGTGCTGCGGAATCATAAAATTCAGGCAGCTCGTGACCTGTACTACATGCATACTCTTCTAGAGGCTGAGGATAGGATGAAGCTTGGGCGTAACAAGCTGCTGGAACTTATCAAAGTCCCGCGAAATCGGCGAGCGATGTTGGCGTCTCAGATTGTTATGTTTATGCAGCAGGTGAGTGGATCTTCGCAAAACATACAGCAGTAATTGCAAAGTACTAACTTGAACAGTTTTGCGGTGTGAACGTTATCTCATACTATTCTTCCGAGATATTTCTCGAGGTCAGTCCAATCCATCAATCCTCCTTCCTCTTCAGATAGTTAACATAATAAGCCCTAGGCCAATTTTTCTCCTGCAGCTACCCTAGCCGCCTCATTAGGCTAGGGCCTAATCAACTGGCTCCTATCAATACCAGCAATCTACACCATCGACACATTCGGCCGACGCAATCTCCTGCTACTCACCTTCCCACTCATGTCCATGGCCTTTTTATTTACAGGCTTCAGCTTCTGGATCCCAGAGAGCAGCCACAACGCACGTCTCGCCTGCATCGCTTCAGGAACATACCTTTTCGGCGTAGTCTACTCCCCCGGCGAGGGCCCCGTGCCATTCACATACACAGCCGAAGTATACCCGCTATATATGCGGTCGTACGGCATGGCGCTAGGCACGGCGACCATGTGGTTCTGCAATTTCATTCTGGCCGTGACGTGGCCGTCGCTGCGCGCTGCATTTACAATACAGGGGGCTTTTGCTTGGCATGCAAGCTGGTGTTTGGTTGGGTGGTGGATGGTGCTTTTGTTTATGCCTGAGACGAAGGGGAAGACGCTTGAGGAGTTGGATCAGGTCTTTTCTGTGCCGACGAGGCTCCATGCGCAGTATGGGTTGAGACAAATTGGGGTTTTTGTACAGCGGTATTTGTTGAGGAGGGATGTTCGACCGGAAGTTCTTTATGAGAGGGAGGAATTGGTCAAGGCTCAGGATGTGGGATTTAATGCGTGATCAGAAGGGTATGGAGTGACATTTGGTCTACATTGGAAGAGATGGATTCAAGGGGTAATGTCCTTAGTTAGATCGTTTTGTTTCTGTTTTACTATAGAACTATAGAACTACTCTGACATATTGGTATTTCTAATGAACAGACTTGGAAGTCATATCCCAATGTAACCCCCCCTCACAGAAGGATTAGTCCGAATTGCAATTTCTCGAGAAATGCCACGAGTCTAGGTGCTTTTGCTTGCAGTTTGTATGGAGGCGGCGGCTTCCTGTGATTTGGTCGTTGAGAATCATGAGAATAAATGCTGATTTTCTTCAATTTTATTTTCTTAGTATTTCTTCTTATTGGTCGCCTCTACTACTCTAGTTGGCAGCTTTGCATAAAGGATTGGCATAATAGATTATCTTATATTCGGTCAACGTCCGAACCCAATCAGCTGGACCCCAGGTGCATGGTGGCGCACCCACCCAACAGCGCGGAATAGGCATAGAATGGATGCGCTTGTATGCAAACTAGAATACAGCCAATCGGAGTATACCACAAAGTCATTGTTGGTTCTGGCCTCTATAATGCCATTGTAGCTACAGTAAATGCAACCTGATAGGAAGTGAATTTGATATTGATCTCAGCCTATGTAGATTGTCAGTTGAGAAGAAATGAGCTTAAGTTATAGATTATCACCAAGCCAAAATATGAGTTAGACATACGGGTCGACAGGATGATAGTCAGAATAGTAAGATCTTGTTCTATAAAATGGATTCTCGAACTCTGGTACGAAATGACCTCGGGATTGAAATCAGACGTTTATTGGTCCCACAGCCTTGGGATCCCCAGGTTCACCGTGGAAGGGCCTAATTAGGAAGGAGTCAGGAAGCATGCATACAAAAGCAGGTTTCGCATATCGATCCTAGATGGCTAAGGCAAGGACCACGCACCTCATCACGCCTCGACTATTCAAATTCAGCCTTGTAAGCCTCATGATTTCTATAATGGAAAGAATATCTAATTTGCTCTTATATGCTCGGTGCTAAATGGGCTCTGAAATTGCCTATAATCATTCTCCATAATCATTACATGGGTCGACTATATCAGTAGGGTTTGCAAAGCCATGGATGCCTGAGCTAACCTAGAGACCCCGAAATGTAGGCATCAGAACTCGGTCAACTCCGGACTCTGAGGAAATGATGACATACCAAAATAAAATGGGGGTATAAGCCTCCTGATTAGCATCAACGGCCCGCCTGAGCGATCCGCTTTAATCTAAATCCTGGTATGCATGGCGCTAATGCTGACAACATAGCCAACAGCCAACAGCGAGTCCAAGATATACTTGAATAGGCTAGTTCATGAGCTGTAGGTCAGGGAAGGTGCGAATCAGTTGACTCGCGCTGGCTGGAACCGGCAAGTTCGACATTTAGGGAAGGAGCAATGGAGATTTGGTCATTGGCTCGCTATCATTGGATTATTCCACTTTGGGAAGGCGTATACACTTGTCGTCATTGAGCTCCCCCGCTTCGGCCTTATCATTCCGGGGTATAAAGACTTTCTGGGGACTATCTTATCCAGTCTCAATTCTGTAACTTCTTTCTAGTCATCACAATGCAGAGCACTTTGACTCGACTGGTACTTGCTTTCTGCAATGGCTCGTCTACTCTTCAATATTTGGGTAGCTTGACCTCGGTGATTCTTCTACTTTCTGCCTTGTTGTATAAGTTACTACACGTGCCAGTGGCATCTCCGCCCCGGAGTGGCCATTCCCTTCCGCGCTTGCAATTGCCTGGTTGGAAGGTCACCCAGTTGTTCTTTGAGAAGAGGTTTGATTTCATCAAAGATGGCTTCAAGACTACATCATCTTCTATCTATCAGACCAGTCTGTTCCGACATACCGCCATTGTTCTATCTGGGAATGAAGGCCGAAAAATCTTCTTCAAGGAGAAGGGTCTCGGCTTACATGATACATTCTCAATCATGATGGGCAGTGTAAGACCCCGGTGATTGCTTCGGTCTCATAACAACTAAATTCTTGCATTAGGGCGCTGCTCAATTTGATCCCCATCAAGTTGGCGGCGTAGTCAGACGAATGGCTTCGATTCAACGAAGTGATAATCTTCAGAAGTGTTAGTCTATTCCGTTCTCGAGCTTGAAGATTGACTAAGATAATACAGTGATTCCATTGATTCTGTCCGAATGCCAGCGTAAAATGGACGCGTGGGGTAGCGAGTATATTCTCGATCCCTGCTCTTCCCTTCACGAGGTGCGTGTATCTAACTTATATCTTTAGTAGAGAAAACTGAGACATCTGGTTTTATCTAAGGTCACCTTTCAACTGGTCATGCGAATTGCTTCATTTGATATCGCCAATGACCCGGTGCTTTCAGCTCGTCTCAAGTCACTTGTCGACACTATCGACTCTATCACTAACCCATACTCAACTTGGTTGCCTTGGTTACCTGGCCCAGCCTTGTTCTACAAGTTCTTTACTTCTGTTCAAGTTTACAGAATTGTCCAAGAGGCCATTAACACTAGGAAAAAGAGCGGAATCAAGAGGGATGATATGCTACAGCAGATGATTGATGATGGAGATGGTACAATCCAAATCTTTGGGGTATGTATTCCATATTTCCGTTCTTTGAGTAATTTCATCAGGGTTCTGACTCTCTCAAAGTGCATATTAGGATTATCCCTAGCTGGATCTCGTGCCACCGGAACGATAGGCAAGTTTGATGTTCACACCGAATATAACAACACTGATAGTTATTCCTTCTAGTAACATGGTTAATCATGCAAATCTCCTCGGACCCAACTTGGTCCTCAAATGTTCAAGATGAGATCAGAGCCTTTATATCTACCCACACGCCCTCATCAGCCTCTCTCTCTGGGAACACCCTCGCCCAAGCCCTCTCGGAAATCCCACTCACAGCCTGGGAATCTCAAACACCCAATCTCGACCTCTGTATACGCGAAACACTGCGCACCTCGCAGCCATACACAGCAGTGCGAAAGAACCACGGCCCAGATCTTACAATCGGGCCATACGTTATCCCCTCGGGGTCTCTCGTTATTTACCCATTTTCGGATACAGCGCTCAACCCGAACTACTACCCGGACCCAACTCGCTGGGATCCGTCTCGGGGAATTGAAAAGGAAACACCATTTATTGGCTGGGGTGCGGGAAAGCATGCTTGCAAAGGCCAGCGACTTGCGACGTTGAGTATGAAACTTGTGGTCGTTTATGCTATGATGCGGTTTGATATTACCATGGTTGACGGGCAGGGCAAAAGGATCAATCGTCTTCCTCTTCCCGAATGGAATGATTCTGCAACTTGTCGCCCCAAAGAGGAATGTGGAATCAAGTTTGTTGCGAAGTAATCTTGGATCCTGTCATCATGTATGCTGCTATGTGTTATTCTCATTTGGTTTCCTTTCTCCGAGCCTACGTTGTATAGATTAGCGTCTGAACAAATATTAGTTCTTCTTAATTGAAAATCGAAATAAATGTACCCAAATTGAGTATAATTATCCTTGTCAAGCATTGGGTACCTCACTCTATTCATCAGGGAAGTACGGGTGACTGTATCTTCATCTCTCTTTTATTCTCAATATACGACCATTGGTCTTAGCTATATGTCTTTTTGGTTACTCTTATGTACTGGTTCTTTATCTGGTTTTTACTGACCTGGGATGGTTAGCCACATGACTCGTGTATGATAGCTTCACCATCTCACATCCATCTCCCTCTGCAATCAACTACAACCAACAAGAAAAATGGCTACAAGAAAAATTTATCTCATCTCTGCTCGCAATACACCCTTCCAAAGAGCCCACTTCTCAATATTTGTCCCGTCAGCTACCAATCCCGACCGGGGAACCAAAATCCACGCGGTTGGGGCACCGATGGCAGGCTACGTCCTGGAATTCAAACGAAACTACAACCCCAGTCTCGACCCTCACGACCGAACCTTTCCAATCGGCCAGGTCGCCTCGTCCGACATCGTTGATTCCCCAGATGCAGCTCCATCCATCGACTCCACCCCCCGAGGGAAGATCGAACTAGCGGCGGCACAAATCCCCACTCCGGGGATCAACCAGAACTTCATGGCCCCTGTCGACGATGTGAGTGAATGGGCATATATTCTATGGAAGTATCTTAACGTCTGAATCAAGCTCACACACTTGGCTTTCCAGACCACCAACAAGCGGTGTCAAGAATGGACTATGGAATATGTCAGCCATTTGGTCGCCAAAGGCCTGATCGATGAAGAAGCGATTGAAATCGTTCAGTCTAAACGCGATCCACCTACTCATGGGATTGGGCTGCGATCTGTGGCTAGAGATATTACGTAGTAGACATGACCTAGATTAGGAAACAATAATATGTCCTTGACCATCTCCGCCGCCAACCGCTACCCGCATCCGCCCCGACACCGAACCGCCGTCGGATGCTTTCCTTGTATACGCAATGTACTTATCAGGTTTCACATCCGATTGACATTCCGATGGGCATTCCGATTGACAGGGCTGATGATCCAACGTAACCATGGAAAGCCTGAACGCTTCCGAAGTGCGGGGTCCCCGCATTTACTATAAAACAGCTGATAATCATACAGATTATCTCCATCCTCAAGCCTTTCTACTTCCTTACTGACTTATTCCCTTACTCCCTTACTAAAAACCAACATGCTCGGCAAAATCGCCCTCGAAGAAGCCTTCGCGCTCCCCCGATTCCACGAAAAGACAAAATGGTGGGCGGGCATGTTCGCAACCGACACAGACAAGCACACAGCAGAGATCAACGACGTCGGACCAATCCGACTTGACTTTGCCGAGCGCCACGGCGTCGGTCTTCAAATCCTCAGCTACACAGCACCTGGCGTGCAGGACATCTGGGACGCAAAGGAGGCGCAAGCACTGGCCGTTGAGATCAACGACTACATCGCCGAGAAAGTGAAAGCGCACCCTGATCAGTTTGCAGCATTTGCGTAAGTTTCCTCAAATCCATAATTAAGACCAATACTTGCATGATAGATATGGTACATCCAGCTAACCCTGCCAGCACGCTCTCGATGCACGACCCGCAAGAAGCAGCCGCCGAGCTCCGACGCTGCGTAACACAGCACGGGTTCCTAGGGGCCCTAGTGAACGACACACAGCGTGCGGGCGTCGACGGCGACGACATGATCTTCTACGACAACGAGAAATGGGACGTGTTCTGGGCGACGTGCACTGAACTCGACGTGCCGCTGTACCTGCACCCGCGCAACCCCACAGGCACGATCTACGACAAGCTCTGGGCTGATCGGAAATGGCTGATTGGGCCTCCGCTGTCGTTCGCGCACGGGGTCAGTCTGCATGTCCTTGGGATGGTGACGAATGGGGTGTTTGATCGGAACCCCAAGCTGCAGGTTATACTTGGCCATTTGGGGGAGCATATCCCGTTTGATATGTGGCGGATTAACCACTGGTTTGAGGATCGAAAGAAGATGCTGGGACTTGCGGAGACGTGTAAGCGGACGATTCGGGAGTATTTTGCGGAGAATTTGTGGATTACGACGTCTGGTCATTTCTCGACGACTACGCTTCACTTTTGTATGGCGGAGGTTGGGGCGGATCGGATTTTGTTCTCGATTGATTATCCGTTTGAGACGTTCGGGGATGCGTGTGAGTGGTTTGATTCGGCGGAGATGTCGGATACGGATCGGTTGAAGATTGGAAGGGAGAATGCGAAGAAGCTGTTTAAGCTTGGGGCTTATAAGGATAGTACAGCTTGAGGTTAGTTATGGGAAAGATGATTTGGAATGTTCCTATTGATTTCGTTATGCATTCGCTGTGTCGCGTGCAACATTGCATCTGGGGTATTGAACTGAAGACAAATCGTAAAATCGTAGATATGGAAAAGATACCCCATGCCACAGTCCAGTGGCTCTTTGATCCATCGTTCAGATATCCTCTTGGCTAGCGGCTCTGTTCTGCTCGGTTTGCTGACGATCCTTCTCGAGTGCCTGGTATTGATCCCAGCAGTGCTCCCATATGTCTGGCGAGTCACAAAGATAACCCAGCACCGGAGCAAAGTACTGTTCTTTGATCTCAAGAGTCAGCAAGTTCAAGGTACCGTAGCTTTCGATACATCTGGTCATCAGCTCCCAGACAATAATGATACGACGCGAAAGCTTTGCGCGTGTGGGGCTAGGTTGCTGTTCAGTCAGGATCTGACGGTTACGCAGACGGACGAAAGGAGTGCGGATCCATTCCTCATACATGTCCATGTACAAAGCAAGCAGTTGTCGTTCAAGGAGACGGGGCTTTTTCATGGTCCTGTTCTGCGTATCAGAGCTGCCGAAGCAAAGGGTAGACAAGAAACAAGAGCCGTGGCACCTACTTAGCGAACACAGTCGACATCTTGCAGAGTCGTTCGTAGTCCGACGTACCCTCCAGCGAGACGCTCTCGAGGGTATAAGAAACCTGTTCGGCAGACTTCAGCTGCTCTCTAAGCATCTCATCCATAAATTCAACATGGTTGAGAACGGTCTCGAGCTGAAGTTCTGCGTCTCCAACTTCTTTGAGAGGCAGAAGCTCCTTGGTTTGGTGAAAGATGATGAAGTTGAACTGAAGGGTGGCATTGACGATGGTAATAAATTGCCCGCGGATCTCATGACGCAGTCGCGGGTCAGCGAGAAGGTCTCGGAGCTGTTCGAGGATGACCTGGCTGCGGTGAGATGGGTCGCCTTCGATATACGGGATAATGTTGGGATCGACATGGAGGGTGCGGATCTCTTGCTTTGCGGCTCTGCCGAGAGCGTGGATCCATGCTTGTTCATGGCGCTTGTCGGCTGCGATGGAAGATGCAAGCATCTCACACTCGGACTCGTTGTATTCAGGGAATGGCTCAGCATCAGGGAATGGTTCGGTCTCTGTGTTTGCAGTCTCGGTGTTTGCATGAGGAGCAGATCCAGATCCCTCTGATTCGAGGCCCATCGCGACTTGAGAGGAAAGAATCGCGGCTTGGGACTCTAGTGTGAGATCCATTCTGAAGATGAGATGAGAGTTAAGTTAGATGAGGGGGAGAAGAGGGAAGAGGGGATGGGAGAGGTGTTTGTAAGATGGGACTGACTGCCATAATAATGCATTCAAGTTACTAAATAAGGCACACGCGTGACAATGGACAATAGACAATGGATGTGACAATAAGATTCAATAGAAAATATGACTATACATGAATTTACCGCTGCTCAATCCAAAAGCGCTAATAGATCAGACTCAATGGTCAGGACGCTCTTTTACAATTGAGTGGTGGACTGCCTTCCCCAAGAAAGCTGCCTGATGAGTGAAGCAGCGAATGACTTGAGAACAAGACGCTCTCGAGCCAACCATCTACTTCTCAGGCAGACAATCAAGAGTTAATGAAGGCAGTTATTGTTCTTCGCACATTGACTAATCGACGTCTCATGGGGCAGAGGAGTACGGCAACTTAAGTAGTGCGAGTTCATTGAACTATTCTTCCTTCATTCCAGCGTCCGGTATTGGGACGTCCGTGTCACTCTCGTCACCTGGTAGTGGGACATCCATGACTCGTTCGCCAGCCTTCTCTAGCGTTCGTCTACTCCATGAACGAACACCTTTGTAGACAGCCTGTCTGCGTTAGCTAAGTCGTATATAGTCAATGTGACCACACATACCCAAAGGAAAGTGCCAATGCCAACTATGACCACTATCCAGTTCAACTGGGCGACCCGGTTACGGCCCGAATTGCGCCCTGATGCGACAGACCGGAGATTCCAAGGAAAAGGTGACAGCGCAAATATCGCCTTGAGGAATGATAATAGGCCCAAAGAGGCAAGTCCTTTGAGGAAGTGTCCTAACCAGGAGGCATCTTCCTCGGCCAATTCGGCGTAAACATCCACGGGGCCCAAGTAGAAATCAATGATGGGGTCAGCTATGAATCCAAGCAGGAATACGGTTAACAAAAGAATGCCAAGTGTGAGAATTAGCTGGGCAGTGGTGCTACTGATCCACCGAGCCCAAGTCAGACGCTCCAGACGATACTGAAAGCCGCAAGTGGGACATTGCCAGAAGTTTCTTGTCCCATATTTGGGGTCGGCATGGCGCCATGACTGCAAGCAGCCCTCGTGGACATAACGCGAGGAGCCTTTGCATTGGCAAGGGCTTAGCAGACGGCCAGATTCTGGATCGGAAGATTGATAAACCACTCGAGGCTTCTGGAGGAATTCTGAGGGTTCGAAAGTCGGCAGCACGCTTTCTAGGCAGATGCGACAGACCCGCGGGGGGTAATGCTGTGTGTCTTCCATTGGTCTCACATCGAAATTTACCCGAACCTTGACAAGAGAAGGCCGAGCTACTGTTTCATTTTTGAGATGTTGAAAAAAAAAGAAAGGCTAGAAGAAGAGGAAAAGCAGAAAAGCCGAAGGTGTCCCAAACCCCACGGCTAATCCCGATCTGGTCACCGCCTTCATGAGCTCTACCGCGCCAAACGTCACCCATCTCTGCCTACAACACAGCTCCCCTTCTTTTGATCTTTCCATCCTCTCCTCTTCTCTTCCTATTAACAGCGAATCATGGCTGACCGATACTCATTCTCCTTGACGACATTCTCCCCCAGGTAAGGACGACTTGTCCTGTTTAATTGACAGCGTGCTAACTCAGCTCCATTACAGCGGAAAGCTGGTGCAAATTGGTATGGACCATCGTCTCTGAGCTTAAGCATCGATGACTGATCTATATAGAATATGCCTTGAACGCGGTCAACCAGGGTGTAACTGCCCTTGGTATCAAAGGTACGAAAACGTCCAAGCTCACCTATATGGACCAAGCTGACCGCCGTGATAGCTACGAACGGCATTGTCCTCGCGACTGAGAAGAAGTCATCCTCGCCTCTGATCGATCCTCCCTCGCTATCCAAGATCTCACTGATCACGCCGGATATCGGTATGGTCTACGCCGGCATGGGCCCTGACTACCGGGTGCTGGTCGACAAGGCCCGCAAGGTCTCGCACACAGGCTACAAGCGCATCTACAACGAATACCCACCTACTCGTATATTGGTTCAAGACGTCGCTCGGGTAGTGCAGGAAGCTACGCAATCCGGTGGTGTGCGACCGTACGGTGTCAGTCTGCTGGTCGCAGGCTGGGACGAGGGCGTTGAGCCGGAGTCAGAAGAGGCTAAGAAGGATGACCCCGAGGAGAAGATCTCCAGCAAGACTGGCGGTATTCAGAAGGGTGGGCCCAGTCTGTACCAGGTCGACCCCAGTGGCAGCTACTACCCGTGGAAGGCGACAGCCATCGGCAAACACGCAACGAGCGCCAAGACGTTCCTCGAGAAACGGTACACTGAAGGGCTAGAATTGGAAGATGCCATCCATATCGCGTTGTTGACACTCAAGGAGACGATCGAGGGTGAGATGAATGGTGACACAATAGAAATTGGTGAGTTTGGGTTTCTGCCTTTCCTTTGCTTTCCTTCTGGCTGCTTAGCTAGCCAAGGTGTGGTGAATATCGACTAACATCGTTCCAGGCATTGTCGGCCCCCCAGCGGACCACCTTCTGGGCTTCAAGGGAGTGGAGGGTGCTCAGGGACCACGGTTCCGCAAGTTGACCAAGGAGCAGATCGAGGACTACCTGACCAATCTATGAACGAGAGCATATAATTTATGTAGCCTCGAATGAAACGTTTCCTTTTGTCTGGTGGTGATTGACGGTTCCTATTACAAATCGCATGCCACCTACAGACAGTTACCTACCTAATGGTCTACTTCATGTCTCTTTACTCCGTACCTTGATAGCAAACCAGGACGCTTTGAAGCGCTAGGAGATGGTCCGAGCCACCCCCCTGATTTCTAATTTATTTCCATTCCTCACAATCATCTCCTTATACGGCTTATGCTCTAGGACTACACACACAATATCCAGTTCTAGCTCGGTTCGATTTCATTATTGTTATATTTATACCGTCATATTGCTAATAAAGCCGTCCTTCCAGACTCCACAAACATCCTCCTCTGAACAACTCGGCCTCCGACCGGCGGAGCCAAAAAGTCCTTCGGCTCAGCCTGCTCGTAAAGCACATCGTCGCCGCGATCAGGCGTCTCGGGCGGCCTCTGCATCGAGCAAAGAGGCAACGTATCGGCAATAGCGATGGAGATAGGATGTCTAGACCCCTGAATGAGATCCACCAGACGACCAAGCACAGCAAACTCAAGCTTGAGTTTGAGCGAGTAAATGAAACCCTTTACGGTGATTTGCGCGGCGTACAGATCGGCATATTCAAGACTCAAAAGCACCAAATCCATCGCTATGATCGCGCAGTTGATCCCGATCAGCTGGTACATGATGCTCCGTGCATCCGGGCGCGAGGACACATCCGCGCCAAGGCGCAGCAGCTTGACCGTCTCAATCACATACAGCGTTGACAGCAGACTCTCTTGGATCGTGAACCCGGTCAGCTGGATCTTCTCCATGATATTGTACCCGTTGATCCAGGCGTCGTCGCCGCTGTGCACTATATTCGCGCCGTAAGTGAGGATCGTCGTGGGCACGTGCAGGAGAAAGATATTCGCGACGATGAGCTGCAATACACGGCGCAGCACGCGCTCGTCTCGTAGCACAAGGTGCAGCCGTGAGTACAGCACCACGGATTGGCCCGTCACCATCGTCCACCAGCCGATAGTCAGGACAGTAACCGACAGCACGGAGTCCGTGTGAGTAAAGAACTTCATCAGGAAGCCGACCGAGTATGGTACCACGCCGAGCACGCCTGAGACGAGCAGGGCCCAGAAATAGAGCCCGCGCCACCGGCGGAATGTGGCTGGCACGAGGACAATTAGCTCGGCGACGTTGTAGCATGATAGTCCGATGAAGGCGACGAGGATCATCTGTCGTACGTCGCCTTCTTTCGCGAGCGCACCGGATATCCCGTTCAGCATGTCCAGGGGAACGTCGGACATGATTCTAGAAGAGACTCATTCGGGGCTTGGGGAGGTATATGAGCGACCGGACTCGAAGAGGGAGTCTGGTTCACCCTGTCTGCTGTGTCCACATGTTCTCGTGGACAAACAGGGAATTGAAAAGTTTTTTGTAAAAGGAAGGAAGAAAAAGGCGAATTGGCGAAAGAGCGGATACAGAGTGGGATATGGACTGGTCGTACAATGTGCTCTGTCATGCAGGAGATCAGGTTTTGGACTTGTCTGAACGAGTGAAGGGGAAACAAACAAAAAGAAGCCTTGGGCATGCAAGGGTGTTCAGGGGTGCCCATAGAGTACTTGGTAAGGTACAAGTTCGCACCCAAAATCTGGGGTAACGGGGGCAAGGGAAGGGGATAGATCAACATTCAATAGTCGTCCGGCATCGGCCTTGGGGGCGAAGTCCGATATTAATTTAATTAAAAAACATTTGCGATTCAAAGAGATTTGACTATTTTGTGGATATTTTCATCCTTGCATGTGGAAAAAAAAGATATAGTCTATAAGAACATACCAAAAATAGACATTGAAAGAGATATCCAACAAAGAAATGAGAGACATCGTACTATTTTCTATAGCATCTTATGGCGCTGATAAGCGAGTAATTGCGCGAAATAATTAATCATTTCATGTTTAATTCGTGTTCAGGGTTGTCTCGTCTGTCCATGGGACATTCTCTTCCTCGGAGTCTTCATCCTGACTATCGGCTACCTCCTCCAGCTTCCGTTTCTTAATTGGGGTATGTACAGGCTGTTCTGGCGACGCCAGCTTAGATGGTGAAGGGCTTGGAGACTCCAATTCCGCGGAGGACGGCGCAGAAGACAGCACAGAGGATATAGGCGAAGGAGTCGGGGTAGGAGGATCATAGTACTCAAAGTCGGAAGAGGGCTTTGGCAAAGGGGTCAGAGGCTCGGAGGGCGGAGATTCCTTTCCCTCTGTTTCATAAAGACCATCCTAGACAGATTATAAGCACAATCGCATGCAGTGGGCCGGAGATCGACACAACATACCGGTTCAATGCGAAACGCAACGAGCAGCCCGGCTTGCTCGGGCAATGGCTTACCCGCGCGCTTCTCAACTTCTGCAAATCGCTCATCCGGCAGGTCACGATAGACCGCAATGCGAGTCTGTACGCTAGCCTCCCACGCGCTGCCCGACAAGAGCGGCTGCAGAACTGCGTGAGATTGACCCTTGATCTCCGTACGGACTTGATTAATAGCCAACACGGCAATATTTTTCGCCGCGAGTCTAGCCAAATGCATGGCGAGCTCGCTAGCAATGTTCCATTTGCGATTGATCAGCCATTGCAGGTGTGTTTTATCGCTGAATTTGCCCTCGGTAGGCTGGTCCTTGAGCTCTTGGGCGCTGGAGAAGTAAGCTGGAAATAAATTCGACACAGAGTCGACGACAATAAGGTTTGTTTCCGGCGGTGGAAACCCCTTTGGTGGACGTGCAAGCAGGGCTATTAGATGAGCCAGCGTATGCGCCCGGAAATAGACAAAGTCATCCAGGTTGACGGACATTTCCTCCAGCCGGAGACTGGGCAAGGGACATCCCGTATCTGACGGTGTGAGCAGGGCAGCGCAGCTGACTCTGGGAACTAACAGGATCACATACCGATCCAGACTACTTTGCCGTCACGTAGTGCATTACATGCAATATTCAACCTGTGACTGGATTAAATCAGACTGTGGCGGTGTGGGTAGAAGTGCACTCACGCCAGCGAGGTCTTCCCGGCTCCTGGGGGTCCGAATATTTCTGTAACATGTCCACGCAGGATGCCGCCTTGGTTGGACTGGTCGGGGAGGTCATTGAGAGCCTCGTCCAGACGCGCCAGGCCCGTCGCGATCGGGTCGCGGGTAGCGGCCGACGCGTTGAGGGACTGAGACGCTGAAATCGAAACCACGGGCGCTGGGAATGGATTAATGTTTGTGCTTTTCTAAGGCTTTGGGGAATTACTTACGCGTATCTTCGAACCCTTCGAGACCGTCTAGACCGAGAAGGTCCATGTTGATGCTCATGGGCGCATCAGGATGACTGGCAGCAAAGCCAATGAATCCCGATTTAGTAGAAGAATATGGAAACAAATTCAAGCTCCAACGCTGTATTCAATCTCTAAAAATGACATTAAAGATGCCATCATAAGTAGGACAGTGGAATGTTGACGGTTCGGAGATCCGAGGGCGGGACTTTTTTCCCTTTCGATCTCGAGTCCTGCATACTCCTCATGTCCAATGTTGACATTTCCCTCGGGGATGATATCGTCCCCAATTGGTTTATTCTATTCTTTCTATCTGTGCTTTTTCTTTCTCTGAAGACATTGAAAACACTGACAGCGCCAATCAATCCCAAGGGATGTCGCCGCCTAGGACTTCCGCCAGGCCAAAGCAACCTAGACGATGAGTTCGACTCAAAGTACAGCCAGGGTCTACCTAGCAATCAAGATGATCACGGCCGTCCGTCCTGGCGCGTAAAGGCATTGTTCAGCTACCCGCTCAAATCCTGTGGCGCAGTCGAGCTGCAAGTCTCAAACGTCGTACCAACTGGACTTGAATTTGATAGACAATTCGTCTTTGCAGAGTACATCAATGACGAATGGACCATTCGTACCCTGCGAAATGCAAGCTTCAATTGTCTAGCCTTGATCCATCCGGAGATCTGGGTTCCTGACCCGTCTGCCCCAGATTACAACGCAGACCTGTCAGAAGTCAAGTCGCAGGGTGTGATGTTGATATCGTATCCCCGAATTCCGCCAGCAGGATGGAAGGGTCTGCCCATCAAGCTCGGCATGGCACTCAAGTTCCTCAAAAGCCAACGGACATTCCAAGTCCCGCTACTTCCCCCCGCGGACTCCAAGTTCCCACTAGTCCCAGTCAAGATCTGGAAAGACAAGCCCCTAGCCCATGACTACGGCAGACTGCTCCCAGCATCATTACACGCATATCTAGGGTCCGACCCATCAAAAAAGACCCTGACACTCTTCCGCGCCAGTGCACCCCATTCACGGCAGATCTTCCGTAACGCACCGCGCAAAGAAGACCTAGGCTTCCAGCCAAGCACAGCCTTCGCAGACGCGTATCCAATCCACCTGCTCAGCATCTCCAGTCACCGGGATGTAGCAGCACGCTGTGCCTACGCAATCCCGCGATTGAGCATTCGCCGTTTCCGCGCGAACATCATCATTCAAGGCCCGTCTGCTTTTGAGGAAGATCACTGGAAGCGGCTTGCTATTGGCGGTACCGAGATCCACGCTTCTTGTCGGACTGTCCGGTGTCGACTGCCTAATGTCGATCCGCTGTCCGGGGATAGACATAATGCTGAGCCGGATCGGACGCTAAAGTCGTATCGGCGGATTGATGATGGCGATCGGACCAATGCGTGTTTAGGGATGCAGCTTGTTCCTGCGAAGGAGGAGTTTGTGGTTAGGGTTGGGGATTCTGTTGAGGTTCTTGAGACCGGGGTGCACCGGTATATTAAGATGTTGGCCCCCGGGGAGAAGGTCGAGGGGGTGTAAAAAAATTCCATAATAGTAGTATAGTTTATATAATCCTAATACTTGCCAGCGTTGTACCACTCCCAGCGTCCCTTCATTGCAGCTCGAACGCAAACATTCTATTCCACTAAAGACGGCCCGAAGGCTTATTACTGGCAGTGAAGGTCCTAGTTCGGGTAGCTAGAGGCTCTCTCTCTTCTCTAGACTCTCATCATCTGTGTCACGAGTCAGCCTATACAGTTATAGGGCTTCAGACTCAGCGCTTCTACCTTTCCCCCCATTATCAGTAGTAGTTATAATCAGCCCAACAGCCCTCCATCCAGCTGTATTCTCAATCCTTGGCAGCCATCCCCTCCATCCCATTTCACCATCCTCAAATTACTCATTCCATTCCATTTGATTAATTCCTAATTCCTAATCCATCTATACCACTCCAAAATGCCCGACCAAACACACCCCGAAACAAAACAAACCCCCACCGAAACCAAAAAAAAACAAGCCGAAAGCCTAGCGGGTCTCCCCCCAAACACCCTCCACATAATCCTCTACATTCGCTCCGACCCACCCCTCCCCAACGACTTCCACTGGGCCTTCTACCTGCACAAAGGCACAGCCACCACACCAGGCGGAACAAAGTACCACGCGCGCGGCATCGGCGCCGGATGGATTCCCGGGCACGAGGCGACGGCGTCGATATTCGCCGAGAATTTCCTGTGCGTGGTTATTCAGATCGCGAGAATTCCGCCGGAGACGCATGCGCGTGTCGATGAGATTATGAGGAGTTATGATGGGTGTCTTAATGCAATTCCGGGGATTACGTGTCGAGTGTGGATACTCACTGTGCTGCGCGTGCTTGTTGATGAAGGGTTTGTGCGCTGCGATATCGGGGAGTTGGAGAGGGAGTGTTTTGGGTTTGGGAATGAGAATAGTTTGACGGCTAGTGCTAATTTGCAGCCGAGGCCGGTTTTTAAGTCGCGGGTTTCGTCTTGATATTGGGATTTTTAGGTTGAGGGTTTATTGGTAGATACTGGAGAGGGTAGGAAAATATCAGGGGATATCAACGTAAAGTTGCATTGTAGGTATTAAATAACGCTAAAAAGGGCAATGATGGCCCCACAAACTCATTATATGACTGAACTATACAAGGCTCGCAAGATCAAGCCATTTTGGTAGTCGTCGACGACTGTTCAGGCATGTTGGTCTGTACCTGGGTCTCATTGGAGTCGGTCGACTCCAAGATGGCGGGGACATCATCAGGCTCCTCGGGAATGAAGAGGTTGAGGAAGATGCCGAGAAGCGCAGAGATAGCGAATCCGTTCTCCATGACCAGATCGACAGCATTGATCAGACCAGCGAGCGCATGGTTGTCACCGGAGTAGGTGAAGAAGTAAGTGAACCACGCCGGCAGGAGGGTGACACCCATTCCAATGGAGAAACTAGCCGTGAGGATGAAGCGATTGCGACGGGTGGGTTCGACAGATCCAATGATGCGCAGACCACTGACTGCCACGGAACTGAAGAGGAAAGCGGTCATGCCACCGAGCACGGGACTGGGGATTGCAACCAGCGCAGCGGCGAACTTGGAGAAAATTCCCATGATAACCAGGAAGAGACAGCAGCAGTAGCCGGCGGTGCGGTTGGCGCATTTCGTCAGCGCGATCACACCGTTGTTCTGCGCGAAGACAGACATAGGGCTAATCGTCATCAGACCGGCCAAGAGACAGGTGATACCATTGCCCAGGACACCACCTTGGATCCGGGAATCGAAGGTCTCGCCCTCGACCTGCAGTCGGGAGACATCGCACGTCGCCGTGATATCACCAATAGACTCCATCATGATAACGATGTATAGCGCGAGTAACGGCAGGATGAGCGGCGGGTACACCGACAGCGGGAACGTGTGGACCCAAGCGAAGGAAGCCACTGGTGCAGCAGCGATACCGGCGGACTCGAAGTAGTTGCATGCGGCAGCGACGATCGAGCCAACCAACAGGCCAACAATGACGGAGCAACTCTTGAGAATGGGAGGACCCCACCGCTCGCAGACGATGATCGTCACGAAGACTAGGAATCCAAGTCCGATGAACTGAGGGCTTCCCCAGGGGAGAGGGTGCGGGGCACTAGCGCTGGGACACAATGCGCGGGCGGAGGGGTCCGAACCACATGATGCGCCACCGGCCCAGTCCGTCATGGCGGACTTGATAAGCGAGGCACCGATCAGGAGGACAGTTGGGCCGGTGACGAGTGGGGGGAAGACGCGGGCGAGGATCTTGCTGCTCATGAAGGACATGCCGATTTCGAGGAGAGAGCAGAGACACGAGGTGCCGAGGAGGGCGCCATAACCTTTTGGACAGGGGAGCGGAGATCCATCTGGAGATGAAGGACAGTATCCCGATTTATACATCTGGGCGAAGGCGCCTTGAGCGACTGTGATTGTAGAGAAAGATGTACCTGTTTGAACAATTAGTATCAGAAGCGAGGATCTGAAGAATTGAGAAGCTCTTACCGACGACTGATAGCAATCCGGTTCCAATATAGTATTTTGTCCCCTTGATATGGAACCGGAACATCTGAACAGCACTCAACAGACCCGAGACGATCAACGAAGTCGAAACGAGGTACTGGTAGAGTTCATCCCCGAAGTTGGCACCGGCTGAGCCGCCGAGCAGAATGGGTGGTGAAATAACTGATGCTCTTAGTCTTTGCTTGTATATTGTAGGTGTCTCTGGGACTCACCACCAGCCAGCATAGCAAGCGCATGCTGCAACCCCAGAATCAATGCCAGAACGACTGGCACGCGATCTTCGAGACCGAAGAACGGGGCAGATTTGCGAGCTCGCTTTGTAAAAGGCAGTCGTGGGATGAAGAGGTATCCATAGTCGTACTCTCCTAGTAGGCCCTCTCTGTTGATTGTGAGTCAAGGCCCCTCCAGAACACATCATTTGAAGCCATACCGAGTAGTGAAGGTCTTGACCGTGTAGCGCAGTCTGTCGCTGATTGTGCGCTTGGGCGAATGATCGGGGCCGATTTGATCTGGACCGTCCATAGTGAATGTTCGATATAATGAATGTAGATATTGAACTATCCCACCGGGACAGAGGTTTTATATTTAAATTTCCAAAAAAAAAAAAATTATACACCCCGAGCTTCGGTAACTCTAAAATTCAAAATTCGGGGCGCTGACTAAGAACACATGGGATCCACCGTCCACCAAAGTGGAAGGGATAACCTGACAGGTTCTGTTATCGCACCGGCAGCCAGGCAATTAGAGACTGCACTTGGGGGACAATTAGCAAGAGCATCGCATAACCTGGTGGCCGCTTGTCTGGATCGCGTTAGGGCCCCTGCTTTATCTTGGGAGGCCAGCCAATCAGGGCCGAGTGGGGAAAGATAAGGATACAGGAAGGCCCATGGTTGTTCTGGTTAGCCCAAAGGGCCCGAGTTCCCCCATATTATGTGTTTCGGGATGGTCACGGCTGTGTATTTAGATGGAGAATGGGGCCAGTTGAGGGGATCTCATTGGTCAGGAGGGACATTGGCAGTTTGCCAGGTACGGGATACACGTATCCTGACACGAGGCCTTACTCTCCACAACCCGGATATCATCAAACGTTCTCTGCTATCTTCGTTTATCTAAGATCTGGCAGTCGGAGGGTGCCGTCCATAGTATACGAGGTGGAAGGCTCCGACCTTAGGAGTCAGACCTCACGTCGGCTTCCTGGTCGTTCTTATCAGACTGTTATGAGATACCGAGGGATATTCGAAACTATGTGGTGATATGTATCATATGAGATCAGATGTTGTGATTATCTCGATTTGTTCCTGTGGTCATACATGCACCTCATACCTCCGGAGTACATCGAGGTACCTACCCAGTATGTATACTTTGGCAGGAGGCTCGGATATCCCGCGTGTTCCAGAAAAGTATATCCCCACGGGCCACTGGCTGGTTTCATCGACTCTTCTTCTCTTTCAACAATGTTTAACTCAACGGGTGTCCATGACGATATACCAATTCTACACCAACACGACATCATTTTCGTTTAGCTTATGATTTCACGCTATATCCGCATTTTTGTTTAGCTTGTGATTGCACACTACATTCGATTTTCACCGTGGTATATATTTCCCTGTCACATCCTGCATACGCGTCGTCGGAACTTGATCTGATCGGCATCGAGAAGATGGGTGGCCAAGACATGACCAGAATTCGATCATTCAATAAGATTCGCCCAAGTACGCATCGCGATTCTCACACATTCTCTAACGTGCGATGACTTATTGTATGACGATTGCCAATTCTCTGCCTGAGGGAAGGAGGCGACCGGGGGAAAACCGTAGGTTAACTAGAAATGTAGCTCCATGCGGCGTCTTATTAATGTTACCTCTTGGTGAAACGTCATTGGATGAAAGCAGCATAATTCCTAGAAATCCCGAGGTTAAATATAACCGTTGGTGGACTTAACCTTCACCCGTGGCTCCCACTCTGCTGGGAGTAGCGCTGACATAAACATATTTGCCGTCGCGCGCTGATTGGCCATGACTGCCTGAGGCACCAAAGCGTTGGGGCTGGCTGGACCCAACATTCGCCAGAAAGCGATGAGGCACGCCACATCCGAGCAAAGGGTTGCGCAAAAGTCTCCCAGCGTAGGCTTTCAAGGCAATTCTTTTCTGTTTCGGGTTCCTTTTCGCCTCGGGATCTCGTGACGCTGGACATTTGCTTTCATTTGATTCGTCTTTCAGCCCTATTCCTCCCACATACGTTGGCGATCAAGACCCAGGCTCCCCAACGTTGGTCCCAAGTGGGCCCTAGTATAAAAAACCCTTTGGTCCTCCTGGATTGAAATCCAACCTTCTACACATCAACCATGTCGTCCAAGCTGGATGCTTCACGCCCTCGGGCGGCTGACACCAAGAAGGTGCACATTGCTGATACCCAGATGACTCGCCAGAACTGGTACAAGCACGTCAACTGGCTCAACGTTACTTTCATCATCGGCGTTCCCCTCACGGGCTGCATCCAGGCGTTCTTCGTGCCTCTGCAGCTGAAGACTGCTATTTGGGCTGTCATCTATTACTTCTTCACTGGACTGGGAATCACAGCTGGTAAGTAGTTCAGAATTAGAAGTATACTCCTTTGACTCGAGCTGACTCCGTTCTCAGGATACCATCGTCTCTGGGCTCACTGCTCCTATTCCGCCACCTTGCCCCTGCGTATCTGGCTCGCTCTGGTCGGCGGCGGTGCCGTCGAAGGTTCCATCCGTTGGTGGGCTCGGGACCACCGTGCTCACCACCGTTACACCGACACCGACAAGGACCCTTACTCCGTGCGTAAGGGTTTGCTGTACTCGCACCTGGGATGGATGGTCATGAAGCAGAACCCCAAGCGAATTGGCCGCACTGATATCACCGATCTGAACGAAGACCCCGTCGTTGTCTGGCAACACCGCAACTACATCAAGGTCGTGCTCACCATGGGTCTCATCGTCCCCATGCTGGTCGCTGGTCTCGGCTGGGGTGACTGGTATGGCGGATTCGTGTACGCCGGTATTCTGCGTATCTTCTTCGTGCAACAGGCTACCTTCTGCGTCAACTCCCTGGCCCACTGGCTCGGCGACCAGCCCTTCGACGACCGCAACTCCCCCCGTGATCACATTATCACCGCCCTGGTCACCCTCGGCGAGGGCTACCACAACTTCCACCACGAGTTCCCCTCCGACTACCGTAACGCCATCGAATGGCACCAGTACGACCCCACCAAGTGGACCATTTGGATCTGCAAGCAGCTCGGCCTGGCCTACGACTTGAAGCAGTTCCGCTCCAACGAAATCGAGAAGGGCCGCGTCCAGCAGTTGCAGAAGAAGATCGACCAGAAGCGCGCCAAGCTCGACTGGGGTACTCCCCTGGACCAGCTTCCCGTCATGGAATGGGAGGACTATGTCGAGCAGACCAAGAACGGCCGTGGCCTCATCTCTATTGCCGGAGTTGTTCACGACGTAACCGATTTCATCAAGGACCACCCCGGTGGCAAGGCGATGATCAAGTCCGGCCTTGGCAAGGACGCCACAGCCATGTTCAACGGTGGTGTTTACTACCACTCCAACGGTGCTCACAACTTGCTTTCCACCATGCGTGTCGGAGTCATCCGTGGCGGCGGTGAGGTTGAGATTTGGAAGCGCGCTCAGAAGGAGAACTCCGAATATGTGCGCGACGAGACAGGCCAGCGGATCATCCGGGCCGGCCAACAGGTCACTAAGATGCCTGAGCCAATCCCCACTGCCGATGCAGCTTAAACTGAACTTGATGACAATTTTTTTTGCATTTGTGGGTTGGTCGGAGTTGGCGTTTTCTTTCCATTTCTTTCTTCGTTCATCAAAAGCGACCTGTGACGCACTTCATAGATAATCATGAATTAGAAACGAATTTTCATTCCTATATGAACATATTCATTTGGATCATTTTGACTTGAAATATTTATTATGTTGTAAACTGAGGGGAGCTGTAGGTTGGAGCGAGCGAAGTGCGGGGCGGTGCTTTTCACATGTCACTTCTGCGTACGGGATACTCCGGACGCCTATTATTATTATGTTGGGATATCTGATCTACGGGGTAGTCGACATTGTCTTGACACCTGGCAAAAGCCCCATCCTCCACTTTAGAAGTAACATGGCAGAATACGTGGTTTCCTTAACTTTCTACTTATTCTAGCTCCAAGGTTAGAAATAACCTATACATTAGTAAGTTATGACATCACCTAGTTAACTAGTTATTTAGCTTTGCAAATAAACTGTTTTACCCCATATGCAATAACTAAACTATTGGTAGTATATAGAGTAATTCAAGGACGTGCAGAAACAAATGCCAAGAAGTGTAGATATCTGTCCCCGCAATCACCAGCTTCAGATCACCTGACAGCTGCATATCTCCAAGTGTCCTTCCCCCACCGCATTCAAACCCGCCCATCATTGCTTTCACCGCTCGTTTTCATCTCCTCATCGTCATCCTCGCCATCCTCATCGTGGCGCCCTTCCTCCGTCTCCCCGCCCGCTTCTCATACGCGCTGGGCCACTTACGTACCAACGTACCAATACGACTCTTGACGACCTCCAGCATGGCCCCCGCTCACCTCCGGAAGCCACCCCAGGCCCCGCCTGTCTTTACCGCAACCCCGCAGTCACTTCTAGCTGATGCCGAGCGCTTGATCAAGAGCTCGCGAGCCATTCAGGACAAGGTGGTGGCGGAGGTCAAGCCCGAGGCCGCAACCTTTGCCAAGGTTGTCCTTCCTCTCGCCCAAGATGACAACCAGATGGGACTAGAGTCACACATCCTGGGCTTCTACCAGGCTGTATCAACAGACTCGAAGCTGCGAGATGCTTCTTCCAAGGCCGAAGAGCTGATGGATGAGTTCTTTATTGAGGCGGTCATGCGTGAGGATGTCTTCAATTTGGTCGATGCCGTACTGCGCCGCAACGAGATTCTCGATCCGGAGTCACGCCGTCTATTGGAGAAGGAACACAAGGACTTCATCCGTAATGGACTCGGCCTGCCCGATGGCCCTCATCGGCTCCGCTTCAAGGAGATCAAGAAGCGGCTGAGCCAGCTGAGCATTGAATTCCAGAAGAACCTGAACGAGGAGAACGGCGGCATTTGGTTTACCCCGGAGCAGCTGGCTGGTGTGCCCAAGGACCTTCTGGACGGCCTGAAGAAGGGCGAGGACGAGAACGCCGGCAAGCTCTGGCTGTCGTTCAAGTACCCCGACCTCTTCCCCACCATGAAATATGCCAGCGACCCCGAGACTCGCCGGCAAGTCATGATCGCCAATGAGAACAAGTGCAACCAGAATGTGCCGCTATTCCGGGAATCCATTATACTCCGTGATGAGGCGGCTCGTCTGATCGGCTATCCCAACCACGCTGCCTTTCGTATCGAGGACAAGATGGCCAAGACCCCAGAGACCGTTAACAAGTTTTTGGGTGATCTTCGGGACAGACTGACCGCTGGCGGGAAGAAGGAGATACAGAAGTTGCTGGATTTGAAGAACGCCACGGACCCCAATGCTGATGGCCGCTACTACCTGTGGGACCACCGATTCTATGACCGTCTCATGCTAGAAAAGGACTACTCGCTAGACCACCAGCTTATTGCTGAGTGGTTCCCCTTGCAGACAACCATTCAAGGTATGCTGAAGATTTTCGAAGAGCTGTTCGGTCTGGAGTTTGTTGAGATCATTGGTGAGGACCGGGCAGCCATTGCCCCCACTGGCCAGGGCAATGACATTGTCTGGCACGAGGATGTCCAAGTATTCAGTGTGTGGAACGATGAGGACGCGGGCAGTGGGTTCGTTGGATACCTGTACCTGGACCTGTTCCCTCGCGAGGGCAAATATGGCCATGCAGCCAACTTCAACCTGCAGCCGGGCTTCATTAATAAGGATGGTACCCGCCGATTCCCTGCCACCGCATTGGTGTGCAACTTCACCAAGCCCCAGCCCAAGAAGCCTAGTCTGCTGAAGCACGACGAGGTCGTGACCCTCTTCCACGAACTCGGCCACGGCATCCACGACCTGGTGTCCCGAACCATCTACTCCCGCTTCCACGGTACCAGCACAGTGCGCGACTTTGTCGAGGCACCCAGCCAGATGCTGGAGAACTGGTGCTGGGAACCCTCGCAGCTGCGCTCTCTGAGCCGACACTACTCCACCCTCTCCCCAGAGTACCTTGCTAGCTGGAAGGAGGCTCAGGGCGAAGCTGCCACCAGCCAGCCGTCAGAGCGCATCCCGGACGATGTCATTGCCAACCTGATTCGCACCAAGCACGTCAACGACTCCCTATTCAACCTGCGCCAGCTGCACTTCGGCATCTTTGACATGACCGTCCACGAGCCCAAGACCCACGCCGACATTGAGGCTCTTCCTCTGTCTGCGACATACAACCGTCTCCGCCATGAGATTACCCAGATGGACGGACCGGAAGTACAGGGCGCTGGCGACGAGTGGGGCCACGGCGAGGCGACCTTTGGACATTTGATCGGAGGTTACGACGCTGGATACTACGGATACCTGAGGTAAGTTATAAGTTTGTGTGATTGGTTTCAATGTTCGAATACTGATGATTTCGCTCTGCAGCTCCCAAGTTTACTCCACCGACATGTTCTACACCGTCTTCAAGGACGATCCCATGAACAAGGCTGCTGGCCGTCGCTACCGCTACCAGGTTCTAGAGAAGGGTGGTAGCCAGGATGAGATGAAGACTCTGACCGAGTTCTTAGGCCGTGCGCCTCGGACCGATGCATTCTACAAGGATTTGGGACTGGCGTAAAGTGGTGCGTAGCATTTACAGCCATCGGGGCTTATGAACGGCTATAAACTATACCTATTAAATTATATAGAGCTATCCGAATGCGTATCTTGTGCTCATGAATAACGAGCAGCATGCCAATAACTCCTCTACTTGAACTGTCTATATCGTAGCTAACAAGTTCCAAGGTTAGCTGTAGATACCGATAAGCGCACCGCCTTGCCATTCTGCAATTCTCCGCAACTCAACAGCTCTTTTTCTAGATCGTCTCATTTTAGAACTTCAGCATACAAGACAACACAGAGTCTCGGATTAAACAAGTGTATCCAATCACCGGTAAGTACCTACTAAGCCAGCAGAAAGATATTTCCTCATGAACCCCGCGCAAAAGACTAACCAAGACCCCAGCTCTGCATCACCAACATAAGAGATCAATCTGCCTCCGCGCAGCAGCTCCAAATTCCCGACTCCTATCAGTTCAAAAGCGCGAGTCAATAACCAATTCCAAAAATGACCGACCACCGTCTCCCAATCCAAACCCAACATTGCCGCTTCTGCAACCACCTCCTGCTAGCAACAACCCGCAACATAAGCACCCTACCGCGGCGCGGCGGCGAAGGAAAAGACAAAGCGCTGATTCTGCCCCTCGAGCGCAAGAGCTCAACAGACGCAGACGCAGATGCGGATATAGAAGCCGACCTCGAAGAAGAAGCCAGGACCACAGAAACAGAACCGTCATCGCGCAAGACAAGAGCAAGGCATGTCTCTAACCACACGACGCTTCTGCTGGCTACTACGATCCCGGACCGGCGGGCGACGATTATCCGGCGCGAAGACGGGATCGAGAAGAGGATTCTGTTGAGGTGTGGGCGGTGCAAGGTTGTTGTGGGGTATTATTTGGATCGGTTGCATTGGGCGTCTACTGGGGATCGAGAGAGGGAGAGGGGAGGGGCGCGGGATGGGGAGGAGGAGGGGGAGGAGGAGCGGCCGCCGGCTGTTTATCTTCTTCCTGGGGCTGTGGTGGAGACGGAGAAGTTGGGGGGTGAGGGGGTTGGGGAGAGGGAGTGGAGGGAGTGGGTTGTTTAGATGGGAGTGGAGTTTATAGAGGTGCGATCAATCTAGCAGATGCAGATGTAGATTAGATCTATATCTATATCTATGCGCTACGCGCTACGGAAGGCGATACCCCGGAGCAGCATAATACAGTGTATTTGATAATAAAAACATACAAGACGAAGGTTCCAACGCGCCGAATTTCAATCCACCAAGGCAAAGCCATTTCCATATCGAACGTTAATCATATCGGGGTATTAGTTGGCGAGGATAGTACGAACAAGATCTGGAGAGAGTTAGCAGATGCAATATAGCACATAGCCCACTCTAGGCGCAGCGAAACATACCCGTGTAGTTAATCTCGCCCGAGCTAGTGTCAACAGCCTTGAGCAGCTCATCGACTTCATCGTCAGACATCTTCTCGCCAAGATTTGTGAGAACTGCAAGCGTGGAATGTCAGCAATATCCTTTCGACCAACCAAACCGAATTGCCTGGGACAAAAACAGAAAACATACTGTATCGCAACTGTCCGACACCAATAAACCCGGTCATATCCTTATCAAAGACCTGGAATCCACGACAGTACTCCTCCGGCTCGCCGGGCTCACGGAAACCGCCAGGGCGGTTGAGGACTTTCAGGAACGAGTCGAAATCAACTGCAGCGAACGAGAGAGTTAGCCAGGAATTCCTTTTTCATAGTCAGACGCGATCGCGTCCAACTAATACATAAATCAAAGAATAAAAACATACAGTCGCCGCCAACGGACTTCTCCAAGTCGCTAATCTCAGCCAGCGTAGGATTCTGCCCGCAAGCGCGGAGCAGGTCACCGAGGAGGTCACCAGCGACACGGCCAGTGCCACGGCGATCGAACAGCGAGAACGCTTCCTTGTAGTTTGTGGATGCCTGATCGATTTTATTAGCCATGATGAAGATGGAAGAGAGAGCTGGCAATGCCTTGTTGACACAGTTGTTGATGAGGGGGAGGAAATCCGGGGGGCGAGCGGTTACATGGGCGGGAAGGGGTTGCGGTTGGACCGCTTGAATAGGAAGTCTATCAACAGTGAGGAATTTGGGAACTTACCATTTTGGTTGGATAGTTTGCGAAATTGGAGATTGGAGATTGGAAACAAAAATGCGGATTGGGAGGTGAAGGTCGAGGGGGGGAACTAGGTGTGGGATCGGCGGTGGTTGTTAGGGCAACCGCTACAGGGGGGCGTATTTAGGGGGTTGTATACTTCTATTGCTGGCCAGATCATGGAATAATAGAAACGTCATCTCTTGGTATATAAACACATTCATACATGCTACGACTGCAGCTTTGCGATGCAGCTGTCCAGCAGCCGCGCCGCTTCTCCCAGTAACTCCCATCGCGGTTTGGCAAAGGAGTCTCGGAGAATCATTAGCAGGCCGAGACACCCATTGCGCCCGGTCATGGCCTCTAATTCGTTGGGTTCCTGGATTTCTCCCACGCGATGCAGAAATTCCTGCATGTCGCGCTCTCGGTCCGCTAACGTCAGGAGGGTAGGGGAAGGACGCAAGGGGCCGTCCAGTGCAAACCCGTAGGTCCACACCACCAGAGCTGCGAAATACATGACCCACGGCCGGTTTAACACGTAGTCATCGCGCGCAGCATACTCCCCAGGGTGTGTAGCCGGGTCTAAGAAACAGGCAGATAGGTATTTGAGCGCGAAGAACGTGGCATCCCGCGCTGAAGCCTTTCTCGCCCATTTCTCGGTCTTTTCCCGTGCAGCAAAGTAGTCACGCGCTGTGATAGACCGGCCCATCAACCGGCCAGCACCTGCGAAGATCTGCAGATCGGCTATATCGACATGGGAGCCCATATGGGCCAGCCCGTGCAGCACGTTGCGCGACTCCGATGTGGTCGACGGTCCCAGGGCTTCGTCGAAGTCGCGGCGCCAGTTATCGAATGCCCGAAGGAGTGCTGAGCGCCATTTATCTCGTCCGCCGAGAGTCTGGCCCACACCGAGCGAGCTAATCTGCAGGTCTCGCTGGTTTAGATGCCAGCAGACACTCAGCAAGCCCGACATGATAATAATTCGTCCAAACGAGTTGGTCCGGACGGGCTGGCCATTGAGTGTGCGCTTGAGGCCGTCGAGGAACATAATTGGTCGCACACCGTGCGACTGCAGACTGGATTGTACACGAGCGACCTCGGCGGCGCTTGTCGCAGCCCACAGCGCCTCGTCACAGGGCAATGGCAGCCGTAGTTCGTGGGCCACCATTTTGGCCGAGTGACCGAACATTATGGCATGCGTTGAATCTAACAAAAAGGCGGCGAATGCCACCCGCCGAGTCGCTTCGGCCTTGATCCAGGCTGACCATGACTCGTCTTCTTCTTTGGTTTCTGGGGTAGCAAATGAAGAACTACCGATGAGCGAACTGCCTCGGCGCATAAGCGTGAGTGTCGTGTCGTGGTGAATATGTGCGCGTTCGTGTAATGCGCGTGTAGAGAAGAGCTTCTCGTAAACTTCCAGTAGTAACAGGGACTGGAACACCCAAAGCTTCGCCGGCGGCCGAAAGTCCGCATCCATGAAGATTTCCCAACGCAAATGCCAGGCAATGAAGCAAGCCAATTCAGCCGCTGCTTCAATAGCAGACTGGCCATGAATCTTATCCAATGTCGCCGCGCCAATTGCCATGATCGCTAGTAGTAATAGGTTCGGGGTACGATCGGCACTGAATGTCGGCTGGTGCAATATTGGGAGTTGTGCATGGAAGTGAAACCAATACGATCCAATGTACGTCTGCATCATGCGTAAGCTCAAGGCATGTCGGTCGTTATTCAAATCCCCGTCCATCAGCGCATCTTTGCGTTTAGTGCCTGACGCATACGCCGATTCATTGAATCGTGTTGACATCAAGTGCAGCAACTCCTGACGCTTTCCTTCTGATATGAGAGCCGGCGGTGCTCCCGAGTCCAGAATACTCGTCACGCTCATGGGATGTTGTGGAATCACTGAGCAAAAGTTGTCGTCGTTATATACAGCCTCGTTGATGTAGAACTGATTCTGAGCAAGTGGTACCATCCCGTAGCCCAACGGCGCGAGTGGCTCGCTGAATAGCCATGCCGCAAAATCGTCTGCCATGGCGAATGGTGATCGGTTATAGGTTTCCCCGCCGAAAATCGGGTAGGATATGGAGTCAAGGTCGATAAGATCCTCAGTATGGGGCAGTACCGCCTGAAAATCCGAATATTGGTCCACTGGTATCTCATTGCTATCCACTCCGGTGGTGAGGGGGTATGTTGTCACCGGAGGTTTGGGATCCTCCGAGCCAACGAAGTATTCGGGCGCGGTGATAGCAGGCGAAGAAGGCGAGGAGGTTTTGGTGCCATTTTCGGCGAAACTATCACGTTTCTGGAGCTGGGAACCGCTGGTGGTGTGACGTTCACGATGGCGCGTGCAGAGGTCCTGTCGCACGAAGGATCGGTAACAGTTGGGAAAGTCGCAGCGATAGATTTGTTTCGGGGCATGATTGAGAGCATGGCGACTCAGGTGTTCGGCGCGAGAATAACTCTTCCCACAGCCTTCAAATGTGCATTCGAACTTACGATCGGAGAGAACTTTGCGACTGCGTCGCCGTCTCTTGGAGGGTTGACCGTCGTTCTCCATATTTCATGCCATGACACGATGATCACTGGAAGGTGGAGTCAAAAAAGAATGTCTGAGCACCAAAGGAAGGACCAATGGTTAGGGAGCAGAAATGAGTCACAGAATGAAGCGCAAGTGGGAGTTCAAACGGGTTGTCCGGGGGAAGTGCGGAGATATCGGTGGGGTGGTGTGGATATGACTTTATTGGTGAGAGATAGTCGGAGTGTATGTGTTGTAGGTTGTGTATATATAGCATTGCAAGGAATATAGTCTATTCTTCTCTAAATATATACTACTAGTAGTGATATGTAGAATGAATATACATGTAGATCCCTTCTACTCTACGCCTAAGATATATATACGGATTATGCCAATCGAATATTGATGCTCAATAGATTCATAACTCATGATCATGATCAAATGCCCACACACAGAAAGTGCGCCAACGCATCTCAATGCAGAAATGAGTCGCGACTATTGAATACCTAGATACAGGTCGAGCTGGTACAACATATGGCAATGTCAAAGCCAGAAAAGGTTCTGGTCAGGCCGATGTACCAGCAGGTCATTAATCATCACACCGAGTTCATGCCATCCCATCGTGTATCGTACTACGTGGCACGTCAATAGCAAGGAACTGACGCCTGATTTGTGCAAATGCTTCCATAGGGTTCTCTTTTTTAGTGCAGATCAGCACTCAATAAGAATTTACAGTGGCATTCTCATCCGCTGAATCGGAATCGGGCGGCCTCCAGACGGCCAAGGCCCTCGCGTGGGGCTACATTGCGGCGACGGTAAGAGTTGGTGAAGTCTAGATGAGGTTAGATTAGAGAACAAAGAACAAGGGGAGGGAAGGGGAGGGGACCAACCTTGGAGGAGAACACGGATTTTGCGGGTCTCTCCTGACTGGACTTTGTCAGAGACACTGTTCAAAAGTCGCTCGGCTTCGCCGTGCTTCATAGTGCCACTCGGCAGCATCTGCAAAGTGGTCTGCAGCCATGCCCCGGTTTCCTGAGGGAGCAGTTCGAACATCGTCATCAGTACTCCCGACGCATCAGCGAAGCAGTCACCCGGGAATGTGAACATCATGCCCGTCAAGACTCGCTGAGCCAAAGGCTGGCCTTGCGAGATAATCAACGCCTTGACAGCCTCGCGAACCTCAGGCGGGTTAACGTAAGGCTGACCTTCCGGGCTGGTGAACTGGGAGACCATAGGCTTATCAAATGCAAAGCTGAACAGATCCCGATAATAATGCAGCGTAGCGATGAGAGGGTCGAGTTGTTGAAGAGTGAGAGCACTGAGTGCAGCGGAGAAGATAGGGACGGCAAGGGACGAAGTGATATACTTCTTGGGATAGTATCGAACGGCGTTAGAGGAGAGACGGAAGAAGTCTTCAATCACATCTGGCAGATTTTGTGGGGGGAGATCGTTCAAGATTCGCAGGAAAGCAACCGCCTGCTGCTCATAGAACTGGAAAACGGCATCGCTGGTAGCCTGGTCGACGTACTCGGCACCATCGGAGAATTCGCGCACCACCGCATCGGTAGCCCAAAGGAAGCAACCCTCGCGCGAGGCCTGGAATCCGTTCGCGATACTCTGGGCCAGAGTCGGCAAAAGAGGGATCATGTCAGTGCGATAAGAGATGATCATGTATCTCCAGCATCGGCACACACGTTCGAGAATAGGCGTAGAAGACGTAAAGTTCATCACAATCGTGGTCATGATGGGTAGAATCTCACCGCAGTATTTGACCGCAGGGTTTTCTTCTCCCGGTGCAAGAATCGGAGTCACCACCTGCACAAAGATAGTGATCAGCTGTAGATGATCCGCGACGGCTCGCTGTCCTTCTTCAGTCTGCGCATTATTGGCAAGGTTCATGATTCGGGCCATGATTGGGTCGCAGAACATCTTGTATGAATCGTAGATCTTCTCTTGGGGCTGCACCGAAACCACTGCGGCAACACCCTCAGTGACTTCCTCCTGGCTAGTGGGCTTCAGCTTGTCAAGAACCGACTCGTAGAAGGCATGAAGCTGCGCGATATGACCACCGAGCAACTTCTGGCAGTCAGTTCCCAAAAACTTGAAGGCAAGAGCAGAGGCCTGTACAACTTCCTGAGAGGAATGATGGAAACCGGAAATCACATAGTTGAGCTGGGCCTCCAATGTATCGGGATGGGCAGCTGTCCATTCAGTGTAGCGTGCCAGCGCCATGATCGCCTGGAACCGCACTTTCTCCTGATTGGGGATTTGAACAATCAGAGGAATCAACTGCCCAAGAATGGTGCTCTCTTGGGGGTCGACCATGCGGCCCATTGCGCGGAGACCGAACAGAGGGGCCTCCAATTCCTGCCAATGAGGAACATGTTCGTCGCTTGATTGCGATGCATACTTGGCAACCCATTGCTGGATCAGTTGGTAGATTTTAGCAAGACAATCATTCACACCCACAACGGCACAGCAGTCCTTGAGGACATCGCCCATTGCATGGCGGAACTGACGGAATTTTTCCTCCTGCTCGCGGTCTCCGGAGAACAGGTCCTCGGTTTCGCCGTCTTCCGGGGTGGGAAACTCGAGGTTTTTCACCATGATGTCCACCAATCGGGCAAAGACGGGTTGGAAAGTGACTCGAGCGTCAGTGTACAGGTCGAGAGCAATATATTGCTTCAGCTCGTACCAGAAAATGAAAGTTAGAGACACTGCGTCGCGCTCCCAGTCCCGTGCGCAACATTCGAGAAGCGTCTCAACGAGTCCCTGGAAGTCACTCGGCAGACGTGCAACAAGAACAACCCATGCTTCACCTGCCTCCGCAAACATTCTTGTGATACCCTTGAAAGCCTCCAAATCTTCGGCCTCCGCAGTTTCAGCAACTTTAGGACGAAGTGCCATCAATCGTGGATAAAGGGCTTGAATGATGGGCAATGACTCGTCCACGTCCTTTGTGTCGCGGTAAAGCGTGCAAACGCAGTCCACACCGGCGTCGAAAGATGCGTCGTTGTCCAGCGCTTTGAAGATGACGTCCATGAGAGGTGACTCAACGATCCTGGCAGCCGGGATTTCACGTAGCCACGAGGTAATGCAGTCGAGAAGACGGGGGTTGGTTGCGGCGGCAGCTGTTCATGGTCAGTTATGGAATTTAATTCGGCAGGAGAATGGGACGTGGCCGTCGAATACGTACGCGACGACTGAGCGTATTGGATCATCAGCTGCATGACCTGCTCCGCGTTGTCTTCTAGCAGCTCCTTGGTTCTTGCGAGCAACTCGTCTTCCTTTTGTAGATGTCAGCTTGAACTTTTGTAAACGCATTAGAGGAACATACACTGAGATTGATTTTGCGACCCTCGGTGACTTCCTCAGGCAAGATCTTCAGGAATTCCAGCACACAATCCCCTGCGGTGTTTCCTAGAGCTGCTCCGACAGTCGCCAACACATCCTGCCATGTGACCATCTGAATCGCCAGACTGGCCAAGCACACACATAGCTGGGTCTGAATAGGGCGCGGGCCCGGCGCAAATGCAACCAATAGGTTTAGAACCGAGTCTCGCAGGGCCAATACTGAGTCCGGAGGGAGTTGATCGAGATCGAAAATAATCTGCGCAATTAGAAACGGCGAAACTCCTCAGGTAGGAATACCCTTACTTTTCCTTTCAGTGTAGTTGCGGCGAACAGCTTAGCCTCGACAGGCACATCGGGGGACTGTAATAGAGCATGTGTGGTTGTCCAGGCCTCAATCTAAAAACGCATTGAAATTAACAAAAGATACCACTTAGGTCTCGGCGAAAGAATCGTACCGATTTCTGGAATTTCTCAAGGAATTCATGGGCCTGAGTCTTCTCAGTCCTAGACACATTTCCTTGCATTGTCGCGACGGCCGCCAGGACCGGGGCGAATGCCTGCCCGGCTTCCTTGCTGGCCATGTTGAACTAAATAGATTAATCAAGGCTCAGCAATATATTAAGAAAGTATCAGCATCTGAGTGCGGAAACGCGTTCGAGGAGGGGGAGCAAGTTGATGGTGGGATGGGGTGGCCGTGACCAGATAACCGTATTACCGTAATCAAATCACGGGACGCCTGCCAGGCCCGCCAGAGCTTTCTTCGCCTCGTCTCCCGCGTGACAGCTATCACTCTCGACATAACCGCACATCATGGCAGGCCGCAAGACATTGTTGGCTCCGATCCATTTCATTTTCAGTCTCCTGCAGAAACGCAGCACCGTCTCAGTCTGGCTGTATGAGCAACTCGCTTTCCGCATTGAGGGGAAGATCCGCGTATGTGTTTCTTTACAGGATACCGTTTTGCTTGTTATTTGAGCTAACCTGTGCTAGGGCTTTGATGAATTCATGAACCTGGTTATTGACGATGCCGTTGAAGTGCGTCTGGCTACCAAGACAGAGGAAGAGAAGCGCCGGCCTCTAGGTACGATGAAATTGAAAGTCTATGTGAACACAGCTAATGCGCAACAGGCCAAGTCCTTCTCAAGGGAGACAATGTCTCTCTGATCCAGGCTGTTTGAATTTTCGCCTTTCCTTTTCTGTTTCGATTTGCGCTACACCCTGCGGTCTAAGAATTGACCATCACCAACCACGATCGCATCTACCAACCAATCATGCTCCACCACAGGAATATCCTCGGCGAGCAACTGGTCTTGAAGAGCAAGGGCAACTACAATGGAGTTCAGTCGGGATAAACGGATTTTTTTCTGGGATTTACTTACCGAGGAATGGCATACTGCGGGTCGTTGTTGCATATCGCGTTAAAAAATGATCATAATACCCTTTGCCATGACCAAGTCGTCGGAACCCGTGGTCAAAGGCCATGCCCGGCATGACAATAAGATCCAAGCCTTGTGTCAATCCGTTCGGTCGACCTTCAATCTGCGTAGACAAGAGAGATGGGATTCCCCATTTGTCCAGCTGTAATGACTCGAACTCGGACATGGATTTCAGCGCGAACATGTCCATGATGGATTTTTTATCCTGGGTATGAATATACGGGATATAGACGTTCTTCCCTTGCTGTAGAGCATCCTTTACGATCCCATTTGTTGAGAGTTCCCCGCTTGGCATAGACAGGTATACGGCGATGCTTTTAGCGCTTTGGTACTCGGGCAATGACAAGAAATTGGTTGTTGCTGCGCTTGCTGGGACAAAGTTAGTTATGGACAACCCAAGGACCACCATTCGACCTGACATTGTTGAATGATTGTGCTTATAGACAAACCCTGCAGGATTGAGCGCATCCTCTTGCGAAGGTCGCGCTTTGCAACCTGAAAAGCCATTCTGGTGGGATAGTTGTCGACGGATTATCAAGTCCACGGGTAAACGAGGAAGTAAATTACAAAAATAAACCGGAAAAAGCGTCAAGCGGGTACTTCCAATAGGATGGAATCATCTCAAAACTACAGTGATAACTATATGTACTACACTATAGAGCCATTGTATGTTTTATGATTGTTAATAGAGACAAATGATCCTTGTACATCTTCGATCATCAAACCCTTCCCATTCCAGGGCCTTGCTGAACTATGTTGTTGATCTCCACCCCAATAAAGGGCGCCCTTCAAATACTCCCTTTCTGTCGATTTTCCCTCTGTCAACTAAGATGTTTTTGATTTGGAGTCTTCTAGTCACAGCCGCTTTGGCGAGTGCAGGTGATTTGTTTGGAACGTGGACTACCAAATCTCGTGATGTTCTTACTGGTCCAGTATGTGGAACTATGTACACTATATGAATGACTCGAGACTAACGCGCATAGGGATTCTACGATCCACTCAACGACAAACTGATCGAGCCGAATCTAACAGGCATTTCATACTCATTCGATGATGAAGGAAATTACGAATCCGCATACTATCGCGCAATCTCAAACCGTCAGTTCTCCATGGATCTAGACTTTGGACGCTGTATTAATATCGAACAGCGGCTGACCCATCATGCCCGGGGGGAGTCATGCAATGGCAACATGGTGCTTATACTGTGTTCGGCAACGGAACGCTGATATTGACACCAATTGCTGTCGATGGTCGTCAGCTACTGTCCAATCCCTGCCGGAAGCAGGCAGGCCAGTACACACGATATAACATCACCGAGGAGTTTCAGGTACATTTCTTTCGTGTTCTCTTAGACGGCTTATCTGACATAAGACAGGAATTCTCCGTGGACATCGACAAGTTCAATCGCATTAAACGCCTCGATTTGACCAGGATGGACGGCTCACTTGTCCATCCCATGTTCCTCGCCTACCAGCCACCAAAGATGCTCCCTACCACGACATTGAATCCCATACCAACCGGGCATAAGCAAAAGCAAAAGCGAGAACTCTCGTCAAAGGCAGGATTTCAGCTGATCGCTAGAGAACAGCTGATCAATCCAGACCGATGGTGGTGGTTGGGTGTTCTGATGACTTCTCTTGGAGGAGTAGCTTTCTTCTGTTCATAAGGATTTCAGGCTGGCGTTGGAGAGGAGTTCTTTGTATTATGAATGAGATTTTAATGCCCTTGACTGAGGCTATTGTGACACTAATATACAATCTGGTAAATGTAAGCTCAAGAGAGCGCGTTCTTCACCTCAGTAGCAACTTCTTTCCGGTCTACTGGCTTGCCATCCAGAGGGCCTCCCGCAGCAAACAGAGCTTTGAGAACGGTGCCTGGATTGGGCTTCGTATTGGCATTGACCATAGCAGCGATCTGGTCGATGACCACTACCTTGATATCGGCGATGGGGAGGGTCTGAACCTGACTAGCGTATTCTTCCAATACCAAAACCTGTGCATCCTCTTTCTCCTTCAGATCTGGACGTTCAGCGGCATCAAACTCCTTTGCCGCATCTTTGGAGGCATTCATGCGTTTCCGGATTAGCGACAAGAGCTGAATGTCTGTCTGAATCGGCGAGGAGGTTTTGGCGGCGTTGTTGGTCTCGGAGATCAAAGCGCGGAGTACATTCAGTCTAATTATAAGCTTACTGAACCTCGAAAACAGAAGTGAAAAGGACCTCTACCTTGTCGTATCTTTGGCTCTCATGGCAGTTTTCAGATCAGTCCGCAAAGTAGCCATCAAGGGTGGCAGGACCGGACCGGTGGAATTCCACCGGACCAGACGAGCTGGTAGGCGCGAAGAAAAACGGATGGATTGGAACATTTTGATTGAAAACGTTAGACAATAAGACAATAGGAAACAAGTTCAATTGAGGGATCAATTGGGAATGGGAAACAATCGACAATCAATACCGTGAAGGCGGAAGATCCCAATTGGTCTGTGCGCTCCCAGGTGTTGACTCTCTCTTTTCGCAAAGACCTTGAATAATCCAATCTCCTCCCAAGACCTTCTCTCATCGTCATTCCCCCACATATCTTTTGCTTTCTTTTTCTCGTCCGACCTACACTGCAGCTTCTTGTGTTTTCTAGCGGGGGATCGTCCCTTTCTCCCTCCTTAAAACCGTCGCCATGTCGTATCCGACTCTTCCAACAAATCTCCCTCCAGCGACGCCGCAGAAACCCCTTCCTGGAGCTTACTTTCAGACCCCGGCACCAGTCACAGCACGGCCTTTACCGACTAGGTCACCATTGCAGACGCAACCCCAAACGCCCATGCCAAAGCTCCCTCCAGCAGCTTCGAAGTCCAAAAATCAAACATTGAGCACCGAGGAACGCGGGGCGCGAACGATTAATAGCAGCTTGCAAAGCGAATCGCGTTATCCAGACCTTGACAGCTATTTATCTCGTAAATATCCCCATTGAAGACTGCTTGAAGCAAGACTGACAAAAAAAAACAGAGGGCTCCTCGTCTGAGTACAACATCCCCGTATCCCAATCATGGGCACCATTCCAAAAAGTCAAAATGTACGATATCCCCGACCAGATTTTCGATCAATACAACCGCGCACAAGTTTCGACCAGTATGGGTCTGTTTGCCGAGTTAAATCACGCGTGGGTCGCGATTGACAATGCATTATACATTTGGGATTTCACACACTCTAACCCGCAATTGGTGGGATTCGAGGAACAGCCTAACAGCATTAATGCTGTTAAGTTGACCAAACCGCGCCCGGGAGTTTTCTTGCCTGCGATCACCCATTTGCTGGTCATTGCGACAACTGCGGAGATCATTCTGCTGGGAATGGGCTATGAGAATACGCCCAGCGGAGGTCGACAGGTTTCTCTGTATCACACGGGAATGTCGGTGGCAGTCCGCGGCTTGGATATAAATGTTTTCGCGGCGTCAGCATCCACTGGACGCATTTTCTTTGGAGGATCGTCTGACACCGATGTGCACGAGGTCACTTACCAACAAGAGGAAAGGTGGTTCCAGGGCCGCTGTGGCAGAGTCAACCATACCAGCTCGCGTCTATCGGCTTTCAGGCCTTCAATGAGCCTGACAAACCTTGCACAAAGCGCTTCCGAGCATGTAGTGCAGATGGCACTCGATGACACTCGGAAGCTGCTCTACACACTCTCCTCTGCATCTACAATTCGAGTATTCCACATGGGACCCGAGGGCGCTTTGACACTCGCAATCACCAAACGCGCTCTGGATATCTACTCTAACATAGGGCACATCATCACCTCCAACGAAACCCTGAACCCCAGAATCAAGATTGTTTCGATCAGTCCGGTGCCAGCCACAGAAGCGTCGCGGTATCATCTAGTTGCAACGACAGCAACAGGATATCGCATTTATCTCAGCGCCACTGGCTCAAACAGTTGGGCGCCTGCGTCGACCAACACCAGCCCTCCGACAAGCATGCAGGCACTGCATGTCAAGACACCTCCCGTCGATCTCTCCCCCGGCGTGAGCGGGGTGGCATCTTCCATCTCACTCGTTTCGCCTCTTGGCGCGGTTTTACCTTCTGCTGGTCAGATTACCACACTTTCACCCACTCGTCTCGCCGAGCGATATTCCCCCGGCTATTTCTTCTGTTTTACTACCAAGGATCCACAGCAAAAGATTGATACTCTTTTCATCTCAACCCCTGACTCTGGTCGTATCGCTCAGTACCAGGAAGGCTCGGTCAGTGGTAAAGCCGCTGAGTCGGCTATCATTCTAGACCTGGGAGGCAAGGCAGAGGATATTGGTCTGGTTTCGGCACCTTCACCAGTGACCAACGAGCTTGCCGTTCAATTCGACCACCCAGCTGCCGAGATTGCAATCTTGACTAATGGTGGAGTTCACATCATTCGTCGGCGTCGTCTCGTGGATATCTTCGCGGCCTTGCTCCGCACCGGCGGCAATCCCCATGAGGGACTGACCGGCGATATCCAAACTTTCCTGAGAACATATGGACGGAGCGAGATGCTGGCAACTGCCCTGGCGGTGGCTTGTGGCCAGGGTATGGAGATTTCCCCTGACCAAAGACTGACTCGAATTACCGATCCGGACATCCTGGCGGCAGCACGCCAGGCCTTCATTACTCAAGGTGGTCGGGCCCATCTGAATGAAAATGCTATTGCGGATGGCTCAATGTCTGCTCTTGATGCCGTGCAACCCTCTCCTCGACACACGGGTATTGCACTATACATTGCGCGTCTGTTGCGATCTATCTGGAAGGAGAGGATTGCCAAAGTGGGCAATGGACCTAATGGCGCACAATCCGTTTCCGCGTCTGTGAGTTCCAGCAAACTGCAGACTGTCCAGCATGATCTCTCCTCACTGGCAGAGTTCTTCAAGGTGAACAAGACCTTTATTGATGGCCTCAACGGCCCCGACGCTCTTGCCCGGGTAAACAGCAAGCAAGAAGAAGTGGCGCTGCAAGCCGAGCACCGCGCATTACACTCTCTCGTTCAATTGGTATCACACACAATCGAAGGTATCTCATTCATACTTGTTCTATTTGATGAGCGGGTTGATGAGATTGTGGCGACTTTGCCAGCTGAATCGAAAGCGAAGTTCCTCAGCCTCACCTTTGAGGAACTCTTCAGCTCCAGCAAGGGACATGACATTGCTAAAGAACTCGTGAAGGGCATTGTTAACCGCAACATTGCCAAGGGCTCCAACGTCGAGACTGTGGCTGATGCACTTCGACGACGCTGTGGCAGTTTCTGCAGTACTGAGGATGTGGTGATTTTCAAGGCACAAGAAATGCTGAAGCGTGCGACTGAGGCCGGTGCCAATACTGAATTGGGCCGCAACTTGCTCAATGAGAGTCTGCATCTCTTCCAGCAGGTGGCGGAATACTTACCAATGGATTATCTGGTTTCGGCAGTGGACAATTTCATTTTCAACCAGTTCTTTGCAGGTATGTTGTGTGATCCTGGCCTTTGCTTCTCATACTGATTGGTTATTCCTTTTCTCTTTAGGTGCTATCCAGCTCGCCCTCAACGTTGCTGCTCGGTCCGACAAGTCAAACCTTGCGTATTCCTGGATCATGGATCAGCGTCCCGAACAGGTGCTTATCCCCCTTATTCCCTATGGATCCCGGTATCAGCTCCCGCTCACAACTACCCAGGACCCCCGCAAGGAATACTTCTATTTCCGCAAGCAGTGCTACGATCTCATTTTCAAAGTCGTGCTTGCAGTTGACAAATTGGCTGCATCCGATCCCGGTCTCATTGATGGCCAGCTGACCACTATTGCCAAACGCCAGAACGAAGCCTATGGCGTGATTTCTGATTCTACCGATGAGGTGTTCCTGACGAGTTTGTATGACTGGTACCTCGAGCAGGGCTGGAGCGATCGGTTGCTGCAGACGCAATCTCCATTTGTCGTCACCTACCTCCAGCGCAAGTCGAATGATGATCTAGGCCATGCTGATCTACTCTGGCGGTTCTATTCCCAATCCCAACGGTTCTTCGAGACTGCACAGGTTCAATTCCACCTGGCCAATAGTGCTTTCGTGTTGCCCCTGAGTCGTCGTATTGAGTACCTCGGTCAAGCCCGCGCCAACGCTTCGATTTTCACACCGGACGTCGGGCGTCAGTCAAGACAGCGACTGCTGCAAGAGATTTCGAATCTCATCGACGTGGCCAATCTTCAGGATGACCTGCTTCAAAGACTCAAGGATGACGAGCGGATTCTTCCCGAACGGAAACCCGAGATCCTGCGCGAGGTCGATGGGCCAGTGATGGATATTAGCACAGTAAGTTCTAATTTTTTCGGAATAAGTTCCAACAAGATACTAACATGTTTTAGCTGTTCAACAAATACGCCGATTCCGCCAGTTACCATGATATCTGCCTTCAAATCTTCTACCAAGCCGACCATCGCAATGCGGCCGACGTCAAGTCAACTTGGCAACACCTGATCCAGGGGATCCATGACGCCACTGTTCAACGCGGCTCACCGCAACCTTACGAAGCGGTGATCGACAAAGTCCGCAGCCTCGGCAGTCGGCTTCGCATGTCCGAGACCATTTTCCCCATCCGCGAGCTCGTCCCCATGCTGGAGCGGTATGCATTAGAGTTTCAACGCAACGTGGGCCCGGCTACCTGGGTGGTGGATCTGTTCTTAGATCTTGGCGTTGCACACGAATCGCTGTATGCGGTGCTGGAGACGATGTACTACACCGACGAGGCGCCCTTCCACGGGTCAAACCGGCGATTCATCGCGCACGACCTGCTGTACCTGCTGAGTGGATGGTTCCATGAGACCGTGCGCCTGGGCGGCATGGTCTTCGGCTCGGATATCGTTGCCGAACGTGTCTCTGAGATGCTGCTGATCCTGCAACAGAGCGGTGTCATTAGTGGGGAACAATTGGAGATCGCTCATGACTTGCGGTCACGGATCGATGATATTCTACGGTAATGTGGCGTTTGCTGCCGCGGCGATGTGGGGGGACTGGCCATGTAGCGTTGCAGATCTGCGTGGCGGTGACTCCTGAGATTTACTTGACATAGGATCTTTTAAGGATCGGTGCTTTTTCTGGGATTTCTGCTTGTAACTCTAGGCGTGGGGTGGTAATGAAAACGAATTCACAGTCAAAATGGATACAGGGAGTATAGCCCTGATCATCATTGCAATGGATATTTGAATATTTCAATCTTTGAATGTAAATGAAGGCAAATGAAAGCAAGTTAAATCAAATTCCAACCAGATTAAATCTATAATCAATCCCGAAACACCGAACCCCATTCTATCACATTACGATCATTCGAACTCCTCGTCCTCCTCATCCTCATAGACAGGAATAGGTTTCTCGCCCATAGCAGCCAAGCGGAAGATATGACGAGCCTTGGCACCGTTATCATCATCCAAGTAGTCCACAATAGCAGAGTCTAAGATCTCATTAGTAAAGCTCAATTCCAATTCCCATTCCCCAGGGGAGGGAAAAGGGGGTGGAAATAACTCACGAATAGTCGAGCGATTATCAAACATCACAATAGTCCTCGGTTGCCAGCGCACGCGAACCTGGAAATCATGACCGGCAACGAGGTGATTCATAAGGAAATCCAACACCCACTTGGTCTCGGTATCCTTGAGCCCATCAATCCGCGTAATAAACTCCCCATTCAAAAACATACACTTCTCCCCGGTCACGGGATGCACCCGGATAAGCGGGTGGACAGTATCAACAGGATCCTTCCTGACCAACCCACCCGTCAGGCGCGCATGGCCAATCATCTTCGCCGACGAATGCGTAACCTTCAAGCCATCCAGGAAAGCCGTGACAGCCGGCGAAAGCCGCCTGTAGGCTAGGTCCGTAGCCGCGAAGACGGTATCACCGCCGACCTCGGGGCCCTGCAGGAGGCCAAGCATGACATAGGCCGGCGGCTGGATCTCGTAGCTGACGTCCTGGTGCCAGAGGGTGGTTGTAGTGCGCTGCTGCAGGAAGCGGGTGATCTCGTCTCTGTTGCCGTCGCGGTGGATGATGTGGAAGGCGGGATGGTCGGTCATGGAGCCGGACACGGGCTGGTAGTTTGGTTTGCCGAAGTGGCGCATGAAGGATTCCTGGGCATCTGGGCCCGCATCGATCAGGTCCTGGTCTGGGAAGGCGACGACCTTGCGCTCGGAGATGAGCAGGGCGAGCTCGTCCCGTCCGGCGGCGGAGAGCTCGGAGAGCTGGACGTTCTCGATGATTGTGCCTAGGCTGGGCTGGATGTGCGAGACTTTGGCGGTTGCGGGCAGCAGGTTGGGTTTTGATTTGTTGCGCACGCGGAGGGCTGGGTCTTCATATTCGAAGGGCTGGAGTGGGTCGAACCAGATTGGGTCCCAGGAGGGGAGGTATTGGGGGTATTTGGTTGTGATCTTGGATTGCTTGTCTACGTCGACATAGGGGATGTTGATGTCGTAGCTGATGGGCTCTTGCTTCTTGGGCTGCTTGGGACGGCGGGGGGCTGTGGAAGGCATTGTATAGATTGTATATCGATCTGTATAGGGTGGAGTAAAGGAATAGATGGATAAGATGGATAAGGAGAAGAGATGGAAGTGGGATTGAGGTTCTTTTTATATTTTATATATAGTTCTGTATACGCATCTCCAACGCTTCCCTTCATCTCCGAGTGGAAAGATGCGAACAGCGGTCAGAGATAATGGAAAAAAAGAAGTCAGAAAAATGATCTCTCCAGGAAGAAAAGTAAAATTTCGATAAAAATAAAAACAATAAAGCAAGAAAAGCAATAAACGCGTCTCTCCACTTATCCACTGCCATGCAAATCCCCATTCCACTACCGTTCGCCCGCTTTTTTTTCATTTCGTTCCAAAGCTTCCATGGTCTTACACCGCTACGGTAGATGATGAAGACCTCGAAGATAAGGCATGCTGCAGGCCGAATGGCAATTGCATTATCTGCCATGATCTATGCATGCGGGGATTATGATTCGGCATATGGTTAGAAGGACTATTTACAACTGTTCCGAGCTATTTAGGAAGCTCCAAGGAGAAAGGAGAAACGGGAAGAAAAGGGAAGAAACGAGGAAAACCCTAAAGAACCCTGTCATCAACTAATTAGGGCATCCCGATCTTGCGGTCTACTTCCCGGGATGTCTCTCTCGAGGCAGGTTATCAAGGAGATTCCCTGTAGCATCACTGCATGCCTACCTTATCCCGATGATGTAATTCCAGGCTTGATGGTTGACATCAAGGTCCTTTGTCTACTTCAGTGTATTCCCTTGTGGATATAGGGTAGCTCGGATTCAACAGCTCCCCGAGGAGACCAGTCAGGCCACCTTAAAATTGAGAAGCAGCGGTGAGATGGAGATCAAGGTACTCGAAGGAGTTGGATGTGTATATCGACTTGGGACTTTGGTTATCTCGGTGAAATACGCTAGAAATTAAGATCTCACACTAGCATTCCCCCGAAAAAAGCAATTATACGATGTTCTAGTTCTATAACTTCCATCTCTTCCAGATTGTTCCTCGGGTCACCTGATATCCCCTTCCCCTAAACATCTACACTTCGACCACACACAACATACACACACAGCATACTCCGTATACAACACACACAGCACCAGCACCGTCTTATCCTTTCGCATTGCATATGACCCAGCACATCATGTCCATCTGCACCCGTAAACGGGACTTGTCCTATCTTCTCTTTTTCGTCACCCATGTCCCCATTATCCTCCGTATGATTCTCTATCTCTATCTCTATCTTCATATCTTCATACCTCGTATATGCACACTAACGCCAAAATACAGTAATCGACACAGTCCCCCTCCTCCCAGCTTTTCTCCAAACAAACCTCTCCCACCACCTGCGCCAGTTCTACATAACAACCTACCGCGACAAATTCTTTGAAGACCCCCCAACATGGTTCACCGTCTTCATCTGGATGGAGCTGCTGTACCACCTCCCGCTCTCGATATGGGCGGTCCGGGGTTTGCTTAAAGGTATTTCCATTTCTTTTCTAAGCTCGTGTTGGTACACGCTACATGCTACTATTTGTACATTGTATATGGTATCATCCAGTCCACCCCATCACGTCTTATATCCATTACATATCTATATCAAATGCAATATCTGGAATATCCTCTCCCCGAACACGAACGACACGACAATGGCAAACGCAATCAGCAACTAACTCAATTTCCAATTCATCTAGACCACCCCCTCGTCCCTGTACACCTCCTCGTGTTCGGTATCCAGGCCTTCATCACTACATTGACATCTCTGGTGGTGGTGTGGAGTTGGACTGACCGCTCGGTCGCGGAGAAGCAGCAGCTTACCATGCTGTATGCTCCCTATATGGCGTTAGGTATGTGCAGTCCAAGGGTGTCTGCAAGAATGTCGCAATTAGCTCACCAGCTGTTACTAACACCTCATAGGCGGATTCATGGCTCTAGACATGGTATTCCGTCTACGCGACAAACTAATGCCCAAAACCAAGCGGGAATGAACAGCACACACTTACATTACATGTAGGACAATAAACAAAATCTATTATAATGCAGCCAGCGTTATAATCGTACACATCATTACGTGCTTTGATCAAATCTCGCTAATACAAGTTCCCATCCCGACCAAAACGCCTTCGAGTGTAAATGCAGAAAGCGGAATCCATCCATAGATCAAATCAAAAACCCGATCGCCCCTTCCAAGTCTCCATGTGCCATATCAAGAGCCCGGACGGCTTCCTCGCGCGAGAATCCCAGCTCGGTGATCCTGGCAACGGAATCCTGCGGCCACCGCGAAGCAGGCGCAGGCCGGATATTGATTCGGGGCTGTGACCCTGACGCGCCGGACCCAGACCCGGATGCATTGGAAGTCGCATTGGCATTGGGATTGTTCTCCGCTTTGTGCGTGACCGCGCCAGTGCGGGCACCCACTTCGGCACCATCGGCTCCCTTGACCGTAGGTTCGGCCTCGAACTCTTCAGTCAAGTGCTTGGGAATATCGCCCTCCCCGAGGAAGGGGACGGCTTGGTCTTGGATAACGAGAGCACCCCGCTGGAGATCAATGCAGGCCTGGTGGCGGCGGAGCATGTCCAGCCCCAGGAGCAAGTCGATCTGCTTGCCTTCCATGACGGTGAAGGAGCAGGGCAGGAACATCTCGCCGATCTTGATCTGGGCGGAGTGAACCCGGCCCAGGATCGGGGCAGTCCCGACGCCCTTCGCAATGCCGCCATAGCGACGGTCTACCAGGCGCATTATGTTACACGATGTTGCACACTCGGGAGACATGATGGTCACCTGAGCACCGGAGTCGACGAAGGCGTTTAGACGGTGGCCGTTTACTTCCACGGGAATGTAGAGCATTGTCACGCGACCGAAGGCTAGAGAAACATATTGGTTAGCTTTATTCTCAGTTGAGCAGCCTAGCCGGCAGTTCAAAGACGTAGAGCGTACACTCAGGATGATGCTCCATGGCATTGTGTAGATTTTCCGTAACAGCATTCTGGCGAATAATTTCCTCAATTTCCTTCTGGTTATCGTGATTAAAAGGATCGGCATTGAGCATCGCAATGCGAGCTTCCTTCTCCGCCTCCCGCTGCGCCTCGCCCTGTTGCTGCCTAAGCAGGACCTCGCGGAAGCGCTGAGCATTATCCGCGGCCTCAGACAGCTCCGGGTTCTGCCTGCGCACGGCCTCGCGCACGCGGGGATCACCCAGAATGTGTAGGCGAATCGTTTCGGGGTCCGGCATGCCGGGGCGGGGTTGAGTGTTCTGTCTGGGCGCGACGGAGCTGGAAGCGGCGGGGCGAGTGGAGGGCTGGGGAGCTCGGAGGGTGACGTGCACACCGAGCATGTCGCCCTCGGTGATGCCGGCTTGGTCTAGGGTTTGAGAAGGGTTCTGGAGGAGCTGGTTGTTGTAGACGAGCTGCTGCGCTTCGGGTGGGATGGTAGTTTCGCTTTCGACAATAGCTTTGAGGAGCTCGACTGACATATCGCCGCCCACTTCTAGGTTGATGATGTCCGAGTCCGCCTGCTCGGGGCGGATGACGTTGACGGTGATACGCATGGTATCGGTAGCAAGGACGTCTGCTAGGAAGGGGTATAAAGCAGATAAATTATAGAAGAAAAAAAAGTAGAGAGATGGAAGAAGCCAAGAAGTAGAAAGAGACCGGGAGAAGGAAAGACTAAGAAAGCGGGAAGGGGACACCTGACTCTTTAAAGAGCTTCCTCTTCTCCTCCTCCTCTCCCTTACATCCACTCTATTTCTCTCGCCTTTCAAATCAGAAATAGGATAGACTTTTATTTCGACTCTAGCGCTGCAGCTAACATGGTCCCATACATCCATGATCTCCTCCCACCTATTGCATATGCGTAATGAGCCCCGCGCTGAGCCGTTTAGCTCCTCCACTAATTGCCTGGCCAAACAGGCTAACGGCGGACCGGGTCTATTGGCGTCATCGCCAGGGGGAGGGCCACGGGAAATCGTTGGATAGAGAAGTGACGCCTTGAAGTTGCCTTGTTTTCCTGACTCCGCGGCCATGTCCGATATCCCACAATACCCCGGCATTGGTTGCCAGCGGCAATGGCTTCATCCGTACTTTGACAATTTACTATAGCGGGGCCACCGGAGACCTCCACTGTCCGAGAGCCCCGGGGCTGGACCAGCTACTATTCTAAAAGTACATTGGTTCGTGTCCACCACTTCCGTCGTCCTACCACTGCCAGACCAGCCCCGAACCAGACCCCAAGCTATTTGAGGATGTCGCAATTTTGATAACTTGTCCACCCCGCACTAGTCAACACATGCAGGGGATTTAGCCATGCTTTGAGGCTGTCAAGTACAACTCAGTTCCCGCACGGGTACGGAGTATACATGTTGCAATGCCAACACAAACAGATGTGAACACATATAACAACATGAAGGCGCTGGTCAGGCGCTCAAATGCATTTGGAACAACCGATTCAAGAATTTTCCGACTATCACGTAGGTGACCGTTTTTGAGATAACCATTTCTAGAGCCGTGCATTAGTGCTCATATTTCAGATTGGCTCCCTTACTTCCAACGTTTGTGGCTCAGGCATGGCGCCAGTTCAGGGTTTTTTAGGGCGTTTTGACAATCTATTCTTATAGGTTGGCTTTTAGTCTCTAGCTAACCGCGCCACGCAGGATATAAGAATGAAGAGACACGGATCGGCTCCATGTGGCCAACCTACGTGATCCTGAAATTCAGCCAGCACGTATCTTCACCATGCACAATGATGCATATTTCCTAATAATGCTGATATCCCAAATACGCCTATGAACGGCCGGTGTCTGTTTTTCGAATCCGCCGCAAGATTTCTACATGTCTAGTCGGGTTCTTTTGAGGTGACGGAGAATATCGACTTGAATTATCCTTCCAACAGTTGTATACAGGTGCAATTTGACTTAGATCAAGCTGCAAGCTACCAATGCGCATAGCCGAGGGAACACCGGGGACCCCCGTCCCCACTAACCACCTTGGCGTCGATCACTGTCATCGATAAGAATCTAGCCCTGTCAAGAGATAACATAATGTGGCTTGACCCCCACCAAATTGCTGTCACCAAGCCTTTCTTCAAATGGCAAGTTGCATTTAATACGGCGGTACAGCATGCAACGATATGGTCTAGGCTAGTGGGGTTGAGGGGTCTTACACTCGCTGTCGTCGCTGTGGCGGACGTCGTAGCCGGTGATGAAGAGATACTTATGTACAACATATGTGTCGAGGACCTCGGAGGGCATGTATCATCTTAAGATAGCATGCAGGGAATTGTACTCCGTAGGTATTTACATTGAAATAATTAGGGCTATGTCCCGTATCTAGCCCCCCACACTCCAAAGTACACTCGCAGTGAACTCTCACCATCTTCCTACCTCAACCATGTTTATTCAAACGAAAAACCAGTCCCTCCAATAGACTCCTCTCGCATCATTCCAAAGCCAGGCGCTGATGCTGGTGCAAGCCGAGTATATCTTCCAGGGCAACCAGTGGGCCTATATAGGTACTTAATTGGCGCCAACTTCTCCTTGATCGAAGGGGAGCCTGATGGAAAATTGGAAACGACATGCTACTACCTATTACGCTGTGGTGGCCGAGAAGAGAAGATAGCCTATTCATCTATCAAGAAATATATCAAGAAAGATTCCTTGGAAATGTGGTATTGGAGATGCTAATTAAAGGCTGATCAAGTGGTCATACCTTTTGATCCCACATACGAAATGTATTTAGTGTGATCTCGATGAATTGCACGATGGAACAAATCAGGGCAGAATAAAGAATAATCCTGAAAGTCATATCATAATCATGATAAGTTGTCTTACTAGTTGACCTAGTAAGACAGTCTGGGCTGAAAAACTATGCACCAAAAGAGAAATAATTGCTTCTATCCCTCTGATCCAAAATGCATCAAAACTCTTTGTTCCCACCGTTAACGAGAAGCGAGACTGGGGAAGAACCGCGGACCTGCATATCCATGTGCGATGATGCTTTCTATGTCAATATTCCCGTGGGCTCGCGGGCTCCACAGCTTGATGAGAATGAACCGGCCAGACCTGGAAACGTTAAAATTCGGTTATCCACATCCAATGATAATGACACATACGGGGGTGGGTCAAATTTAATGGTAACCATGCTCTTCTCTCGCTCGATGAAGAAGCGCGCATGAGGCTTCAAAACTTCGGCAGTTGGATGAGCAGGCTCGGCTAGGGGGTGTGGATGCACAAGACTCGGGCTATGGCGTAGTCTCTGCTCAGAAACACGGCTGAGGGCACTCAAACGTTCCGATTGAACCTGTCGGCGACTCTGGTGTCTTGAAGAGTCATCCTCATCGCTTGGACTCTCATCAGTAGACGATAAAGGATCTTCCATCTGGTCGGCTTGGGTTCTCTCCAGAAATGCAGAACTTTCTTCGTCATCTCCAGAATCTTCGTTATTGTCATACTCGGTGGTGATGCGGAACTGCGCTTGCGGGTCTTCTGCGGTATGCGGAACAGCGGCTGAATGTGGGCTCATGAGAACTGTGCGTTCGATATTTTGAAGTGGTGGCCGGAACCCAGTGAGGTATTCCTGGGATGGTTGCATGCCACTGCGGCGGGCTCGACGGCGGTATCGGCCGCTAGAGTATTGAATTTGGTATTGGGCGGTGCGGGCAAGCAGTTCATCAGAGGTCATCGCGACGAATACCATACCTTCTTGTATTCTGTTTCATTTCATTAGTCATGAGTCCAACGTACAGACACGCCTGGCAGACATACGGAGCGTCGAACCCGCATTGAGGGGCTCTGATAACGATCTTCTTCAAGCAGAACGGGGCCTCGCCCCGGTGACAGAGGACTAAATTGCAGCGGGCTTCTCTGGTAGAGTACACGCTTGTATTGTTGTCCAAAACGTTCTCGGGGCGCGAACACCCGCTATCCGGATCGTAGCTTCCTCCGTCGCAGCTAGCGATTTCCATTTGCAGCATTCCCGGTAGTACTTGCCCATATTGACCATAGTTGAAGCCTCGAAATTCCTCGCGGTTATCATCGGTGTCCAGCTTCCGACGCTTCATCCGTCCTTGGCCATCACGGCCCGACTGGCCGGATGGTGGCATGAAAGACGGTGACCTGGATAAAGATCCGTCCGGGCTTGGCGGTCGGAACGTTTGCCAGGGCAAACGATGGCGAAGGGAATGTGACTCCGGGGAGAGCGAAGTTCGAGCCCGTTCTGAACGAATCTGGTCGAGCCAAATGCTCCGAGTTGGCTCTGCGGGGCCAGTTGTCTCGGAGTGCAGTTGGCGATCGACGTCGGCCCGAGCTTGCTCAAGGTTGGTACGATCGCGAGATCGGTCCAGAGAATGCGCAGCGATTTCTCGATTTAATGTTTCCAAGGCAAAGTTGGTGTTGTAGGCGTTGTAAGAACCGGAGCGAGTTCGTTCCGATACGAGATTGCGGAGATGCTGGAGACGGAGGATGTCAGGGCGCTCGTCAGGCCTAGAATGACGGGATATGCGGGAGCGGCGGGTTGAAGAGGAAGAAGCACGAGGGTAATCGTAATTCCCTGACTAAAGGAAGGTGTGAGACATCAGTCGGACGCATAGCCATGAGAGACATACCATCGTTCAGGCTCGTTAGTACCGCTTGAGGTGGAATTACCTGGGTTGGGGATATGGGGTAGGAGATAGCGTCTTAGAACTAACCCAACAGAAATCAAAGAAACCCAAAAAGATTAACGTACTGGTAAAATAAAGTGTTTCGGAGAAGAGTTGGTCTTGTGAGTTCACAAGGTTGGTAACACGTGATGGTCGATTATATCATCGATAGTGGAGTGAAGGTGGGAGGTTGAGAGATAACTTCATTGTATTTATGGATTTTGGATTTTGGATTTCATTAATCTTGCAGTTCTCACTCCGTGCTTTCTTTCTCCGTGTAGACACCTTCATCCGGCATGGGGTGATAGTTAATTGTGTCACTTAGCTCTTTGACCTTATACTTTCCCATGATAAAGGATCAAAGACAAAGTGGCCTCCGGAATGTTGGTCAATATCCTTTTAGATAATACTTAAAGCCAAATCTCATTGGTGAGAAGATGGTACCTCTCAACCTAACTATCATTATGTTACTTAGAACTCATATGCTCAAAACTGATATGAGAACACGAGGAAGGGAAGTTCTGCAGAAAAGCTCTACAGTATTGTAGAGGACATTGTCGATAAAGCTAGAGCATACTTGTGAATATCTTCGTATTATTTGCTGATTGAGTCGTGTGTTATGCAAATTTCTATTTGTTGACTTGATATAGCCTCTATTTATAACTAGCCTAAGACAATGATATCATAAAATCAGACACTTGAACTGTTTGTTTAATTCATCCTATGTTGAGATTTTTCTGAGACTATGTCCGTGATCCCCATCTAACTAGCATATTCTATCAATATTCAGTGAATATATTGAAACAGATATCCTCGTCCGCATGAGGTTGTATACTTCTTTGTCCCCACGGCCCCACACAGTAGCTCCCGGGTCACCTGACATTTAAACCTATCGGAACTTCTTTACCTCTTGGACTATTTGAAATCATTGAACTTCTGAACTTCCATCTGCAACCTTACAACTTCCATTCTCATTGCGCCCCTCATTAAGTCATCGAACCAGTGCTTCTCACTTGATAGCAGATCCCCGAAACACAACTGCGAGGCTTTAAATCGCCAAGCTCGTACCTGGGCAAGATTGTACTCGATCGACACTATGGCGGAGCAACAAGATAATACACAGGCCATCAGTGCTGGTATGGAAAATAACTAGAATCTGCTTCAATCCTTACTGACTTTGCCAGATGAAATCGCACTGTACGACCGACAGATCCGGCTGTGGGGAGTGCACGCGCAGGAAAAGTGAGCAATCCAGCTTGCAAAGCACTACATGTCCTAACAACGGCTAGAATCCGCTCGGCGAACATCCTCCTTATCACTGTGAAAGCTCTCGCAAATGAAGTGGCCAAGAACCTCGTCTTGGCAGGCATCGGATCACTCACCATACTCGACCACCAGGACGTCACAGAGGAGGACCTGGGCGCGCAGTTTTTTATCGCCGCAGCGCAAAGTGAGCAGGATGTGATTGGAAAGAACGTGAGCTACAACAGAGCAAAGTCCCTACCGCATCCGCTGACAACCCACTCCAGCGCGCGCAAGTCGCAGGACCGCAAATCCACAAAATGAACCCTCGAGTCAAGCTCAACATTGACACATCCGATGTTAGCACCAAAGCACCCGAATTTTTCGCACAATTCGATATCACAATTGCCACAGAGCTCGACTTCGTCACCAACATTACCGTGAACGCCGCCTGCCGACTAGCCAATAGACCCTTCTACGCCGCCGGTCTACACGGCTTCTACGGCTACGTCTTCGCCGACCTAATCAGCCACGACTTCGTGATCGAGCGCAGCAAATCTAACATGGCGCCCGCAACCCAAGAAACACCCACCCGCAGCATCATCGACATAACCACGAAAAAAGAAGAGAACAACGCCAACAAGAAAGAACCAAGCAAGATCATCGAGCTCGTCACCAAGCGCGAGGTGTACTCACCACTAATTCTCGCAAACACCTCCCCACTCCCGGAAGAATACACCCGACTTGCAAGGCGCCGCAAGCAAGTCACCCCACTGCTCAGCTGCCTGCGCGCATTGTGGGAATTCGAAAAGCTACGCGGCCACCGCCCAACCTTCACCCATGAAGACCTGGAACTATTCACGAAGCTATCGCGAGACCGACACCAGGAATTGAAGCTGGATCCACTCACACTGGACTCGGTGTTCCTGCGGACGTTCCTGCAGAACCTGGGCAGCGAGCTGAGTCCCGTAGCGGCGTTTTTGGGCGGTGCGCTGGCGCAGGATGTTATTAATGTTCTCTCGGCGAGGGAGCAGCCGCTGCAGAATATGTTGCTGTTTGACGGGGAAAAGAGCGTTGGTCCGATTTATTCACTTCATCCTTTCTTCCCTGATGTTGGTGCGCTGGATATGGCTGCTGTGCCGCCAGGTAGGATTACCGTGGATCACTGAAGGCAATTGGAATAAGCGGGACTGGACTGGGAGGACTCTTTACCATATTACGAATCTTCTTTTTTTTTTCCGAGCTTAGATCCGGGTATCATTATGTACGATAGAACACGAGCAACCATTGATGCTTCATGGAATTGAGAATAATGTACAATTTTGTTCAGATATAATATTAGCTACTCAAATTCAAGGCCTTTTAGGACCTGCAATGCTATCCGAACCCAACCCAACCTAGACGCCGTCACAATATCACAAAATGCACGATATACTTGCCAAGGGAACCAGCGAATCAATATACGGCTTCAGCGATGGGCCTCTTCTTTTCCAAGTTCCTCATCGCTATTCTTCCGCGGTCCCATGGAAGGGCCCTCATCATCATCGGAAATCAAACCATGGAGCTCGAATGCCTCGGCATCTTGGATCTGCTGCGAGTTTGAGCGTGCACGGCCATTCACATTCGCGTTCCCGTTGAGAGTGGAGTACATGGGGCCGTCCTGATTGGTGGACTCGGAGTTGGGCCAGGCGTGGACAGCGTAGAGGTGGAGCAGGATGTTGACGACTGAAGGGAAGGATGAGTGATTGTTCTAGAAGAAGAAAGCAGGGAATCAACTTACAGAGGAAGAGGATGAAGGCAATGCTGTAGAGGACCAACACGTACGCCACGTGGGTGACGCCTGCGTTGTTTAGCAGGAGCATCTGCTCCTCGGTGGCGCCCATAAAGAGGAAGCCAGAGGCATATAGCAACTGAAAGAGAAAAGAGTCAGTATCATCCTATATACCACATCAACCGGAGAGTATACATACGAAAGGAGTTAGGTATTGGAAGCTGTTCGGCTCGGAGAGAGCAGGCTTATCCCTCAGAATGAACGAGATCTCAATAATGCGCGTCAGACCCGCCGCCATCAGGGTGTACCCGAAGATAGTGTGGACCATGGTACTGATCATCAGCTGCTGGGGATGCGCCGACATAGCATATCCGGTAATCAAGATGACAATAGCCGGAATGAGGTTACGCTTAGGACGTCCGCTGCGAGTACGGCTGAGCCACATACCCAGCAGACCAGCACACCACCAGATAATGCCCATAGTAGTATGCTGGAGGTCATTGTGCACCCAAGCGGAACCCCAGCGGTGTTCGGTAAAAGTATTGACACAGCCCCAAGCGGCGATGATGAGGGAATCGAAGAATTCCTGGCTGCGGCCGGTCCGGCGCAACCAATACTGGCCGACCAGCAAGAGGATGGTCAAACAGATACCGTACGCGATGAAGGCGGAGCCCATAATGAAATGGGCCAGACACTGGCCGAGATGGTCATCGCGGCAGAAGCCGAGCGCGGCAATGCCACCGAAGAGCATTTGCGCCCAGCTGAGGACGGGCATGGCCTTGCCGACGATGCCGTGGGCCAGCACGAAGATCCATCGGATGCGGGCCTGGCCCGCCTTCTCCAGGTGCAGTTTGAGATATACTCCGAGGACAACTTGCGCGACCAGCAATAGCATCAGCCAGTTTGCGACGGAGGCGTGCAGGTTCTTGTCGAATTGGCGGCCTTTGTGGGCGTGGCCGAGGAAGTAAGCTAGTACGGCGATGACGGTGCCGACGACTTGGACGGGGACGTGCCAGCGGGAACGGATGATCTATTTTCTTTTGTTAGAGATGGGACGTGACGTGACGGTAGGAAGGAAACGGAGAGGTCAGTGAAGCGGTACATACTCCGAGAACCATTCCCGTTGGGAAGATTAGGCCAAATGCCAAACCCATGAGAATCATATGAGTCCATAGTGTTGCATCCTGGAATCATGTGTTAACTTTTGCCGAGGGGAATGGCGTAGTAGGACGTACGATAGGATCCTGGGAGATAGATTCGCCCTCAGGAACAGCCTCGTGGCCGCCATGGGCGAGAGCCGAGGCCACTAATACAAATAAAGTCCATAAGGACTGACGGAGATATGCCATGGTGTGGTCAGAGGGAGTTGCAAGGGAGAAGAGAACAGATGCGGATAACAGTTAAACCCAATCCGGGGCATCCGATTAAGGCGGAAACGACGCGTGGAGGCAAAGGAACAATGTCTTTTTGTTCTCAGGAACTCTCGAGTCAAAGTGATATAGCTATTCTATCATTTAACACTTAACAAATAACAAAAACTCATAGCAAAATTAAGGATGCGCACGCACAAACCTTGGAAGCCTTGAACTGGATTATTCAGCATGGCCGTGATTGGTCAGGAGTATATAATTCTGGGGTACGGAGGACATGGATAACTCCCTCCTCTTACAATGCTCTCATCTCCTGCGTCTGACGTATCACAACACATATGCATATGCACCTAATTGCAAACAATCTCCATGGATTCAGCCAAGGAACCCAAGTCCTACAAAGACCAGCAAAGAATCGTACGTTCTTAGTATCCCCACCTTGCCGCCACCCGTGTCTATCATATCAAACACTAACATTCAACGCAGGTCGCCCTTCGCGCTTCGATTGCAAGCCTAGAAGCTAAGCATGCGGTTTTAGAAGCCGATCTAACTACAATGACCACGCAGCTTATGTAAACACTCCCCAGCTCTCCCAATTGCATGCAGCTATGGAGGACACGGCCCTAAAAGAACATGGAAACATTGCATCTTCCATCTCTAACCACTGCTTATTCCAGTAACGATCCTAATACCACGTGCGAGCGGTATACCAAGCTCTTGCATGAGTACAATGATATCAAGGATGTTGGACAGGGGTTGATGGGGCTTATTGCTGATGCGAGGGGGGTGAGGCAGGTTGAGGTGGAGAGAGAGTTCGGGGTTTCGGAGGAGGATTGAAGTAGTAGAATGCGAGAGATTTACTGATGGAACGGACTTGAAACGGTTTGAAGGAGTTATTTTTACTGAGTGGAAGGAGTTCGAAGAAACCGGGCGGCGTTGAATTGAGATTCATTGTATTCATTCATCTAATCCTACATCACTAATGGACGTTTTTTGATTTTTTTCTCTTTATCGAGAGGAGACAGTGTACCCTGGTTTCCGGGTGTTCGCTGGTGACAACAAATGATCTATAACAAGAATGAAGAAGATTGAGAAAGGGAGATGTGAGATAAAATTAAGAAAGGAAGAAGGGGGTATGTGTACATATATTAAAAAGCAAATCCAAAGGAATTAGGCGGCCCTGCCAAGAGACTGGAGATTGACCAGCTCGAAGTAGCGACCCTTGTTGCGCAGGAGCTCGGTGTGGGTGCCGCTCTCAACAATCTTGCCTTGGTCGAACACATAGATAATGTCGGCCTTTTGAATTGTACTGAGACGGTGAGCAACGGCAATAGTGGTACGACCGCGAGCGGCAGCGTCCAGAGCAGCCTGGACGATCTTCTCAGACTCAGAGTCGAGGGCCGAGGTGGCTTCGTCCAGAAGCAAGATCTTGGGGTTGCGAAGGAGAGCACGGGCGATAGCGACGCGCTGCTTTTGGCCACCGGACAACATGCCTCCCTTGTTACCGACAATGGTGTTAAAGCCATCGGGGAGAGACATGATGAACTCGTAGATGTTGGCATCCTTGCAGACTTGGACTAGCTCCTCATCGGTGGGATCTGCGTTGGCGCTACCGAGCAGGATATTCTCCTTGATGCTACCCTGGTAGAGAGTGGGCTCCTGACTGACCAACGCCAGGTGACTGCGGTAAGAATTGACATTGAGGTCGGCGATATTCTTATCGTCCACGTAGACACCACCAGAAAGGGCATCGTAGAATCGCTCGAGAAGGGCAATAGTGGTACTCTTGCCGCATCCACTGGGTCCGACCAGGGCAATGTACTGGCCAGGCTTGACGGTGAGGTTCAAGCCGCGAAGCACGGGCTGCTCGGGACGAGTAGGGTAGCGGAAGTGAACATCCTTGAACTCGATAGTTCCCTCGCAATGGTCCAAATTCTCGCCCGCTTCTGACCATGTGTCAATGGTGGGCCGACGCTCGAACAGCTTGAGGAATTCAGCGGCGGCGTTCTTGGCCTTGCCCATGTCCGGGGAGAAGGAGAACACTGTACCAGCGGACTGGGCACCGAACAAGATTTCACTGAAGCAGACGAAGAACCGGAACACGTCGTATTCATGGTGACCGAGCAGAGTTCCACCGTACCAAAAGCCGAGGGCGACACAAAAGAAGACCAAGGCCTGAGAGGCTGCGTACAAGAGCGATGACTTGAATACCGAGATTAAGCTTTTGCGGCCCTGGTTATCGAGTTGAGCGTGGTAGAATGCCCAGACATCGGTCTCACGGGTAAGCGAAGCCACAGTGCGAATGGCAGATGTAGCCTCGCAGGCGTAGCTGGCTGATCCCTCATAGGCTACCTTGGAACGTGCCTGGAACGCGGCAAGCATATAGAAGCGGTAGAAGCCGCAGCCGAGAAGAATGGGAATGACAGACATGCAAACGAGGGCAAGCTTCCATCCGAAGGAAAGTGCGATAACGATTGAAGCGATGAGAGTTGTCGAAGTCATGAGAATTGTTCCAAGAGTTTGACCACTAATACCGGCCAAGTGCTTGGTTTCAGTTGAGAGGAAAGAGGTCAAGGCGCCGGTGCTATTTTCCTCACGATCAAAGAAGTTGATATCCTGTCGGAGCATGACTCGGAAGGCGCTGCTGCGAGCCTTGCGAATCAATCTCTCGGAGCTAAAGGCGAAGGCGATACCGTGGGACGAGAAGGTGATGATTTGAACAATACCGACGATAAAGAACATCAGTGACCAGAAGTTGGCATCCGATCTGAGCTTGGCATACTGGCTTTCGGGTAAGGAAAGTGAGCTGATGGCTTTGGCATACAAGAAAGCTTGGGTGGGTTGTCCACAACCGGCGAGAATCGAGAAGAAAAGACCGATGGCCATGAACCACCGCTCTTCCTTGTTGAACGAGCCGATAAACTTGATCAGAGTCAAAAGTGAATACTTGCTGGCGCCTTCAGCAGTCCTCTGCGAGAGAATAACACTGGACACGGACTTGCGAGACTCCTGGCGATGCATTGTCTCCTGGAATGTTTCGGCCTCATCCTTCCTAATGGTTGAGCCACTAGCAACTGACTTGACGCGTGCGATGTGAGACTTGGCCATGTGCTTGCCATCCTCACTCTCATCCTCATCCGCGTCCAAAGCATCTGCATCCTTCTCCTCGTTGATGCGCTGGGCCTCGACCAGTTTGAAGTAAGGACCATCATGGTCAGTCAGCTGGGCGTGGGAACCTTGCTCAACAATCGACCCGTTGACGAAGACAACGATATTGTGCGCGGACTTGATAGTGGATAGACGATGGGCAATGACAATGGTAGTGCGACCCTCAGCAGCGCGATCAAGCGCTGCCTGGACGACACCCTCGGACTTGGTATCCAGTGCTGAAGTAGCTTCATCTAGAAGCAAAATCTTGGGGTCACTGACCATAGCACGAGCGATGGCAATGCGTTGCTTCTGGCCTCCAGACAGCAAGAATCCACGCTGGCCGACGTTAGTTTCATAACCTTCCGGAAGAGCAATAATGAAGTCGTGTGCGTTGGCCATCTTAGCGGCATTCTCAACGAGCTCCTTGACCTTCTCCTCAGGCTCATGCTCGAAGCGTGTTCCGATCAGACCGTGGCGAATGTTTTGATAGATGGTTGTGCCAAACAGAACAGGTTCCTGGCTGACCAGCGAGATCTGCTGACGCAGCCATCGCAGGTTGAGAGTTTGGATGTCGTGGCCATCCAAGAACACTTGGCCGCCGACTGGAAGATAGAACCGCTCGACAAGACCGACGACAGTACTCTTGCCAGAGCCCGAAGGACCGACCAACGCGGTAGTTTTACCAGCAGGAATAGCGAGTGAAACATCATTCATCACTGTAACTTCGGGGCGAGAAGGATAGATGTGTTTCACATTGCGGAATTCGATGTGACCCTCGACGTGGTCAAGGATGATGCCTTCATCAGAAGTAGGGTCTAGCGGGGATACACGGTCGATAGTCGCAAAGATCTTGGTAGCGGCTGCCACAGCGTTGGTAAATGCCGAGGCGTTCGGGCTGACATTGCCCAGGGAGAAAGACCCGATAAGAATAGCCATCAAGATAGTCAAGACATGTCCGACGTCAACCTTACCATCCACCAGGAATCGAGATCCCATCCAGAATCCGAGGCCGTAGTTCATGAACATAAGTCCAAACATAATACCGACCATCACGGCGAGGCTCATTTGCAGACGCATGCCCCAACGCTCTGCGTGACGCAAGTGGGACTCGTACTGCTTCGCGAGCTTGTCCTGAGTGCCGAATGCAGTCGCATTGCGGATCGAGCTGATGACTTCCTCTGCCACAGTTCCACCGGCACCGGCGCTTTCCAAGGAAAGCTTGCCGTACTTGATGATCAGTCTGGAGCCTCCACCCATAATCACGACCAGCGCGACCATAGTTGAAGTACAAATGCCAGCCAAGGGGGCATACTTGATATATGCAACCACGAAGGCAGTCACGAAGGTAGCGACGGCAGTTAGGGTTAAACCCACCTTTTCGGAGACACCATCCTGAATGAGGTTGGTGTCGGCTGTGATACGGGTAGTCACTTCACCCGCACCAAGCTTGTCGAAGTAGGCGATGTTCTGGCGCAGAATGGCTTCGAGGTAGTGCTCTCGAATCTTCTGAGTGACATGCTCTCCGGTGTAGATGAAGCCAATAGTGCTGACGTAGACAGTGACGAACTCTCCGATGCCTAGGTAGACGAAGTACAAAACATTGTGGGTCAACTGGTGGTAGAATTCATCATAGGCAATGGTGCGGAGCATAATCTTTTGGAAAGCCGTAGCCAAGGAGCCAAAGAGAATGGTGAAGAGAGGCAAGGCAGCACCGGCGGCGATAGCGCAGAGTGTGCTAATAACAATGATGAGTATGTCGATGCGGGATGCATAGCGATATAGACCGAAGTAGGATATATTGACGAGCGGTGCATCTAGCTGTCGCTTCAATATCTCCTTCTCATGCTCGGGCAAGTGAGCATAGATCGCATCTTCGTCTGTCGCGACTGGGGTCGTGCTTTCGTGCTCCTTTGTTGATGCGGAAGCGGTATCCGAATCGCGCTTGTCGATGGGCTTCTCGTTAAGCTGCGAGTCCCCCATCTTCTCAACGGCCGTCACGCCCTCCTCGGGCTGCTGCATGTTGAAACTTTCGATTTTGGATCTCTACTCCATGAAGAACTGGTTGAGGATGGTCTGAAGAGGTGTGGTTCTGCGATGAATCAAGGAGCTAGGTACAAAGGGACAGATATTAAGGGATGTCAAAGGTAGGAGTAATTGTATTAAGAGTAAAGATTAACAACAGGGGTGAAGGAAGGGATGGGAGGCTCTAAATGCGTTTGTTCTGAGATTATACTTATGAGGGGGCTTGGGCTTTTTTCTCTTCGGGTCGGGTAGTCCGAACTCCGACGTGTCTTTTATGCAACGAACCTCAAGTGCTGCCTAGACCTGGCAGACCCTGCCTCTATCTCCGGGACTCTATTGCTAATCGGCTTCCAAGTAACTAACTAGTTACGGAGTAGTTACAGGTCAGGCGGGTCATTCCTTTCTTCACATTCCTCGTGCAAGGGCATCCCTTGAACGCGCCCTTTTCCGGGGAACACGACTTGACAGCCACGAGCTACATTACTCCATGCTTGACGCAGGTCCGGTATGATTGGCGCATGCATGAGTTGCATAGTACACACATACTCCGTACTATGCCTTGACTTTGACACGAAACACATCACCATGACGCAAAACGCAATACGCGAAAACGAATACGAACACCTGAGTCATAACTGGGATTATACGGGGTATTTCGACCGAATTTTTGATCCGCAACGAGCCCGATCTGGACCTTTTCCACTTTTTTTTTATGCGTCGGCTAATTTCCATGCCCGATGCCCGACGCTTTGACTGCAACTTTACTCCTTTTACCTACTCCGGACAAGGCCATTGATTGTTGCCCATGTCTCCTTGCCCAGGTGAGGTTTGACCGAGATAAACACCTTGCGCCTTTCCCAGTGCTATCTCATGAGAGGCCATGGTTTCTATCAAGGATATAGAGGGTGAAGATATAGATCTATCCCCGGATTAACCAAAAAGTGCTTAAATCACTATCCTATCTAGATTTTGTCCTCATCCATTCCATGAACCAATCTGCAAATCGAGGGTAACCGTGTTCTTCGAGTTTCACTCTGAGTCGCTTTCTCCATTCAGTTTCCTCAATACCTGGAATTGGCGGATGAAAGTTCATTCCCCGGGAAATAGAAGGTTTGGTTGATATCCAGAAACGTGGGTAAAATCCAGCGCTCTCCCAGTTGATGATCGCCAATAGCTTCTGATTGGAAACAATTATATTTCCTGGCGCAAGATCGGGGTGATAGAGATGGAATCGCTCTTCAATCTCCGGATTTGGATGAAGATCCTCTCGGAAGAAATGTCTTACACTCAGACACTCAACGGCTCCAATGAATCCCGTTTCGAGTGAGCCAGGTAAGGCTCGGACACTGGACCTCCATGTACATCCTCGAGCCGGTCCGAAGTAATAGAAGCGAGTATATCGTACATGTGAACAACCTCATCCAAGATAGAATCTTGTTCGGTAGCGGACATAGTTTCCCACGCGTCTCTCAGCGTGATACCCGGAACTCTTTTCAACACCAAGAATGATCGATTTCCATCTACCCAGGAGTAAATTACTTCGGGTACAGGTACTTGGGGTGCCTTATCTTGAACGAATTTGATAGTTTCGCTCTCTGAAGTGGTATTAGGGTCCCAGGGTGGACTTTGCAGATGGCATTATTTCCAATAGCCCACACTGCAGATAGAGTACCCCCTTCGTGGATCAAACGAACCGGTGAATTTGCAGACGTAGCATCGGGTAGTTGCTCAGATGTTGTATGCCGAAGAATATACCAATCTTCTCCGTCTTTCCAGGCTGCTGCGCATGTGTCATCTGGTTCCGCAGTTCGATTGCACTCGATTGTGCAGCCAAGGCGCCAAATGGAATCAGAAATTTTCGTAACAGAATTTCGAATAGGAACTGATGACATGATTCAGGCTGACAAGTGTATTATTGACTGTTTAAGTGTGGTGGTAATAAATCGAAGCGCTTGAGTTGATGGGAAGTATTTTGAACGCGCCCATCGCACAGACACATTATGCACCTCAAAGTTGTGATCTCAACAAATCTCCAGGGATGTGACAAGGTGCCCAGAACGATTCGCCCGTCAAGCGAGAGACATGTTGATTGGCTCATTCATGTCTGAGTCCTTCCTCGTCCGGATGTTTCCTACTTCCCTATTTGATTCACTCTATAATGACAGTCTCACCCACAGCCCCAAAGCTACTTTCCGCTAAACAGACACAATTCCAATGCTTCTACCTAAAATTACCCTACTATACGATAGCCGTCGACGATTATACGAGGTAAATATGGCGGTTAAGGCTGGTTTGAACCTGCTTACGGAGTACTGAAGCAAGGTGCTTGGGCAGCCACCAAATTGCGAGCGCAATATTTCCGGGACTGCGAAAACATTAGATTTCTTTCTCTTCCATATATAACAGTCTCAGTATTCCGTAACCATCCGCTTCCTTTTGGCTATTTCCGGTCATTTGTTGTAAGAAAAGTAGTACCGAAATCGGGATAAGTCATGGAATAGCACTTCCATGAATAGCATATGAAACCGAGCACAAATATTGAATCATGGGTAATAGGCTCCTTGGTCAAGCGGGAGCGGCGTCTGCTCAGGCCACAACTTCAAGATCGCAGCCTTTGTCGCCGCAACTTGGGATTCATTGGTAATGATTTGAGCTTGGTGGAAAAGACCAAGCTGGCCGGTGGCCCAGCACCTACACCCGACGCCATCCATGTCGAATTCGTACTTGTGGCGTGCATTCTGGATGATGAGGTCATAAACTTGCCCAACTAAGAGCCCTGGTGTGATATCAAGCTCGAAGCGCTCTTGAGCATCGTTGGGAACAAGACATGATAATTCCGAAACCACGAGGTTGGCTTTGGAGCCTCCCCGAAGGACAGAACTAGGCTCAGTGTAGCTTGGTTGACAATCAATCTGAACGGATGTGTCTGAGGATGTCATAAGATAGAAGCACCAGTGGTTTGTACCGGCTTGCTGTTGATGAGGCACGGCAAAGATCTTCAGTACTGGCAGAGCCAGCATCTCGGCTTGACGGTTTGCAGGCACAAAGTGAACTGGGCGGAAATTCGACATGATTGTTGATCTGAAAGATCCTTCCTGTTTAGTCATTCCTTCCCTTCCTGTAGAAGAGCAAATCGGGTGATCAAGGGGTTGCAAGATTTGCAGGGAAAGCACACATGAAACCCTGCACCCTTGTTCCTTCCTTTATTCCAAGGTTTTTCTTCTCTTGTTTTCAATGTTCAGGTTGAAATGCACTCTTTGGGTTAGAGATGGCTGCCTTGAACGATTAAATCTTTGTCATACAACATCACGTGTGCTTGATGAGTGGTTCGAAGGTTCAGCATGCCTTTCAGACGCGTACCTTTGCATTTTTGTTTCCTTTTCTTGCTCTGTTTTTGAAGAACAGATTCCACCGGTTGCATGAAGATGGTGGTCGGAGGGATGGAGAGAAGACAAGAAGAAAAGAAGAAAAAGGGGGGGAGGAGCCCTTCCCAGGAACCCGTACGGCTCTTAGTTCGGTAAAGAGTGCTAGACTCTAGATGGACGTGTATTTGTAGTATATCGCTTCGGCGGTTGATATTATCACTAGAGCAGAATACGAATTCGTGCCCAGTCCTACTATTCAAAGTGAACCCCTTTAGAACTAACACCAAGCCAAATGTGAATTTCTTCCAAGGCGTTCAAGTCATTCTCGGGAAGAGACTTCTACACTTCACCATTGTACCATTCGTAGGTACGGCCGACGTTTTCTAGACTCTCTCCTAGCTTCCGGCAAGATCCAAAATCGATGATGATTGCTCTATCCGATTCCTCGTCGATTATTTGCATATCGTTGTTGGAACCTGTCTGAACAGGCCAGTTGTAGGAAGTGGCTCAGCTTAAACTTGAATCATTGGTGGGTTGGCCCTGGCCCTTGAAGCTATGTTAGTTTCCGATAAGTTTGGTGTTTGAAAAGACGTACCCCTTCGACCCAAAAGCCTTTGTGACCCTGATGTTTGGCATCAATGAGATTAATTTCGTCCCATCTGAAAGGCCTCGGCTGGCAGAGTTGAACGCCCTTAGACTGGTAGGTACCAAGGCCTGGATTCCATCTCAATTGACCCAATCGATATGCTGCTATTATATTCGTCACATTACCAACCACCTCGTACTGGTCATTCTCGCTGAGAATGTGTTCGTGGATCCCTTTAAGGGTGTCCAAGCGCTGGACGACAGGCCAACTCAAGCCAGCCGGCTCTAAGGTCGTCATCGCACTGATAATTTACTTAAACCCGGTTAAGAAAAAGGCTTTCAGGGGATACTCACTTGCGACGTTTCTGCTCTCGTAACAAGTCCTCCAGCTTTCATTGAAATAACTGGCTCATGATGTTGTCCACGATCCGCTCACGGCACCTTTCAATCTGAGCATCCAGATCAATATATAGTATATATCAGTATGTATATATATGGATATAACGGGAAATACGTACTTAGGATCAAGATCGGGTTCATTGGAATTCCAACCTTTTGGCGTATCCATGAGGTTGTCAATTGGATCCGTTGCCGACTGTTTCCATCTCATCTGCTGTTTTGGCTTTGGTAATGTCGGCAGTGGAATTTGGCCTTCATAGGATTTTTTCAAATCCAATGCAAGTGAGGCTGGATCTAATTCAGGTACAATGACGGGAGTAAGGGCAGTGGTAGGGACATCCGAGCTCATTCCGAGGAACGAGATAATAGAAAAGGTATAGAGAAAGTGTTTGGACCACTACGTGGAGTTAATTTGGAGGGAGAGAGTGATAATGGAACAGGAGGGAGACAGTGGTAATGGAACGAACCATAGAAGGTCCCATACCATTAAATTAGGTCGGGCTCTATGAATTGTCTTTTTTAGTGCTTTATCTTATGTAGTCAAAGGAATCGTTATAATCACTCGAGGTACTATGCCACCTTGTATCCTGCTGCATCCTGCAATGTCCTGTTTGTGGTACTACGGTATAAGCAAGCTAAGAACCGCGTAAGCCGCGGATCATTGACCATCAGCAAGTTAAAGAACTGGAGCAATGCCAAAATCATAGCATAAAGACACAGATTCATGTATCATGTAAGACCTCATTAGGCCAATGCCGCAGTAATCAACCCATATGTAATAGAATCAAGTTGCAGTTCTTCCTCAGGAAATCGTGGAATAACAGCCAAAACTGTTTTATTGAAGCCGGGGAAAAACTGCTGAGCCATCAATGCAGCGCTTTCAAAGGCAGGGGGATATGCACCGGCATTCGCCCAATCAATCAACCACACTTCTCCATTCCGGTCTAGAACTAGGTTTCGAGGACTGATATCCTGATGGGTAAGGACAAAGGTGCTGAATTGGAATGGCGGGATATCTTTAGGACATTTGTTGTAGTGCTTACAGATCTCAAGTTTGTGGTTAAACCAGCCTTGGAGTTCAGCACAGTCCTTAAACGGACCGGCGCTATAATCCGTGAAGAACCGGCCGCGAAAGGGCCTGGCTGCAAGATTTCAATAGACTGCATCTCTTTGATCATGTCCGCAACTTGCATAGCGATTTGTCATTGGTTATTATCGAGTGGGTCGGTCTAACACTTGTCGAGAGATTGGCCTGCGATAAAATCCATCACGATATATCGCTTCGTGCTAAAATACTGAGTCTCATCCTCAACTTGAAATGAACGATGGACTCGTGGAACTCGAATGCCGGTTTTGATCGCAACGAATTTGAGCATCTCTGCTTCGCATGGTAGGACACTGCCGCCGCCTTTCAATACCGAATGCCATGCATCATAGGAACAGAGCCAAGAAGGGTCACTAGAGTCTCGTCTGTGACGGAGTCAAGGTCCGTTCCGTCTAGCGGGAAGTCTCTCTCCAGATCATAGCTTCGGGGCTGTTGGTGAGACTGTCAGTATAGAGTACTTAGGCAGTATGTATCACATACATCGGAGATTGGATTGAATAGTGGCTGCATTTTAGCAAATGTTCTAGACGCACGAGAATGAGGCCCCTGACTGATAACCTTCTAAAGGGCTTATTTGCAAGGAATGAAACTGGAGGTTGCCGTATTTTAGCCGTTATTATTATCTAGCCATATCATCATAACGGGCTCTTTTGTTCTCGGACATGAATACCACAGCTTAGATAACTTACTATTTAACTAATTGTATAATTATATAATTATGTTGTATTCAAAAACGGAGTGCCAAGAGGTACTCGGCCTAAACAGCATTAGACCACTGTGCCAGGTTTAATGTGTTCTGCCTTGAAGCCTTAGGGCCTCACCGCCTCAGGCACAAATCCCACATCACCTGACCCAACCGAAGCGAAGCCAAGCCCTGCCGCACACAAACCATCCACACTCGAAGGTCGATAACTTCATCCGTCCATCCAACAAGCTCGCCGTCGCGATCAACCTTCAAGATGCCGGTATGTTACCACCCTGTTCCCGCCATTCTCGAAAAATACATGCGCCATCTTCGCCGTCTTTCTCTCCCCAGTCAGAACTCTGAACACTGAGAAACAAAATTTTAACGTCAATTTTCCACACAGAGCAACAAGACCTTCCGCACCAAGCAAAAGCTTGCCAAAGCTCAGCGTCAGAACCGCCCCATCCCCCAGTGGATCCGTCTGCGCACCGGCAACACCATCAGGTAAATCGCACCCTTCGTCTCGAGATCCAAATCCATTTCTATATATCCGCGACCGCCATTTGTGGGAAGAGTGATACCGGCACGGTGCACGCGAGAGGGAAATACAGATAACCGCGCACGCGCCGACCGCACGAACCCAGAAATGGAGGGGAAAATAAATACAGAAATACCGAATCGAACACATGGCTGATACAATGCTACAATAGATACAACGCCAAGCGCCGACACTGGCGTAAGTCGACCCTGAAGGTCTAAGCGGACCCTCAGTATTCGCACCCTCCGTCCGGCCATTCCCAAAAGTCCCAGTTCAGCTCGCGATGTCATCTGGCAACCGAAGTGTGTCTGTGTTGGGGTGGTTCAAGGGTTTCTGATGATTAATTTTTCCGAAACCCTTTTCATGATGTGACGCCCACAACCGAATTTCGAACAACATGCCTTGACCATGAACTTGAGAGCGCTAGTGGATCGTGGAACTACTCTTGAGTGCAATTGCAAACAAAAAATTTCAATTATCAAAATCTTGATCCGGGTCTTGCTTTGGGTCGTGCCTATCTTTTTCTTTTTTTCTTAATCTTCCAATGGGTCGTCATGCTTTTTCTCCACGGTTCCGAGTGGGGATATGATGGATTTCCAACACGCATAATTTGTCGAGATGGATGGCAGGCCCGGGTTTATGTTTGCAAAAGGGTTTGTTGCTGTTGGGGGCTGATCGTCTTCTTTATTGGGGGCGGGCTTGTAGGACTGGCGTGGCGGGGGATTTTCTTTTTTGATACAAAATCTGATTGGATCGAATTGAATGTCCTTTTGCCTACTTTTGGGGTGGTCTTGGTTGTAGATTATGATGGGGCATTGCATGGAGATATTTCCATGCTGTCTGTTCCTGGTTGGTGTGTTACTGTTGTATCACGATTTGTAGTACAGCCTTGATCTGCGTTTATATGCTTATTTTACAACCTGTTCTCGTCATTGGACAAATATAAGCAAGGATCGACTTCACCGCCCCGCTATCTAATGCTACTGTTTTGAGGATGACTGTAACAAATGCCATTGGCAAGGCTAGCGATTGTTTGCAACTCATATCAAACTACCGTGGGAAGAAAAATAGCCAAAAGAACGCCCCGAAAAACAATCACCCTACTTTGACATCAAGGGCTACGCTGCACATTGTCGTAAACAGCCGGGAGGATATCATTTTCTGTTTTAAAAAGAGAGAACAGACACATTATCATCATTTAACGACTAGCGCAGGATGTCAGCATAGATTCAATCAATGGATACGGTGGTGGCAACTTACTCCTCAGCCCATTCGTTCTCGCGGCGGATCTGATCCTCCTCCTCAGGAGTAAAGTCGTTCTGGATGTTGAAGGTCTTGCGGATCTCCTCTGGGGATTTGCCCTTGATCATGTTGGCGACGGTTTTGCAGCCGACGTCAAGGAGGGCCTTGATATCCAAGTAGTTGGCGGCCTATGAACAGTCAGTAAATGTACCGAAGAACAAGTCTGCAAACGGAACGTACAAGGATAATCTCGAAGAGCATCTCCTGATCCACCTGCATGAACTTCTGGTCCCACTCATCGATGTCAGTGGTCTTGCGACGGTTGTCGTCATCGTCGCTAGCACTAGGAGGGTCGTTCTTGTGGTGCTCGCACCACTCGATGACCTTCTTGAGGACGGCCTCGTTAACCTGGACAAAGAGGTGTAAGCGGCTGATCTTGGATGGTGGCTATGCTCGGAAATAGACACTCACGTTAGGAATGGGAATGGCTTCTCCAGAGTCGCCGAGATCCTCAAGCATGTTCTTGATCAGCACGGAGCGCTCAGCAGTGGTGCGTTCTGTTCGGAATCTGTCAGCTCCACTCGCGACTGCTGTGGAAATTATGCCTACCAACGGAAAGATCGACTCCATCGGAGCTGGTGAGGGTGATAGCACTCATGGTTATGATGTTGGAGATGGGTTCTAATGTTCTGAAGTTAGTGTTGCTGGTCGTTTTCGAGTAGTGCGGGGCGTTCGGTGGTGGCGATGTTACTGACCAAGCGTAGAAAAAGCGTGGAAAGGTGTAGGCTTATTGAACGAAAAGATCCAGGTTTCGAAGTTGGTGTGTCTGAAGAGAGAAGTTGCAGGTTGAAAATGACGAAGACGTAACGAGTAGATGGCGGGTGATGAGGTTTAGGGAGTTCTAAGTTACCAAAGGCGGTCGGTATCCATAAAGCCAATAAGGCTCACAAGGCTACAAAGCCAGCCCCCACGTCTTAGTTTCGGACCGTTGCCTAAATCAGACCAATTATTTGCTTTGACTCATTCTTTTGATTTAAAGAAACGAGAACCTGGTCAAAAACAGACTAGTAGCCTGTGACTTGAGCCAACAGTTGGGAATGCAACCTTGGAAGCGCTGGCTTGACTCCGTACTAAGCCAGAACCAACGGCGGCTGTCCGTATTTACGGGCTGAAATAAGAATCTGGGCGGCTGGAATTTGTATTTTGGTAAAAGGTGTAATGTATTTCTGAATTATATTCTTTGTACGGAGTAGATTGTCCAAGTACTAAGCTAAACATGTATGGATCTATATTCTCGAAGGATCTAGATATCGACATCGAGGCTTCCCTCAAAGACAACCCTATTGAAAATGGATTTGACCAGCCGGATATGATCCTGCTCTGTTCTAATTATCCATACACGAACAAACTACAACCTCTTCTAGTCAACCTAAAGTAGTTACGGACAAAATCCGTCTATCCATGGGAACACTTCAGACCCGTGCTTCAAACATGTGTTTCATAGGAAGTCGCCTTACTACGTCTACTTCGATTCCTTCCAATTAGGACAGATTTACGATATCTTCTGGTCAGGCGGGCAAATTTAAGGGCTGGTCGCTGCAGTGAAGCACAATTGGGAATGGCCCAAGCGCGAAAGAGGTACAATAAGTGCTTGTATGATGTCACAGCATAAAGTAACGTGTTAGAAAAACTAACCATCATAGTAGAACAGTAACTATATAAAAGGGCTAGGAGTATGCCTCATTAGGCTCACAAATCGGTTTATGAATGAAATATAAGAGCGATGGTGTTTGTTTTATGGCAGAGCTTCTCTATTACCTCGCCTGCGTCCTTTGAAAACTTCCGCGAAACATGAAAAGAGAACTTCTACAAAAGACAACGTCTATAAACAGAGAATGTCGCAAAAAGAGAACGTCTGCGAAAAGTGGTTCCCCGAAGTCTACCACCACCACTCCTTAAGTGCAAATCTCGTTTGTGGATTGGGGAGCATTACATAGCGGAGCACAGTAACCGCTCCCGCTTTGTCGATGACATAGCCAGATCAACTATATTGGCTTCAACAATGGCCTGTAATGATACCTCTTCAACAGAGATGTTACCATGACACATGAGGTGCAAGAACGTCCACCTTTAATACCGGCCCGGCACGCAATCCACCCGAGATGGACGTCGGTTCAGCCATTCCTACTTTCTCTAGGCAACCGGCAAGAGTCAAGATGCGATCTCAATCTTCCGGCGACCGTAAGCTAGATCAGACTAGATCATCTACGCCTGTTCATCCAGGCAAGCCGGTCGCATATGCCCTAGTATACATCAACAGCAGCAGCCTGCCAAGAAGCCAACTCGCTTGGGAATTCAACACCACTCTGCGGTGCTGGCAGATGCATGCCAAGACCAAGCCGAATAATATTTCGATCCAATGTGGTCTAGGGGATTTGAAGCTTCGAGCCAAGCCGCTATAACGAGGAAGGGAGACGGAACCGCTGTTAGGGCATTCGGCATAGGAATACGAGAATAAGAATACGAGGAAACAGCCCACTTCATCTATGGATCCTCAGCGGCAATGGCCAGTGACTGTTGTGGCCCGGGCTGTACTATCGCAGGGGACTTCCGAACCCGAGTGCGGCAGACTAGTCTGGAGTCTGGCGGTACTCGTACTTCTCATGGAGCGCCAGAACAACCTTGGGGGCCTAAGTCGTGCACAATTTTGGTGAAAAACATTACGTCACTTTCAAAACAGACTCTCTAGGCTTCAATGATCAGAGCAGATCAAGACAGATATATCTCAATGTAAATCTCACAGTAATAGATCTATAAGTGCCTCTCACAATCTCCGCTCCAATTTGCCGCTTAACGCGACAGTGATATCATCCAATGATACGCGTCTAGTTCTTTTCTGTTAGTGTTAGCCCACCCTCCTTTCTCCCTTCACTTCATTCTTTACTTTCATTCTTTAATTTCGTCTAATAATGTTCCTAGATTTCTCCAACCATGTGGCGTCGAACATATTTACTGTTGTTGGTGATTCGGGTGTACTTTGCGCTGTCTCCAAGCTATCTACATCCTGATGAGAATTTCCAAGGTCCAGAGCTTTTCGCAGGTATGTTCAACTATCCAATGATCGCCCCACCAATCGCGATCATACTGCGACTATACGGACGCGAGGAACTCTTTGTTGCGATTTTCCCTAAAGCAGAAAGCAAAACAGCGCGATCCGGCAATTCCGCGACTCTCCTATACGAAGAACAAACATTGACCAAGTCGCCTGAATACAGGTCGCATATTCTCATTTCCGTCGAAGATACCATGGGAATTCACCGTTGAACACCCCATTCGCAGCATATTCCCAATATGGGCGGCCTACGAGCTTCCAATGAACCTCTTGAAATGGTTCTATACCGAGACCGGCGAGGGCAGCCCCCCACCCCACATGATTTACAATGCGCTGCGCGGTGGAATGTTCCTATTAAGTTTTGTCCTCGAGGACTGGGCGATCTATGAGCTAGTGCCTTCTCCGCGTCATCGGCGCGCGACAGTGGTGCTGGTGGCCTCATCGTATGTCACCTGGACGTATCAGACGCACACATTTTCCAACAGCCTCGAGACCCTGTTGGTTGCCTGGGGGCTGGTTTTGATTCGGCGCATTGTCAACAATAAGGTGGGAGAGATAAAGCTCCAAAGCGCACCATCCATGCTAACCTTAGCTCCAGCGACACTCGTCCTTCTTCTCCCATGCCGTGCTTGCCTTCATCGCCGTAGTGGGCGTCTTCAACCGCATCACTTTCCCGGCTTTCCTTCTCTTCCCGGGTCTGCAATTGCTGCCTCAGTTCCAGCGCAAGTGCGTCAATATACATACATTTTACCTCCAGCTCATCCATCAATACACATGTGCTAACCCCGCCTTCGCGCCAGACCACTCGGGCTCGCAGCATTCCTCCTCTTCGGTCTCTTCTTTTCCTTCATCGCCATCTACACAGACACGATCTTCTACCGGCCAACTGCCTCCTTCCTCAGCGTTTTCCGCCACCCCATAATAACTCCCCTCAACAACCTCCTCTACAACACCGACACTGCCAACCTAGCCCAGCACGGCCTCCACCCCCACTACCAACACTTCACTGCAAACCTCCTCCAACTCCTCGGCCCAGCCTACATTGCAATGATAGTCTCCCTTTTCAGCCGGCCGCTAATACCATACTGGATGCGCAATGTGCGCGCCCTCTCCGCGCTCTCTGCAACGATGCTCCTCTCCCTCTTTCCGCACCAAGAACCACGCTTCCTCCTCCCAGTCGTGCCCCTCCTCCTCAGCTGCTTCCCCATGCGCGGCTCCCGCCTCCTCGTTGTTGTATGGGTCATCTTCAACGCAGCCATGGGCTTCCTTATGGGCGTCTACCACCAAGGCGGCGTCGTTCCCACGCAGCTAGCAATGCGCGACATCGTCTCATCTAGTCCAACACCGTACATACCATCCGCAACGGTGTTCTGGTGGAAGACATACTCCCCACCGCTGTGGCTTCTCGGTGGAGACGACCAGTCCACAGAAATCCAGACGCTGGATCTCATGGGCATGTCAGGTGTGGATATGATCCAGCAGCTGGAGCTGGTTGTACCCGGCTGCTCTACTCCATCGCCTGTGTTCCTAGTCGCGCCTACATCGGCTACTTTCCTCGATCAATACGTCTTCTCTGCGCCTCAGAGCCAAGACCAGGACCAAGACCAAGCCCAAGACCAAGCCCAAGCCCAAAACCAAACTTTGCAGCTCCATCAACTGTGGTCGTATCGCAACCACCTCAACCTCGATGACATGGACTTCGGCGACGACGGGATCCTGCCGACTCTGAAACGGGTCGTTGGACGCCGTGGGCTGGATGTTTGGTCTGTGCAGAGATCTTGCAAATAAGTCTTCTTCTTCTCCTTCTCGTTCATGGATGTACTTCTACGTATGTCCATGGATGCGGCGTTGTATTTTTTGTTCATCTTGTGTATTTGGGAAACTACATACATGCATTATGTACATTCTCATTTGAATTGAGCACTCTCTCTTCCTCTCTCTTTTTCTTTCTCTTTCTCTGAATATTTTCGGTGCATGTTAGGGTTGGTTCCTGGGTCTATGAGATACCTTTTTTGCATTGGGGATGGGCGTGATTCGAGTTGATATCTTTGGGGGTTCTGGTCTTGTACTTACCTCTACATGACTACGTGTAAGTAGTACCATGTTCAATTTATTCAATGGCTTTTTTTATTCCTGTAGGTTGGTCAGCTGGGTTATGGTATGCGGGTAGCGCATTGTCAGTTTGAATATTTGTACGGACATTCGAAAAATACATTCATACTCTTGGAATGTTGCCTGATAATGGCAATAAGGGCTGTTGTATATATCAACTCGACATAAGGAATGCTGGGTGGAGATATATTATGACGATTTGGCGGGTCTCGCGGCCTAGTACCAAGTGGAGGATATATATAGACTTCTCCAAAGCGGATACCTTGTACTATTCGCAGGTCATCTGCACAGTCTACCTGCATATAAAATACGCATGACCGAAAATCACACCATGACAGATGACCAGATTGAAGATCGCCACTTATCCTAGAACATTACACGACTACTCATACTCCAAATGCAGCGAACAAGTCCCATTTTTCCCATTAAGCTAAATACATAACAGGCGTTATGGAGAAAGGGAACAGCGGGATGCAAAGAAGCCAAGTACACACTCAGCAAACAGGAACTCAGACACGCTAGCTGAGCACTGAGTCGTATTCATGGGAAGGGATCCGGTGAGGAGAGATGGGAATCAATTCAAACAGCAGCATGCTTGGTATTCATCATAGAACATAACGTTAAAGGGGAAAAGTAGGAGAGGAAGAGAAGTCGAAAAGAGAACAATAATTCTTTACTGCTCATCCTCGTCAGGCTGGTCGAAGAGGAAGTTGGCGGCGAGATCCTCATTCTTGTCGCAGGCGAAGTAGGCCTGAATGACGGAGTCGCGAGGGAAGCCCAGACCGCATAGCTGGTTGTGGGTTAGTCATAAAACTATGAGATCGAGGGGAAGTTTCAACATACACGTTCAATAGCATCGCGCTCTTCTTCCGTAACTGAAATGGCCTGCGCGCCGGGTGGCAAGGCAGCCTCCTCGTCCTCGAGTTCCTCACCTAGAAGCTGCAGGAATTGATCGGAGTTCTGTCCGATGATTGACGCAATTTGAGGATTCCCAGCGGCGACCTGTTGGAGGATGGGCTCGAGCATATGAGGCTGCTGCTGGACAAGCTGACGAAGCTGTTGGAAATGGGGGTTGTTGCGGAGGAACTCCAGGCTGCCGAGAGCTTCGCCACCAGCGGCACCGGCACCAGCAGCACCGCGAGCTCGGCCACCACCTTCACCACCGGCCTGAGCGGCAGCTTCGAAGAGGTTGAGGTGCGGCTCATCACTGGAAGGAGCAGCAGGGGCAGCAGGAGCAGCGCCGGTAGGGGCTGGCTCTGAGGCTTGTCGTTGTTGTTGCTGTTCCTGGATGTTTTCGGGAATACCCTGTCGTGATCATTAGCAAACATTCAAGAAGTAACTTCCAACAAAAGCTTACGGTTAGGAGATATTCGATGGCACGATCGGGGTTATAGAATGCGGCGCGCATGGCACGGTCGATATCGGTACGTGTGAATCCCATTGCCTCCATCTGGACGACTGCGCCCTCAGCGGCAGAGCCCATGGTGAGAGCGGAAGGGTCTCCGAAAGCGGGACCGCTCGCTGGAGCTGGAGCTGCACCGGCCGGGGAAGGTGTCGCGGGGGCGGCAAAAGAGGGAGGAGCAATGGCAGCATGAGGAGCCGGGGGAGCAGCAGGCGTTGACACAGGAGCTCGAGGAGCCGGGGTCGAGGGAACTTGGGAGGAAGCGGCAGATGAGGCGGCCTTGGGTTGCTACATCAAATGTCAGCTCTGGCTCGGAAATCATAGACCAGGTTAACCTATACCTTCGAAGGCAAGCACACTAGGAAGTCCTTTTCTTGGATGTTGTAAGATTCGACTGTCTTATCATCCTGAAGGATCTTTCCTATAAAGGGAACAAAGCGAAGGTTAGCCATAGCACCGTGAACGGAGAATCCGTCTAGCAAGGGGGAAAATACGAACCAGAGTAGATGACCTTCATGCGCTCTGCCTCATATTCGCCTTTCTCTTGGGCGATTTTGACCTTGACCTCGCGAACCTAAACAGATGAGCCCCGCACTAGATGACGATGGGTAGTTATAGCGACAGGAACACACGTACAGTTTCAGAAGGTTCGACATCGATGACAAACTTCTCCTGCTTCAGATCCTGTAATCGATGACTGTCAGCAGTCTGCAGCAGTGAGGACCCCAAGAGCAAGTTTTCGTACCTTGAAAGTGAGCTTCATTTTGCCGCTTTTGAGTAAAACCAGGGAGCAAAGGGATAGGGAGAAAAGATGACGGATTGAGATAGGAGAGAGGGAGATTACTTGATGCAAAGGATCCTCTCAGCGATGTAGTCGAAGAAAAGTCGAAGAAAAGAAAAGAAAGTAGGAGGGGAGCATTCAGAGTGACGATGATAGCAAACGAGTGCGGTGACCGCCTTCGGATTTACTTCCACTACTCAACTACCACGATCATGACAACTTGCGTCAACTTGCCAGGGTAACTTTTGAAAGGAAGTTTTGATATTGACAGCTATTATAGGCTCCATATTGTGTATAGCTCTCTCCCGGTCTATGTGTGTACATATGTGTACATCGGATTATTTGATTCCAAGCTGGTTGCCTGTTGCCGCCTGGATGACAACATCCCACCTGGGCAGACATCTGGAGTCAACAGGTTGGAGATGCAAATCTATATCCCAAATTGCTGCAATGGTATCGAAGTCCTCTCTACAATGAACTCTCGGTACTTCCGAACTCCTGTATAATATAGTATTAAGCGCCACTATTGCCTCTCAGTAAGTAGCACGGAGGGTGTACACTGTACATTGCACATTGCACATATCGTACCCACACGGAAAAAGGATACATATGAAAAATCCACAGAACACGCAAATCTCTTAATTAAAACTGACAAATACTCTCAATGGCATGCGGCAGGCTTCTTCCGGAAGAGTGGAAACAGACAATTCAACCTGTATACTCCATAGTTCCTGCAGGACAGGTCAAGATATCCCGTGGCTCCAGCTACTACGAAGTATGGATCTATAAAATCTACAAAGTACAATCTTCGATCTGCCTAATTCGCACTAACTTATCTCAGGCTGGTTCAGCCGAGATCCAGGGGAGCGCGGAGATTTTCTCTTGCAAGGGAGAGAGACACATCACATTCGGCCCGCACTATTGAGATCGAAGAGGATCCGCCACCTCAATCGGGCGGTGGTGTCCACAAGACTGATGGATCAGATTAAATAGTGTCAGTTAGTGAGATTAAAGAAATGAGAATAGTCGCCTATGCGCTCTGTCTTTGACGTAGTAATCCTTCAGTAATATAGTGTGTTTGTCGGGTCCAAGATGATACCTATTAGGGGTGTTAATGTACTCCGTAAGAACACTCCAATATATTGTCAGATGCTCTTTTGTGTGTCTCATGTCTTTACGTCTTTTAGATATATGCGAAGGCGTGCAGAGGACTAAATCAGACTATCGGATTCCTCTGCATGACGGGTCTAGGCTGAGTCCTGACAGGATAGGGCTACCCCAGAATTAAGCGCAATGTCTTCGCCTCAATGGCTAGAAAGATGGCAATTGCCGATATCCACACACATTATGCATCCCCGGCGGGATCGCTCTGCCTAGGCCAATCGACATGATCCCTGTCAAAGCCGATTATATACAAAGTCTAACCACCATGCCGGAATGATAGATCAGACCGGCTCCTTTGGGAAAAAAAAGAATTGACAGGTTGACACCGACTGCTTCCCCGGTCGATATACTTTGAGCCACGCTGAGATCCGCATTGCCCCGTCCCGTGTTGCGAACCATCTCCTGCATCGACGCATGCTCGACTCATAAATACAGACATCTTCCCTCTCATGGAGTCTGCAGATTCCTAACACTCATTTCGTGCATTGGTAAACGTCTTGGATTGGCAGCCTGCCAACGTTTGACATATCCACTCTCTTACTCTCTTTGATATATATACTTCCAGGCCATTCTTTGCCAAATCGTTCTCTTTTCGCCATGTCTTACCTATCTTACTCGTTGGCAGCAGCCTCATTGTTCATGACATTCATTGCCACCATTCTGAATGGTATCTGCTACGCAAAATCAAAAGCTTCGCCCGATGTGGCCTCGACTATCCTAAGTGCAGTGAGCTGCGTGGCTTTGATTGCCATCGGTCTACTGTACCACCGAAATATCCCAACCGGCCGTCGACAATGCATGTATGTCGCCGGTGGATATTTACTTGTTGCCGCCGCAGCATCTGCCGGGGCAATGGCAATGAGCCTTCGAACCTCGATCTTCGTGGTTCGCTCTGTGTTCTGGGCACTATCAGTATTCGCACAGGGCTTGTACTGCGGATATCTCGCAGTAACACTAGCCCAAGAGAACTCCAACCCTGAATGGCCGCGTGCCCACTCTCAAGATATCAACTCGCAAGAGCTCAAGGACAGCCCCCAAAGCCCTACTTTCCTCCCATCACCCCCTCGAGTATGCGACTTGTCCGAGCTATTCGAGCCCAAAAGATCCTCCCTCCGCAAATTCCCCCGGCGGTCCAGCCGCTACTCTGACGCAACACTCTGTCCTTCCAGCACAAAGGAAGAGAAGAACGCGTCCATCGACACCAGCTCCTCAACCCGCACCTCCCGGAGCCCATCCCCAACACAGGACAAAAAGCCCGACACCCTCCCATACCGGGACCCTCGCTCCCTGCCCCGGGGCACCCACAGCATCCGCAGCATGCCCAGCCTACGCCGCAGCCCACCAAGCGCACTCTCCTTAGACCGGCTAGTGCACCCCATGCCGTCGCCAACAGCGTCGACAATCCGCGTCGACTCCCCCACGCAGTCCAGCTCCAACAGCTCAACGTGGGAATACAACCCCTTCGACGAGAACAACATCCACCCTCTCTTCCGCTCAACTAGTCCCTGTCCATCGCCCACCTTTGCGCCGGGCACAATGGTCAAGGCCTCACCGAGCGCGGGACAGACTATCACGGCCGGCACGATCACGCGCATGCGGTCTGCCCGCTCCCTCCGCGACCAGGCGATGCGCACGCCCTCCCCATTGCCGGAGTCGGACGAGAGCTTCCGCCCGAGGCCGACTCGTGGTTTTGCTCGTTCGCATTCCGAGAAGAGATATGAATTGAACGAATCCCCTTATGAAAAGTGATTGATCTACCTCGGTATATTTGATCTGCATGATTTTTTGCTTTTTGCTCTTTGTTTTGCTTTTGCTTTTTTGTACATGATGGGTATGGATATGGGTGGATCCTTGGATATATTTTGTGTACATAGGGAATGGACGGATGGTATAATTGGATCTTGCTGCGGCATATAGTTACTGAATGCGTCAAAGTATATATTCGACGATGAGTAGTGCGGAGTAATGTGGCTGATTGGCACTCGTATTTGTTGCGCTTTATTATACGATACCTGGAAGTTTATTTTACTCCTGATGGACTTGAGAATGATGCCATGTTAATTAATGGCCTGGTGACAGCCTTGTGGCAAAAAGGAAATATACAAAGTACTCCGTAGCTAGGGATGACGTGGACTAGCGTGCCTTGAAGAGACACATTATCTGAAGATACTCCGGAATATATCTCAGCTGGGGCTCATAGAATCAAAGTAATAGCATGAAGAGTACGTACAATATATACAATATGTATATAGTCTACAGTGCAAGTCATCCGCATGCGTTGTTGTCACCGACTCTTAGACTTAAGTGGGTCCGTATATTTTTTCTTAGGGGAAGGGGATAACTATAGAAGATATCAAGAAGGATAATAGATGTGAATAGATGTGAATAGATATGAACAGTATATGAATAGTCTATTGAAGATAAGATAAATAGACAGACAATATCAGCATACCTATAGTAACTATACGTAGACCTGTCCATGCCAAATACCCCCGTACGTATGCCGGAAGTGGCTGGGAATCGATACACGTACATGATGGTATAGACTCTATTGTTCCAAGGCAGTTGTAGAGGGAATGAATGTATTCTATTCAGAATATAGTCATGTATTGAAGGTGTATGCTATTGTCCTTCCGAGCCTCAGCCGAGCGGCAAAGTCGGGCTCAATAGACATAGAATGGAAGAATACACAATAATCAGAACAATGCAATTTCTTCTTCGACTTGATTCAATTCGATTCAACAAAACACATCCCGTTGCTTGAATTGTGTGAGACGCCGGTTCCAACTTCTCCTAATCACCTTGTTTTGGCCCTTTTTCCCTGTCTTATTCCATCGAACCTCTTTTTTCCTCTTCGCATCTTCTTCTCTCCCCCCCGTTTTTTTTCTTACTTGGCCCCGTTTTCCCCATCCACCCGGTCAAATCCTGCAGTAGATCTCTGCGTTTTCGATTACTTCGCATCTTTTTTTGCTAGATCCGTCGCTTTGGTAGGTTCTTACTTGCGTCTTCCCTGTCTCCCCCTTCCATTTCCATTTCCACTCCCCACACTTTGTTTTTCTTATCGCTGGTAAACCCTGTCTCCTGGATCGTGACCGTGAGGTTCGTCGGATCTTTAGGATCTTGGGATCTGGGATCTTCGGGTCTCTGCATCTCTGCATCTTTGCTTCTTCTGATCTGGGACGTGTATTACCTCTACTTCACGCTTTTCCTGCCAAGCCTTTTTCTCCATTGCTACAAGAGTGACGTTTCCTTTCTCCATTCTGCATTTGGAAACGCGACTTGTACTTTGCCCTTTTCTACTATTTTCCTACTGAAGAGCTTGGGAACTTGCTTCCATTGCACCTCTGTGTCCTACATCTCATTTTCCTGTTCATTCTTACCACCCTGATTTCCCGCGCTTCCCCCTTGCTGCTACTGGATCAATTCCCCGTTCAAAACTAATTTTCTTCAGACCAACAGCGATGGTGGGAAGAAGGAAAAACCGCGCGGCTGCACAGCCTGCTGCTAGGACTCCTAGTATTTCTACGCGATCTGGACGCACTGCACAAGGTATGTTCATATACAGCTCTGCGCCATCGGTCCAATCTCTGAGATGTATAGATATCATTCCCACTCCCCCCTCTACTCGGGGAAGAGGTCGAGGCCGAGGACGTGGTCGCGGCCGTGGCCGCGCTGGATTCCCTGGCGTTCCTAGTCTTCCTGGCCATCTTCCTGCCGATGAATCACCGAGCAGACCTGAAGTTCGCTCGCACATCGTCAAATTAAAAATTTCCTCACTCAAACTAATTCAAGCTGATGCGGATGATGCCCATGATGGCGAAAATGAAAATGAAACCGCAATCAATGCCGTCTCGCAAAATCCAGAGACCCCTCGCATGCGGCGTCCTCGGCATCCTCGGACTGTTCCTGAGTCCTCGCGGACCACCCGGCAATCAGCAAGACTGAAGCCGGATGGAGAGGGCTCCTTCGAAGAAGATGTCTCACCAACCAAGGCCGTTGATAATCAGATCACCGAGCCAGATGATGACATGCACCAGTATGACGAGGAATTCAAGTCCGAACCTCCCTTTCAAAAAGTATCTCAATCCCCTGAACCTCGCATGGTTGCTTCGGCCCCTGTGTCGCCGGGAGCTACTCCCGTGGGTCAAAGTCCCAAAATTTCCCAGACTGAAGAAGCGCCTTCCAATCAGGTGTCTTCACCCCGACTGCATAAACGAAAGTCACTGGAACAGCAAAATGAAACTCCGGATATTGATTCCGAGGACCGCGTGAACAAAAAGCTGCGGATTGATGAGACGGAGCTCGAAGAGACTCCAGAAAGCCACTTAAATGGCACAGAGATATCAACTCAGAATGAAACATCTCCCGAGGACATCCCTATTCCCTCGGAAGAATTCGACCCCCCTGCCGACAGCGCTGTCCGAGGAGGTCGTGGAGGTCGAGGAGCCCGTGGCGGCCGGGGTCGAGGACGTGGCCGAGGCCGTGGTCGCGGAAGCCGCGGTGGATTCGTCGGCCCAGTTCGACCTGCAGCAGTTACCAAGCCTCGAGGCGGTCGAGGACGTGGCCGTGCCAAGGCTACTCTGATCAAACGCGGCAAGAAAATCGAAGACGAGATCTGGGACATTAACGAAAACTGGCGTGGTCCCACCCCATCGCCTACGCCAGAGTCCATGCCGACAAAATCTCGCAAGGAGGAAATGTCTGCGCTCTTCAAGAAGGTTGGCCAGGCACAGCATATTGCGCTGAGCTTCATGGCCGAGCAGACCGTGCACAAGCTTTCCCGTGATAAAAATGCGCACAAAGAATGCCCTGAGTTCGAACAAGTCCAGCGGGATCTGGATGAGTACCAACGCAAGGCAACTGAGAAATTGAACATCGAGTACACGGCGAACACTGAGCTGGAGACTCAGAAATATGTGGGCGAAGTTCACATCATCAAAGACACTGCAAATGTAAGTTTGGATCGAAGTTGTATCACTGAAGAATTCTAACCGTGGAAACAGCTGCTCATCAAGCAAATGCAAGAGGAGATGGTTACCATGCTTATGGGCAAGATGATGGCCCTGATCCAAGGCCGCAGGGTGGCCGAGGATGATGAACACACCGAGGTTAGTACGCTGACTTCCCAAACGAATACCCAGCTAATCAATCCCCAGTACGACACATCGGATTCCGAGGAATCCGTGAAGCACTTCCTTTTCCGAGACGGCGATACGGCGGTAAGACAGGTAGAGCGCGGATTTGCAGCCGAAGCAGTTCGAGACCCGGAGGGGGCAGCGGACTTTGTGGCCGCGGAGGAGGGATGGGAGGAGTTCGTCCAGAGAGTACGGATGGGCCGCCTGAACGAGGAGATCGCACCAGCAGAAACAGAAATCAGCGACGAAGATGCCCTGCGCATGTGCGCCAAAGATGCCTTCAACGGCATGCTGAATGCAGCCTCCTTCATCCGAGAGCAAGAGACAGCTGGCAAGTTCGTCAGCTACGATGGCAGCGCTGATTTCCCCGTGCACCCACGGGCACTTTCCATCTTGGCAGATGCGGCTCTGACCGAGCCCATGCCCCAACATCTGCCAATGATGCGAACTGACCCCGGCGCGCACCACCGTGCTCTCCTCCCCCACCCCACCCACGCCCACCCGGGCCCACCCCCCTCTCTCCACGGCCACGGGCCAACGGACCCGCGGTCCTTCATCCTCCCTCGGCCCACCCCCACCCAGCAGCCGCGGCGCCTTCTCCCCGCCCGCCAGCAGCTGGGTCTGGGGATGGGCCTACCGGACCCGTTCGCAATGAACGGGCCGCCGCAGCTGCCCCCACCCCCGGGCTCGAACTTCGCGCGTCTGCCCCTGCCGGGCTACATGCCCCAGGGCCACGCGCCCTCCCTGTACTTCCCGCCGCCGCCGCCCGGCTCGCACCCCCCGCCCCCGCCGCGCGGGTACTAGACCCGCCGGCTTGTACCAAGATTTTTGTGAGCGTTCCCCGCAGTTGATACCAATTCTTTTTTTGTACGTTTAGTTGCGATGTCCTCCCCCCTGAGTGGGGATAGGGGGGGAGGGCATCAGAATGAATACATTTTCTCGTTTGAATGGGTTTTGTAGTAAGGAAAGAGTAAGAGACATGTGATATCAAAACAGATCAGATCTGAAGTGAAAGTAAAGTGAAAGTAAGCAGCAAGTGAGAAAAGTGAGAGATTCAAATGAAGTCAAGAGAGAGTTCATCGAAGGGATGTCCTAATTAGAGAAGACGCCAGAATTGTTTTGACTGGGAGTTCTTTATCCCATCTCACTTCCACTTTGTCCACCTCTTTCTTTTCTTCCACTTGTTTCTTCTCTTTCACCTTTTTTACCCCCTTCACTTCTTTCACTCATCATTTACGTCTACGACACAAACCAGACAAACTTAGCTTCCAAAAATGACTTCTCTCGCATGTGCCGATAACTCCTCATATACAAAAACCCACCAGCCATCGAAGACTTCTCGAGACCTTTTCTCATGGAGGCACTTCACTTCAAGTCGATGCCAGCACTATTACAAACTGGTTTGAGGAGCATGATGACGGCAACCAGTGGATTGATTCCACTATTGCATGCAGATCTTGAAGGCTTGCCTCTGTCGGCCTTGCCTCTGGATCGGTAGTATGCGAAATGGCTCTAATCGAAGTCCAAATCATCGATGACAATGGATTTAAGATCACCCCTTGGTTTTCAGAACGGGCCATCATCAAGCCGGATCGATCAGACTATCTGGAGAAG